AAACTGTCCTCAATCACTAGAAACTGTTTGTTTAGCTAAATACACTGATAACCAGTGGTACAGAGGACAGATTAAAGCAACACATCCAACCCTTCAGGTTCACTTTGTGGATTATGGTGACACAGTTGCAGTGGGTCAATCAGATATCCTTCCCTGCCCTGTGGAAGCCGGCTCGCTCATGTCAGTTCCTGTGCAAGCTGTTCCGTTTGGACTCTTCGGTGTTCCAGAAGATGTATCCCAAGAGGTCAACCGCTGGTTTGAAAAGCATGCCACGGACCTGAGCTTTACCATCACAGCGGTGGCTAAAGACTCTGGTGGAAAGCTTTTAGTTGAACTGTATGACGGAACGACACATGTAAATGAGAAGGTCAGAGAGAAGCTGAAAGAGGCGAGACCAGGAAAAGAAATAACTTTTGTCCAATCGCCTTCTCTGAGCTCTAAACTATCAACTACTAAATTGAGTTTGCCAGAAAGTGTGCAAATGCCAACATCTCAGGATGTGAGGAGAACGGTAATAATGCACAGTACCACTGCAATGTGTTTCACATCTCCACAAAGAAAAGTTGGACAGTCTACTCCTCAGCAGTCACTGTTGGACAATACACCTGAAATGAAGCCTATGGTTGAACATGGTGGACAGATGTGTAGTTTTTCCAAACTCACAGACCTTCCTTCAAGACCCTTGAAACCAGGGTTGGTAACAGAGGTGTATGTTTCACACTGCAACAGCCCCTCCAGTTTCTTTATTCAGTTGACAAAGGATGAAGATGATATATTCTCTCTTGTGGAGAAACTAAATGGCTCACCGTCATTTTGTGATGCCCCTCCAGTTGACTTGAACGAACTGCAGCTCGGTGACTTGGTGAATGCAGAGTATCCTGAAGACAGCTCATGGTATCGTGCAGTTGTTAGGCGCAAACCTGGGAATGGAACCGTTCATGTTGAATTCATAGACTTTGGAAATGAAGCAACTATTCCATCTCTGAAAGTCAAACAACTCGACAAGCAGTTCATAGAATATCCCAGGCTCAGTATTCACTGTGTACTTGGAAGAATAACTAATGCTAACAACAAAGAGATATGGGATGAAGAAGTCACAATGATGTTCAAAAAGGCTACAACAACAGAAAACGCTGAGAAGAAACTGGCATGCACATTCATGAAGGAGACCGGATCAGTTTGGGAGGTCAGTCTAGAAGATCAAGGTATTGTGTTGGCACATTCCTTAGTTGAAGCTAGTCGAACAGTCAGAGCAGATGTATCACAACTGTCTTGTTCAGGTGAAAACCTGATTCCCCTGCTGTACAAGAAGCCATGCATTTCCCAGAACCAGGCTTTAGATGTCTATGCATCCTCTATAGTTGGACCTAACTACTTCTGGTGCCAACATGCAAACTCTGAGGAGCTATACAGGATCTCAAGAATTGTTCAAGAGTTTGTAGACTCTGCGCAGCAGGACCCTTTCCCCATGGATACCCTGAGCCCCAGAAGTCCTTGTCTGGCTCTCTTTGCAGAAGACAACCAATGGTATCGAGCTCGGATCATTCGCAAAACTAGTGATCTTTTCACTGTTCTTTTTGTGGACTATGGAAATGAGTCCGAAGTTGATCTTAAGGCGATAAGGTCAGTTCCACCTCTGCTACTAGAGAGCGCCCCACAGGCCTTCCTGTGTTCTCTGGCTGGAGTTGAGCACCCAGAAGGTGCCTGGGATAACAACGCTGTTGATGGGTTTTATCAGCTTGTAGTCGACAAACCACTGAAAGTTACAGTTCAGAATATGTATAATAATCTGGAAAGTCTCACCCCACAATACCAGGTCAAAGTGGAGTGTGAGGAGCATGTTATCAACGACTTGATGCGAAGTCACTGGCATTGCTCTGAGTCGCACGTCCACAGCAAAACCGAGTGCGCTGACGAGCTCTTCTCCTCTGACGTGACTGTTTCAAATGAAACCTTGAACCTGTCTGGGTATAAATGTCTTACACAAGAAACAACTCCAAAATTGAATTCCACTGAGGTTCCAATGATGGATATATCACCAAGCACCACGCAATGTTCAGGAGACAATCTGGTAGTCAGGACAATCTGTTATGATGGTCTTGCAGGAGTCTCCTCAAGTGGATCCAATGTACCTTCCGAGAGTGTCCCCAAACTTGAAAATCTTCCAACACGATCAATAAAACCAGGTTGGGTAGCAGATGTCTATGTTTCACAATGCAACAGTCCATCAAGTTTCTTTGTTCAATTAGTAGAGGATGAAAAGTATCTGTTCTCTCTTGTGGAAAGACTCAATTCTGACCAATCAGATGGTGTTGCACGCAAGAACGTTGCCAATCCGCAGCCAGGGGATCTGGTGAATTCTGAGTTTCCAGATGACCATTCCTGGTATCGTGCAGTCATTCTAGGAACAAATGGAGAAGACAAAGTTAATGTGCAATACATAGACTTTGGTAACGAAGCATCCGTTTCACCCCTCAAGGTTTGCAGGCTGGACGCCCAGTTCCTGGAGCACCCAAGATTTAGCATCCATTGTTCTTTAAGTGGACTTGCGGACACTAAAGACAAAGGATTGGAGCAGGAAATTAGTTGCCAGGTCAAAAAAGTTGCAAATGCGGACAGTGCGAGAAAATTGGAATGCAAGTTCATCAAAGAGACTGGATCCACTTGGGAGGTCTGTCTGGACAAGAACATCGTACTAGCAGATTCACTACATCTGGGTTGTTCAGCTGGAGAATCTACTCACCTTGACCAACAAAGCCCAAGTTCTGGATCTTTGCCATCCCAGATGGAGAGGAGTCACAGAGAGCATACTACACTGCTGCAATTCTGGAAACCTGATATGTTCCTGGGACAGACTTTGGATGTGTACGCCTCCTCCATAGTTGGCCCTGGTTATTTCTGGTGCCAGTATGCAAACTCTGAGGAGCTTGCTGAAATCTCTAAAGTTTGTCAGCTCATTGGAAACTCTGTGCAGAAGGACACAGTCCTCATGACTACCCTGAGCTCTGGAAGTCTTTGTCTGGCTCTCTTTGCCGAAGACGAGCAATGGTATCGAGCTCAGATTGTTAGCAAAACGGATGTTATCTCTGTTGTCTTTGTGGATTATGGAAATGAGTCCGAAACTGATTTGAAGTCTTTGAAGTCTGTTCCACTTCAGCTACTAGAATTCCCTCCTCAGGCCTTTCTGTGTTCCCTGGCTGGATTTGAGAACTCAGAAGGCAGCTGGGATGACAATGCCCTTGATGGATTCTATGAGCTCCTTGCTGATAAGCCGCTGAAAGTGACAGTTCAGAAAATGGATAATAATAACAAGCTACCCGTTCCTCAATACCAAGTGAAAGTAGAGTGTGAGAAGCTGATTGTGAATGACTTCATGAAGAATTGCTGGAGAAGCTCCCCCACCGAGTCTCAACCAGGTTGGTAAAAGTTCTCAACTTTTTATTGAAAGAGGTATACCGTGAGATTGTCACCCGGGAGCCACTTCTGAAGAAATGGTATGTAGCATTTCACTGACGTCTCCGTAGAATGCTTGTGAGCAAATGTTAACTCATTGCTTTTTGTTCTATTAAAGGTTACCTGTGCTTCAGCTGACGTTTTTAAACGTTGTTAAATTCTTATATTATTTAGTAATACTACAATACATTTAAAATGTTCAACTTTATTATCCCATTGGGAAACTTAGTTTGCAAATAAGAAATAATGCCCCACATGTAAAACCAAAAACACTGTAAAAATGATCAATAATCTCAAGTCAATCATCAGTATACATTATAAATAATGTAAATTCATGTTTCTTCCCTTTCAGAAGAGGCGGCTAATCATTGTAGCTGGCAACTGGCAGAATCTGATGATTGAAACTGGTTTGGTCAGATTTTGGTCCTAATTTGCAGCAAGACTTTAGAAGTGATGAAGGGGAGATTGTGTATGTTAGCACATTGTAGACATTTATGGCTGCAAACAAATCTACAGGGGTGGCAGGTAGCCTAGTGGTTAAGAGCGTTTTGTCAGTATCCGAAAGGTCGCTGGTTCGAATCCCCGAGCCAACTAGGTGATATCTGTCGACGTGCCCTTGAGCGAGGCACTTTACCCTAATTGCTCCTATAAGTCGCTCTGGACGAGCATCTGCTAAATGACTAAAATGTAACAATGTACTATTAAATGTGACTATTTTCATGTTCAAAATACCATAGCTGTAACGGTTTTGTAACTTTGTAATTGTTTAAATATATGTTAGGTGGTGAATGATCTTGATTGAATGATCTTGTTTTATTTGTGGTGTCTGGGATTCCCACTTGTTAGTTGTTTCCCCTCCAAAAGTTTGCATTTGGAGTTTTCCTATGCCAGGGATCTACGCTATCTTTGCCAAATTGATTGTCCATGTGACTAGTATTCAATAGAACTGCTACTAAACTTAATGCACTTGGAAACAACAGGTTTTGAAAAGCTTGTAGATGGGAATTTCAAAGGATGTTTCAATGAAAGTGTTAGTATCTGTCTTGGAATGTCATGACATTGTACCTTGTTTGGAATTGAAAGCAATAAAATGGGACTGAGAATGCATTATCAAAGATATTGTTTGTAGTTTTTATACTCAATACTCTAAAGTTCAAATAGCCTACTTTTTGTCAGTTTGTTGCCATAATTGTCCATTTTTTTTGTTGCATGGTAGTCATGTATGAATTTGTTTTCCCTTTCAAGATTAGAAGGATCAGTTATCCCAAGTCCAATTCTACCTTGAACCTGCACTAACATAATGCTTTTTAATCCTTGATGGAGGAGTGCACAAGTGCACACCTTGGGAAGTATGAAAGAATTGGGAATTGGGCTAATGTGTGAAAGTTTTTCACCAGTCCACCAGAGGGCAAACATACTTCCTGGTTCATTCTTAGATGCTGATCACGGGTCAGTTTAGCATTTCCACACTAATGGTTGGGGGGAGGGGAAGCTGATGCTCGATCTGTTCCTAGGGGAACACCCTGGAGCTGTAAGCTCTTGTGTTGTTGAATGTTGCTTGGCAACCTCCTTTTTTCCAATCATGTTAGAAATGACAGAGTTGCACCAAGCAGCTGCTGCTGGAGACTTTGATCTAGTGGAGGAGATTCTGAAGAAGAAGAAGAAGAAATGTAACCCCAATCATAGAGACATAGACTGGAACTACAAGACACCGCTTCACTGGGCTGCAGCCAAAGGTAGTCGTCTTTAGAAGGTTTGTGTCCATTAAACAAGAGGGCTGCATTCAGCAGGGTATAATGTTATGAAACGTTCAGATATAAATATATTATAGAACAAACATGATGTACTGGTTTATAGAACAAACATGCCTCTCTGACATGTAGAATAAGGAATCACGTCGGTTGTGTTTGTCTCATGTAGCTCAGTTGGTAGAGCATTGTGGTTCGATTCCCACAGGGGATCAGTACGAAAAAAAAGTATTAAAATGAATGCACTCGCTACTGTAAGTTGCTCTGGATAAGAGTGTCTGCTAAATAAATAAAATGTCAAATAAAATGTTTATTTGCAACTTTTGCCTACAGAACATTAAATATTTGTCTGTCTGTGACAACCTACAGTATGCCCACTATCATAACACTTAGGGTACATCCCAAATGGTTCCCTATATAGTGCACTTACTTTGACCAAATTAGTGCACTATATAGGGAATAGGGTACCATTTGGGACTCAAAATTTGTCAAATCATGCTTATTATGAACTGCATTAGGAGGCTCTCTTTCTTGTGTTTAGTTTTTTAAAAATATGTTGTCACATTTAGTCCCTGTTTCCCAGGACAGACCGAGACTGTTAGGATTCTGGTGGAGCACGGAGCCAGAGCCTGCCTGAGAACTGATAGTGGATGGACACCTGCCCACTTTGCAGCCGAGGCTGGGAGACTTGGGGTGCTGCGCCTGCTCCACTCACTACACACCCCCATAGACAAAGAAGACTTCTCTGGGGACAAACCAGTCAGAATAGCAGAAGTCTATGGACATAGTGACTGTGTTCGATTTCTTGAAAGGTATGTCTTGTCAGTGGTGGAAAAAGTACCCAATTGTCATACTTGAGTAAAAGTAAAGATACCTTAACAGAAAAGGACTAAAGTAAAAGCAACTACTATGTGAGTAAAAGTCTAAAAGTATTTGGTTTTAAATATACTTAAGTATCAAAAGTAAATGTATAAATCATTTCAAATTGCTTATATTAAGCAAACCACAGATAGCCAGGGCCACACTACAACACACAGACATAATTTACAAACGAAGCATTTGTGTTTAGTGAGTCTGCCAGATCAAAGGAAGTAGGGATGATCAGGGATGTTCTCTTGATAAGTGTGTGAGTGGACCATTTTCCTGTCTTGCTAAGCATTCAAAATGTAACGAGTACGAGGAAAATGTATGGAGTAAAAAGTACATTATTTTCTTTAGGAATGTAGTGGAGTAAAAGTTGCCAAAAATATAAATAGTAAAGTACAGATACTCCAAAAAAACTGCTGAAGTAATACTTTAAAGTATTTTACTTAAGTACTTTACACAACTGTGTTTTGTATATTTATAGTATTATATTTATCCCATTTCGGTGATTTTTATATTTTTATTTTACTCTGCTCAAACACACACACACACATACTTCACTGTTGTGGTTAATGTATTCTAGTCTACTAAACATTTGGGTAATGAATTGTGATTGATATAAGAATAACGTCCCCTCTTGCCAGACTTCTTTAAGTCTAGTTTAAAAGTGAGAACTCTAATTTTCTCTCATGTTCTCTTCTCTTTCAAAGTACAGTAAACACCACTGCTCCACAACTTCATTTCTATTACGTCTGAGGGGATATGTGTGACGTAATTCATGTGATTATTTATTTCTGCATCATGCACAATAATATGAAAGATTCACTGCTGATAGATGATGGATTCACTGCTTTATTTGAATGATGTCTGAGGGGATCAATGGCCGTATCCGAAAACCCATAGGCCTACTTGCGTTGTTAATAGTAGTCATTTTGGGAATGCGAAAAAATGTGAATAGTAAAAATGTGGAAAATTAAGTAGGCTATTCTTTAATTGCCAGGATGTCATACTAATTTTGGCTTTGCATCTAGTCAGGGGCGGACTAGTGATTTGGAGTCCCCAGACAGAGGCCAGTCTGAGCCCCCCCCCCTTAAAATGTATTACCTTTTCATGTGCCGTAAACAGAACCAGTCATGATGTTTTCATCTGATTGTCAAACAATTCACTTCAAAAAGTAGGTTACCTTCGCATGTTCATCCAAAATAATTCCAGCATTCGAACTGTGTACCCGCCAGCTTTCCTTCAATTCCAGCGCTTGACTTGGGATGAAAGAGTTGCAGGAGCTGTCTTTTTTCAAGTCGATCCATTAGACTATGTTCACAGAAATTCCCAAATGACATTATGCTATAGAGACACCAGATTATTCTCTGTTAAGGGTTCATACACACACATTTTGACAGATGGAATTTCATTACTTTTTGATGACTTCCCATGACTTTTAACCAACTTCCATTCATTTTTTTCAGCTCAGTACCGGGTTACTTTCAGACGAGTCCCGTGACACTTGTGGGGTCACAATAGTGTGTAGCCCAAACCGCTCGGACGCTACAGACGTTTTCGTGAGAAGATACATTTTCAGGATGTCTCCTGGTCTGACTAACACCGCTGTGGCTCTGCCACCTTCCACCACAGATGCGGAAGGCCGACATTGGTGGATCATAGACATTAAAGTGGCGGATACCGTGGATTGAGAGACAGCCCATACAAAAAACATATCTCTAGCTTAACAGATGGATTTTGATGGGGATTTTTTTAAAATGTATTTATTGCAGCTGATAATCAGATGAAGTAATGATGCTTTCAATACAATGCGGGAAAAAACTAGGTCAAATCATGACATCAGTGATCTTCAGGTCGGAGCTCTAGAAAGAGGCCCGAGTTGCCGACTTGGAACTCCGAGTTGGATGACTGTTCAAAATGATTTTTCCCAGTCGGAACTCGTTTTTTTTTCTCCTGTTCCCAGTTGTCTCTTCTTGTATGCACTGAAGTCGGTAGTCAGAGATTTCCCAGTTCCCAGTTGTTTTGAATGTGGCATAAGGGGACGTGCTGTACCAAAATTAACGAATGGCAGGAAGCAACACAATTGTGCATTAGATTATGCATTCTCAGTAAGGGTGAGTGAGTATAGTAGCCTATGTTAATATTTGTTGCTTACTGCATAAATGTTTACTAAACCGTATGTAATGTTCTAAATTGTATGTAGTATGATTAGTACACATGCAGTTTTAGTCAGTAGCCTAGTAAGCAAGACCAAATTTCGGACACGGCCATCATTATAGATTCCCAAATTGAACCCTAATCCCTTCCCAGGGCTCTGGTCAAAAGTAGTGAACTTTGTAAGGAATAGGGTAACATTGGGATGCAAGCCTATGTGTGTGATGTGCAGTAGGTTACTTAATGTGATTGTCTGCATCATATTTCAGTGCAGAGCCAGAGTGCAGGGCCTACCGCCAGATGGCAGTGTTGAAAGGTTTTCCCCTGGACGACACGGACAAGGAATGGGAGGAGCAGAGAAGAGAGGAACTAAACAGGACTGCAAAACCACACCTTGTTAACAAAAACCTTATTGGGAAAATTGCACACACAAATAACAGCTAATATAATTTACTCAAACCAATTTAATAAAAAAAAATACGTTTTACACCACGAAGCACTAGTTGCATTTCGCAGAAAAATACAGACATTACATTACATACATTTCACTGGCCATACAGTATGAAAAACAGTTCTAAACACTTAAATAACCCCCCCAAAAAGTTTTATCGTATCATAGCAACAGGTGTAGGCTATACATATTATGCAATTCATTTTCCAACTTGTTAATTCCTATTATGTAATTTACCATTTTACATAAACATCTACTACATAGGCTATATTACAACAGAAAAAGGCTACAATTATAACAATGATACTTGTATGACACTGCACATACTTTATCTCCGTGTCAGAATTTCAGTTGATTAGTATGGGGTTTAACTTAGATGTAAATGTAAACTAAGCCTAGATGAATAAACAGTATAGGTATAAAATGTATCTAAAAAAAAAAGAAACAGAATTGTCAAACTGGATTAAAAATATCATTTCGTTTTCAGCGTGGATGCCAGTTTGGAACTTCCACTCCCTGCTGATTGTACCTGCTGGTGAAGAGCGAAATGGATAAATAATCAATTAGCTATGACATTACATCCAGTTGTTTTAGACCAATAAATAAATTGTATGTGATTTGTGAACTTACTTTTATTTTGAAATATTTCAGTAGTGCAACACGAACCTGTTTGGAAGGAATAAAAAAATAGATTGAAATGGGTCTTTGTTTTGCTACATATTTGTCTCATTCATCGGGTATTGTTGTTACCTGGTTACCCATCCACATCACTCCGGCCAAACGACACGCCCACTAACGTTTCTTCTCCAAGATGAGTCGGGTGCATTCAGTTAGATTCAACTTTTTTTAGGTTGCGTAACGGTTTGTACCGAATGACACGTTTCCCCAAAATGTTCTCGAACAGACTGAGGTACGTTTTCTCCATTTGGTGGATGTGGTGGGGTGTGGCTTGAAGCAATAAGTGATATATTTACAGGGCAGCAGCCATGCTGACAGCGTTTCCCAACCGATAGCGTTTCCCAACCCACAACCCAACACCTCCCCGGTTTTCAACTAGTCATTCAGAACGGCTCCATTTCCGTTTAATTAAATGTTTCAGTACGTAGCCCCAATTTACTGAAGGTAGCCCCGATTTACTTCTGGAATGCGAAAACATTCAAACCCTTATGATTGGTCCCAGAAACCGATGGGTTGGGCCAGAGCCATGAATCACTTAATTGGCTTTGATAGTTGAATTGGTTACAATGCCCCTCACTTTGACATCACCACACGAAAGACTTCTAGGATTACATTTTCAGACTGAATGTATGTAACTGATGGAGCAGTGGAATTAAATTCAGTATGAGTCATCAGACAACAGGTATTGCACATTGCAGGATCAAACGTGTTATTTTGTTTAAAGGCCCAGTGCAGTCAAAAGAGTGATCGTCTTGTGTTTTATAGACACTGAGTGTACAAAACATTAGGAACACCTGCTCTTTCCATGACAGACTGACCAGGTGAATCCAGGTGAAAGCTATGATCCCTTATTAATGTCACTTGTCAAATTCACTTCAATCAGTGTAGATGAAGGGGAGGAGACAGGTCAAAAATTGATTTTGAAGCCTTGAGACAATTGAGACATGGATTGTGTATCTGTGCCATTCAGAGGGTGAATGGGCAACACAAAATATTTAAGTGCCTTTGAACGAGGTATGGTAGTAGGTGCCAGGCTTGCTGGTTTGAATGTGTCAAGAACTGCAACGCTGCTGAGTTTTTCACGCTCAACAGTTTCCAATGTGTATCAAGTACGGTCTACCACCCAAAGGACATCCAGCCAATTTGACACAACTGTGGGAAGCATTGGAGTCAACATGGGCCAGCATTCCTATGGAAGGCTTTCGACACCTTGTAGAGTCCTCTGCCAATAACAGTTAGTTTTCAGTTTTCCCCTCCCCACTCAGACCACTCCCAGTCAGAAATAGAAAAATTATTGCTTGAGAAATTGCTCTTTGCTAAGAAGCAATTTGTTTATTTTTGACCATTTTAATTTAAAACAATCACAGTAAGGTACTTCATTGTTACCCAGAAATGATTTGATATTTAGATAAAACAGCTGTATTGGACCTTTAAGTAGCTTACCGTTTTTTCTCCAAAATATGTGGTGAGTAGAATGAAGAGACCCTGTAAGAGTATAAAAAAACGACATTAAAACCATGTGACCTGAAGAGGGAAAAGACAATTGTATCTTAGTCAATGATGGGTTCAATTCCCTTCCAATTCACTCTAACTGAATTGAAATGGAATTGACCCAACCCTGATCTCAGTCATACCTGGAATGCGTTCAGCAGAAGGAAGGCATAGTTCACCAGGTAGGCTAGTAGGTCCTTTGGTGATGTCAAACACCAAAACAAAAAATCCAAAAATCCATGTCCCTCCAAAGATTGGGGTTAGGAGGACAATCGCTTTTAGGATACCTTTGACCACTTCTTTTTCATCCTTAGTGTTGACCTCAATACTTGGTCTCAAGAGCCTCATGATAACCACTATCATGCAGAACACATTGATTACCACAATAGTACCGACAGGCAGAATGAACGTGAAGATCGAGCCCTTTAAAAACCCATTATAAACCAACCAACACGTGTCAGAGGTATAGTATAAGTTCTCCTCGCCACTATTGTAGGTGATAAATGTAATGAAAACTATTAACAGTGGACAGCAATAGCCGACGAAAAAGCACACGCCCAAGCAAACCTTCTTGCTCATCTGATGGAACATAAATATCATCTGATGGAGAACCATGATACTCAGGCACAACATCCAGAAGAACATGGCCAGGTAGCAGAAATGCTTAACTACCACAAAGATCTGACACCAATTTTTGGGATCTTGTCGGGAAAAGCGGAGGCGAGAAAGCTGCAGTCGGCTATCAGTAAACACAGGCAGATGTTAATGTGGGCTGTGTGGCGACAATATGAGACGCTAGACTTGACAACAGATTTCCACACAAGACATTCTATCACCAGACAGCAAAGAAGTGAGACAATTGAGACGGCCAAGCCCGCATAGGTTATCTCATTCATATAGGGAATAATCTCTGGGGTTCTTTGACATGAGGGTGGTGAACGAGGATAAGTGGTTGCATTCGCAATGGTTTTCGTTATCAGGACCACCCCATTTACAACCTTTATCAGACCATTGGTGTTTCGTAAAATCCCAATATACACACTGTATCATGTGGTTGCGGGGTCTTTTATTGATCAACTGGAAGTCTATTGAGATCGCTCCAGATCCTTTACCAATGGTAGTGGACACCACGATGCTGTTTGGTTTAGAGTCTTTTTGTTCCTTCTGTGGTAGGTATTCACTGAGAGATTTAAAACCTATAGTTTTAACCAAATTGGAGCTAGTCTTCATGATTACGGTGACGTTGAAAACTTTGTTCTCACAAGGTGTCTCCGGCTTACAGCCATTCAACTCTACGTTTGTGTGTTGGTATGTTATATTCTGGACATCTGACTGTTTAACCAGGCCCTCAACAGAAAGCAGATATCTTTCAGCCATGGATGTGTTGTCAATGTCAGATGGATATGTCCCATGACGTTTTAAGAGCGCCATCCAAAAGATTGCTGGATGATGATAGGGCATCCTGAAAGAGGGGGTTGGGGGGATTCATATTTTAGTCAATTTAATTTTTTTTTTTTTTTAATGTTTACTTAATCTTTTGTTATTATAAATAATACATACTGAAGAACAGATAGATAACATTCTGGTAAAGATGATTTTGGATGATACTTACTTTTAATTGAGCGTCATTCAGTGTGTAATTGTTTTGAGATGCATTGATTACATTGTACATGGTGGAGAGAATGGACACGGAAGCATTTATATTAGCATAAGTGTTGATGGAATTGGGGGTAAAGGTGGAAGAGTTCAGACGTGAAAATATGTCCCCAGCATTTTTTTCAACTGACCCAAGTCCTATTGCAAGGTTCTGTAATGACAGAAGGAAAATGCATTTAAAAGACGACAGTTTAGAGCAGTGGCAAATTTATGTCATTATGCATTATAATAACAAAAAGTAATTTAAATGACAACACGGGCACCCCGCCACCTGTTTTGGGAAACAGCTGAGGGATGGTGATGGAGAAATGTAACCACTCTGAATAAGATCAAAATTACAGTTTTAACCATGTTTTGAAGCTAGTGTTTGTTTACAAATACATTGTTTACAAACAATGGAATAAAGAACAAGCTTATATTTTGCGTACAACAGTTGGACTAAGCTCATGAGTCATTTAAGTTCAATTATTCTATAATGAATGGCTCTATGGGTCGACCCACCAGTTCGGTGCCTTTTGAGAAGTCTAACTTTGATTTCACCTAATTTTAACATTCTGTCATAAAGAGCACATGTTCAACTTCCAGAAAAAAAAAGTTTTCCCATCTCAACACTTAAAACAAAGACCTATAGTAAGTGCCTAATCAGTGCCAAATAAAGTAAGAGTTGACCATAACAGGGTTGACCATAACAGTGTTGACGATTTCATCTTAAATCAGCCATAAATCAATCCCCTTTTGACAACAGGGAGTGGCAATTTAATTATTCACAAAAAAACTTTTCTAGCCTTTCTTATCTATAAATAAATAAACAATAATCTTCAGAAAGCAACAAAATAACTAGGGCTTTACAATGATGGTGAAAACATGGAGACATTGTGGTGTGATGTGGATTAACACTAGAACCGCCGATCCAGTCATTTTGACTGCATATGAATTTAAAATGGAAATATGTCTGCAATTTTTAAAGTCAAGCCCCCCTCCGTCCTTGACTTTTCCTAAATAAGTATATTTAACACTTATGATATTTGATTTTTCAATATCACAAACATAATTTGTGTTATAAGCAGTTTGAAGTGACTTTTTCAAATAGTAAAGTAGTATACTATCAGAGAACAGATTCTGAGGTTTCCAAAACACTTCCCTTTGCCAAATAACTCTTAAAATGTAAGCGATGAGCTCTAGTTCAAAATATAACTTATTCCAAGAATAACCTCTGTTCCTTTGTGCTCCACACATGAGCACGCTGCAGCAGATCGCTTACAGTAACATAAACTAATGAAAATGCTAAAAAAAATGTATACTATTTTTTTTCTTCATATTCTAATGTTACCCAATACCTTCATAAACACAACCAAAGGAAAACATTTCTGATAGCATATATGAAATGTATTTATTAGACTGTTAGAACATTGCAGTCAAAATGGCTGCTCGTTGACGTAATAAGGGGGTAGTGAGGTCCAGCTGTTTAAAGTGTTAACATCTTCCTAGAAGGCAAAGAGGTTGTGCGGAGGGATGCAGAATTGTCACTTTAGCAAGTTTTTATGCATATTAAAAATCAGATTTATATAATTATTCATGGGGCGGCAGGTAGCTTAGTGGTTAAGAGCGTTGTGCCAGTAACCGAAAGGTCGCTGGTTCTAATCCCCGAGTCGACTAGGTGAAAAATCTGTAGATGTGCCCTTGAGCAAGGCACTTAACCCTGATTGCTCCTGTAAGTCGCTCTGGATAAGAGCGTCTGCTAAAATGACAAAAAAATGTCTATATTAAAGTGCACTTCATTTAATATAACAGGCTTTTAAAATTCAATATTGGTGCACAATTTCTACTTAAAATATCAAAGGGGGGATGGTGATGGAAGGCTCTTTTCGTGGAACGACCCATGATATATCATTCATTTAAATGTCCAGAAACAGATGTACTAATCCCAGATTGCCCCTTTAAAAAATGATTAGAGTTGTAATACCTGTGAATCCATTAGGATATCATGTAGATCTACATTTACACAGTTCGATATTTCATCATTCCAATATCGATTATTCAAACACAGTCTCTTTCTTTTTCCAATACCATCTTTACACTTCAGCACTGCCTGAAATTCAGCCTTTGCTTTTGGCCAGTCACCATCAGCTTTACAAGAATTTGAATTCTCTGTGGAAATAAACAACAATCTTTGACAATAAGTAAGAAATAGACATTCAAGACATCTTTACCATTTTTTCACCAGTTAGATGAACAAGAAATAGAGTGGAATGTTTGTCAAGACAGAAGTCGCCTGCCAGATCTCACAACGCCTGGATAGGATGATAACCTAGCTGGATAAGATGATAACCTAGCTGGATAGGATGATAACCTAGCTGGATGGATGGACATAGCAATCTGATGCCCGACTGAAGTCGATGACATGTCGCACAACCCATGTTTGATACAATGCAACGTCTGTAGTGAAGTCGTCCTGGAACTCGCCCAAGAATACAAAAAAATACAAAAAACTAGACTGAACAAAAATATAAAGGCAACATGTAAAGTGTTGGTCCCATGTTTCATGAGCTGAAATAAAAGATCCCAGAATTTTTCCATACGCACAAAAGCTTTTTTTCTGTCAAATTTTGTGTACAAATTTGTTTACATCCCTGTTAGTGAACATTTCTCCTTTGCCAAGATAATCCATCCATCTGACAGGTGTGGCATATCAAGAAGCTGATTAAACAGCATGATCATTACACACAGGTGCACCTTGTGCTGGGGACAAAAAAAGGCCACTCTAAAATGTGCAGTTTTGTCACACAACACAATGCCACAGATGTCTCAAGTTTTTAGGGAGCGTGCAATTGGCATGCTGACTGCAGGAATGTCCACCAGAGCTGATGCCAGAGAATTGAATGTTCATTTCTCTACCAAAAGCCACCTCCAACGTCGTTTTAGAGAATTTGGCAGTACGTCCAACCGGCCTCACAACCGCAGACCACGTCTAAGCACGCCAGCCCAGGACCTCCACATCCGGCTTCTTCACCTGCGGGATCGTATGAGACCAGCCACCCGGACCGCTGATGAAACGGAGGAGTATTTCTGTCTGTAATAAAGCCCTTTTGTGGGGAAAAACTCATTCTGATGCCCTCCCAGGCCCACCCATGGCTGCGACCCTGCCCAGTCATGTGAAATCCATAGTTTACTGTAACTCAGTAAAATCGTGAGATTGTTGCATGTTGCGTTTATATTTTTGTTCAGTATATTTATCTTTGATTTCACTGAAATTATGCTTGCATTTGTTACCCATTCCAAAAAGATTTGGGCATGCTGCTGAATGTTACTGTACCATTTTAGAGCATCATTGTTCATATGGGAGAATACACTGTGCATGCTGGGTAATGGTACTGAAAACCTACGGTAGATAACGGGGATATTGACAGTGGCATTTCTCTCTTGGGACAGGATGTTCATAAATGTACATGTTACAGTTGGCTTTTCTGAATCTCTGCAGCTAACAGTCGTATCAATCCTGTAAATTATGCTGTTACTGGTAACATCTGTGGAGGGATAAATTACAAGATTTAACTGTCAAATGTGTTAACTTTGCTCCTAATTTCATTTTAATAGCAACTGTTATAACATAGTCTAAAACATAGTGTATTAACGTGTGAAGACCATGAAGGGAAGAAAATTACCTGTTCGATTATTTAATGGACTTTCAGTGTGGGTCGTACTCCATGTCACTTGATAGTTTTCAGCGATATTATTAATTTCACATTGAACTGTGACAAGGATTCTAGTGTCTTCATTTTGTACCATGGAGCAGTCTGGAAATTGGGGCGTGCTACTAATATCAATTTGTGGCAGTAGCGCTATGTCTAGTGTGGCACTGGCTTTGTGTTTTATGGTCACGTTGGATGATTTTGGATTGAAGACACACATGTACAGCCCTGCAGTTAAAAGAAAAGAAAATATAAAATGTGTTTTTACTGTTTTGCTTACAATGAGTTAGTCTGCGTGACTCAAGACCACGTTAGCCCACTGACCTAAAGCCTAGGCATTAGTTCTGGGAGCTAGCACAAGTCCTCAGCCAACTCGCTCATCATAAAAGTGCAATTCACCCAACGAACTCCAATTCACAAACTGTAGGCCTATATCTGCACAGACCTTTCAGCACAGAGAAAAAATATGAAATTCCATGCATAATTGCAAATAATGAATGTGTCCCAAATAGCGCCCTTTTCCTTATATAGTGCACTACTTTTGACATGTGCCTATAGGGAATAGGGTGCCATTTGGGACACAACCGCTGTCTAATTGGCCCTGTGACCTGTCCTATCATCTTCTACTACACCATACAAATAACAGATAACACATACCTTCCCAGACCTCCGATGCCTGTCTGAGGACAACTGTGAAGTTCCTACTCGTGGGTGTCACCGTAGACTCAGTACCTGTTGTAACGTCATTTGTTTTATTTTGACTGCTTGTCAAAGCCCATTTAATTGGGTTCATGTCCTCCTTGGTTTGGCAGAATATTGTCTGGGTAGAACCATATTTTACCGGGCCTTCTGGTACTTTGATCTCAACAAGGCCTGTAAGAGAAAAGTACACAGAACATTTAGTAGCTCCTCAACTCTCCACCATGCTAGCTGATGTGTGGTGAGCTGTGCATCACCCTAGGGTGCTGCTACACATTAGTGGTGCAAGAGGTGAGTTTCCCCCCCTTACTATGTAAAGCTCTTTGAGCTCTGGAAAAGCGCTATAGAAATGTTTTCAAGTTTCAAGTTTTATTAGTCGTATGTTCAGGATACACACTGCATACACCGTCCAATTAAATGCTTACTTGCAGGTTCCTTCTCGACAATGCAACAACAATAAGAAATAATAAAAGATAAGAATATGAACATAAAGTAAATGGCTCAGTAGAATAGAATAAACATGTTAGCATCAGTATAATACAGGAAGGCACAATTTACAGTCCAATATTTACACGTGTTTTGGGGAAGGGGGGATTGGTCGCAAGTGTTTTTGCAGTATTTAGCAATAACAGAGTCTGGTAGCTGTGTGTGTGGATGAGTGTATATCTGTGTGGATGAGTGTATATCTGTGTGGATGAGTGTATACAGTTGAAGTCGGAAGTTTACAAACACCTTAGCCAAATACATTTAAACTCAGTTTTTCACAATTCCTGATATTTAATCCTAGTAAAAATTCCCTGTTTTAGGTCAGTTAGGATCCCCACTTTATTTTAAGAATGTGAAATGTCAGAATAATAGTAGAGAGAATGATTTTTTTCAGCTTTTATTTATTTCATCACATTCCCAGTGGGTCAATTAGTATTTGGTAGCATTGCCTTTAAATTGTTTAACTTGGGTCAAATGTTTCGGGTAGCCTTCCACAAGCTTCCCACAATAAATTGGGTGAATTTTGGCCCATTCCTCCTGACAGAGCTGGTGTAACTGAGTCAGGTTTGTAGGACTCCTTGCTCGCACACGCTTTTTCAGTTCTGCCCACACATTTTCTATAGGATTGAGGTCAGGGCTTTGTGATGGCCACTCCAATACCTTGACTTTGTTGTCCTTAAGCCATTTTGCCACAACTTTGGAAGTATGCTTGGGGTCATTGTCCATTTGGAAGACCCATTTGCGACCAAGCTTTAACTTCCTGACAGATGTCTTGAGATGTTGCTTCAATATATCCACATCATTTTCCTTCCTCATGATGACATCTATTTTGTGAAGTGCACCAGTCCCTCCTGCAGCAAAGCACCCCCACAGCATGATGCTGCCACCCCCGTGCTTCACGGTTGGGATGGTGTTCTTCGGCTTGCAAGCCTTCCCCTTTTTCCTCCAAACATAACAATGGTCATTATGGCCAAACAGTTCTATTTTTGTTTAATCAGACCAGAGGACATTTCTCCAAAAAGTATGATCTTTGTCCCCATGTGCAGTTGCAAACCGTAGTCTGGCTTTTTTATGGTGGTTTTGGAGCAGTGGCTTCTTCCTTGCTGAGCGGCCTTTCAGGTTATGTCGATATAGGACTAGTTTTACTGTGGATATAGATACTTTTGTACCTGTTTCCTCCAGCATCTTCACAAGGTCCTTTGCTGTTGTTCTGGGATAGATTTGCACTTTCGCACCAAAGTACGTTCATCTCTAGGAGATAGAACGCGTCTCCTTCCTGAGTGGTATGATGGCTGCGTGGTCCCATGGTGTTTATACTTGCGTACTATTGTTTGTACAGATGAACGTGGTACCTTCAGGCGTTTGAAAATTGCTCCCAAGGATGAACCAGACTTGTGGAGGTCTACAATTTTTTTCTGAGGTCTTGGCTGATTTCTTTTGATTTTCCCATGATGTCAAGCAAAGAGGCACTGAGTTTGAAGGTAGGCCTTGAAGTACGTCCACATGTACACCTCCAATTGACTCAAATTATGTCAATTAGCCTATCAGAAGCTTCTAAAGCCTTGACATAATTTTCTGGAATTTTCCAAGCTGTTTAAAGGCACAGTCAACTTAGTGTATGTAAACTTCTGACCCACTGGAATTGTGATACAGTGAATTATAAGTGAAATAATCTGTATGTCAACAATTGTTGGAAAAATTACTTGTCATGCACAAAGTAGATGTCCTAACTGACTTGCCAAAACTATAGTTTGTTAACAATAAATTTGTGGAGGGGATGAAAAACAAGTTTAAATGACTCCAACCTAAGTGTATGTAAACTTCATACTTCAACTGTAGCCTAGTAGCTAAAATGGTGGAAACCAACCTGTATGTTTTGTGGGTATGCTTTTGTAATCGCTGCCAAAGGTGCTTCAACAAAGTACTGAGTAATGTGATATTTCAGTTTCTTATTTTTAATACATTTGCAACAATTTCTAAAAACCTGTTTTTGCTTTGTCATTATGGGGTATTGTGTGTAGATTGATGAGGGAGGAAAAACAATTGAATCCCTTTTAGAATAAGGCTGTAACGTAACAAAATGTGGAAAAAGTGAAGTGGTCTGAATACTTTCCAAATGCACTGTATCAAGTGTCTCAGAGTAGGCATGCTGATCCGGGATCAGGTCCCCTTGTCCATGTAATATTATTAATTGACTGTGTTTATACAGTCAGACCAATTCTGATATTTTGCCACTAATTGGTTTCATTTGATCAATCAGATTAGCTCTTTTGCCAATAATTGGGCAATTTGGGGAAAAAAGGTCAGAACTGGCTGCCTGTGTAAACACAGCCATTGTGATCTAAAAGGCCAAACTGATCCTAGATCAGCACTCCTAATCTGAGATGCTTGATACATACGGCCCCCCGATGTAGCTAGCCCCCGATGTAGCTAGCCCCTGATTTAGATAGACATACCTGTTGTCTCTAGCGTGAACGTAGCATTGAGTGTTTTTTGCAATTCTGCTGTTTTGATTGCAAGGTCGTCAGCTGAAATGTTGTTGAAGGTCAATTCAAAATGAACGATGACACTACCACGACTTAAAGCAAAAACATGGGACAAGATCAGCTCTACTGTATGTCAATCCCACACAAAATATAACATAGAATGTAAACAAGCTGAATTACCTGAACCCTGTGATGCGTATGTTGTCAAACGAATTTAATGTACTGTACAACGCTTTCATCTAAAAGGAAGAAGAAAAAAAGGGATTGCATATATTTTTTTTTAAATGATAATGGTCATGCACATAGATCTTTGAAGTGTATATTGTCAACATATATTCTTGCAAATACCATATACAACCATCTAAATAATATATCACCCTCTAAATTATAGTTCCTCTTCATTCTGTGTCTTTTCACCAATAAAATAACAACCTTAAAATCGAACTTTGGTTAACCTTGTTGTAACCCATTCCCATATATATATATACAGTGGGGGAAAAAAGTATTTAGTCAGCCACCAATTGTGCAAGTTCTCCCACTTAAAAAGATGAGAGAGGCCTGTAATTTTCATCATAGGTACATGTCAACTATGACAGACAAAATGAGAATTTTTTCCCCCCAGAAAATCACATTGTAGGATTTTTAATGAATTTATTTGCAAATTATGGTGGAAAATAAGTATTTGGTCAATAACAAAAGTTTCTCAATACTTTGTTATATACCCTTTGTTGGCAATGACACAGGTCAAACGTTTTCTGTAAGTCTTCACAAGGTTTTCACACACTGTTGCTGGTATTTTGGCCCATTCCTCCATGCAGATCTCCTCTAGAGCAGTGATGTTTCCCTCCAAAGATTTTCTATGGGGTTGAGATCTGGAGACTGGCTAGGCCACTCCAGGACCTTGAAATGCTTCTTACGAAGCCACTCCTTCGTTGCCCGGGCGGTGTATTTGGGATCATTGTCATGCTGAAAGACCCAGCCACGTTTCATCTTCAATGCCCTTGCTGATGGAATAAGTTTTTCACTCAAAATCTCACGATACATGGCCCCATTCATTCTTTCCTTTACACGGATCAGTCGTCCTGGTCCCTTTGCAGAAAAACAGCCCCAAAGCATGATGTTTCCACCCCCATGCTTCACAGTAGGTATGGTGCTATCTCTCTCAGAATGACCTTCTTGATCCAAACCAGTCAGGTTTCAGGACTGGTCATTCAACTGAGACTGCTCTTCTCTGTGTCACGGAGGCTCTCCGCACTGCTAAAGCTAACTCTCTCTCCTCTGCTCTTGTCCTTCTAGACCTGTCTGCTGCCTTTGATACTGTGAACCATCAGATCCTCCTCTCCACCCTCTCCGAGCTGGGCATCTCCGGCGCGGCTCACTCCTGGATTGCGTCCTACCTGACCGGTCGCTCCTACCAAGTGGCGTGGCGAGAAGCTGTCTCCGCACCACGTGCTCTCACCACTGGTGTCCCCAGGGCTCAGTTCTAGGCCCTCTCCTATTCTCCCTATACACCAAGTCACTTGGCTCTGTCATATCCTCACATGGCCTCTCCTATCATTGCTACGCTGACGATACACAACTAATCTTCTCCTTTCCCCCTTCTGATAACCAGGTGGCGAATCGCATCTCTGCATGTCTGGCAGACATATCAGTATGGATGACGGATCACCACCTCAAGCTGAACCCTGGCAAGACGGAGCTGCTCTTCCTCCCGGGGAAGGACTGCCCGTTCCATGATCTCGCCATCACGGTTGACAACTCCGTTGTGTCCTCCTCCCAGAGTGCGAACAGCCTTGGCGTAACCCTGGACAACACCCTGTCGTTCTCCGCTAACATCAAGGCGGTGACCCGATCCTGCAGGTTCATGGTCTACAACATTCGGAGAGTACGACCCTGCCTTACACAGGAAGCGGCACAGGTCCTAATCCAGGCACTTGTCATCTCCCGTCTGGATTACTGCAACTCGCTGTTGGCTGGGCTCCCTGCCTGTGCCATTAAACCCCTACAACTCATCCAGAATGCCGCAGCCCGTCTGGTGTTCAACCTTCCCAAGTTCTCTCACGTCACCCCGCTCCTCCGCACACTCCACTGGCTTCCAGTTGAAGCTCGCATCTGTTACAAGACCATGGTGCTTGCCTATGGAGCTGTGAGGGGAACGGCACCTCCGTACCTTCAGGCTCTGATCAGTCCCTACACCCAAACGAGGGCATTGCGATCATCCACCTCTGGCCTGCTGGCTCCCCTTCCTCTGCGGAAGCATAATTCCCGCTCAGCCCAGTCAAAACTGTTCGCTGCTCTGGCACCCCAATGGTGGAACAAGCTCCCTCACGACGCCAGGACAGCGGAGTCACTCACCACCTTCCGGAGACATTTGAAACCCCACCTCTTTAAGGAATACCTGGGATAGGATAAAGTAATCCTTCAAGATTTGTAAAGTGGTTATCCCACTGGCTATAGGGTGAATGCACCAATTTGTAAGTCGCTCTGGATAAGAGTGTCTGCTAAATGACGTAAATGTAATGTAAAAATGTGTTCTTTGGATGCAACTCAGCATTCTTTGTCCTCCAAACACGACGAGTTGAGTTTTTACCAAAAAGTTCTATTTTGGTTTCATCTGACCATATGACATTCTCCCAATCCTCTTCTGGATCATCCAAATGCACTCTAGCAAACTTCAGACGGGCCTGGACATGTACTGGCTTAAGCAGGGGGACACGTCTGGCACTGCAGGATTTGAGTCCCTGGCGGCGTAGTGTGTTACTGATGGTAGGCTTTGTTACTTTGGTCCGAGCTCTCTGCAGGTCATTCACTAGGTCCCCACGTGTGGTTCTGGGATTTTTGCTCACCGTTCTTGTAATCATTTTGACCCCACGGGGTGAGATCTTGCGTGGAGCCCCAGATCGAGGGAGATTATCAGTGGTCTTGTATGTCTTCCATTTCCTAATAATTGCTCCCACAGTTGATTTCTTCAAACCAAGCTGCTTACCTATTGCAGATTCAGTCTTCCCAGCCTGGTGCAGGTCTACAATTTTGTTTCTGGTGTCCTTTGACAGCTCTTTGGTCTTGGCCATAGTGGAGTTTGGAGTGTGACTGTTTGAGGTTGTGGACAGGTGTCTTTTATACTGATAACAAGTTCAAACAGGTGCCATTAATACAGGTAACGAGTGGAGGACAGAGGAGCCTCTTAAAGAAGAAGTTACAGGTCTGTGAGAGCCAGAAATCTTGCTTGTTTGTAGGTGACCAAATACTTATTTTCCACCATAATTTGCAAAAAATTCATTAAAAATCCTACAATGTGATTTTCTGGATTTTTTTTCTTCTCAATTTGTCTGTCATAGTTGACGTGTACCTATGATGAAAATTACAGGCCTCTCTCATCTTTTTAAGTGGGAGAACTTGCACAATTGGTGGCTGACTAAACACTTTTTTCCCCCACTGTGTGTGTGTATATATATATATATATATATATATATATATATATATACAGTGCCCTCCACTATTATTGGCACCCCTGTTTAAGATGTGGTCGAGGACTTCCAAAAATTCTCATTTTTTTAAAAACAACATAGAACCCAAATGCAAAAAAAGAGAAAAATCCAACCTTTTATTTAAGTACATTACTTTGGTGTAAAAAAAAAATCACACATTTAGAAAAAAAAAAAACTTGAAATCATGTGTCCCACAATGATTGGCACCCCTGATGTTAATACTTTGTACAACCCCCTTTTGCCAACAAGACAGCACTTCATCTCCTCTTATAACATTTCACAAGATTGGAGAACACAGAGAGAGGGATCTTTGACCATTCTTCTTTGCACAATCTTTCTAGATCATCCAGTGTCCTGGGTCCTCTCTTATGCACTCTCCTCTTTAGCTCGCCCCACAGGTTTTCGATTGGGTTGAGGTCTGGGGACTGAGATGGCCATGGGAGGACCTTGAGTTTGTGACTGCTGAACCATTTTTGTGTAGATTTTGCCACATGTTTTGGATCATTATCCTGCTGAAAGACCCAATGACGACCCATCTTCAGCTTTCTGGCAGAGGCCATCAGGTTTTTATTTAAAATGTCCTGGTAGTTCAAAGCGTTCAAAATGCCATGCACCCTAACAAGGTTCCCAGGGCCTTTGGAAGAGAAACAGGCCCACAGCATCACAGATCCTCCACCATACTTCACGGTGGGCATGAGGTGCTTTTCGGCATACTCATCTTTTGTTTTACGCCAGACCCACTTAGAGTGTTTGTTGCCAAAAAGCTCAATCTTAGTCTCATCTGACCAAAGCACACGATCCCAGTTGAAGTCCCAGTGCCGCTTAGCAAACTCCAGACGTTTAGGTTTGTGAGTGTTAGTGAGAAAAGGCTTTTTCCTTGCATGCCTCCCAAACAGCTTGTTGGCATGTAGAGAGCGTCTGATGGTTGTTTTGGAGACTTTGTGACCCCAAGATGCCACTATTTGATGCAATTCTGTGACAGTGAGCTTAGGACTTTTTTTTACTTCTCTTACCATCCTCCTCACTGTGCGTTGTGGCAAGATAAACTTGGGACCTCTTCCAGCCTTGTTTGTCACTGTTCCAGTTGTTTTAAACTTCTTAATGATTCCTCTGACTGTAGATACGGGCAAGTTAAGGCGAGTGGCTATTTTCTTGTAGCCATTGCCTGACTTATGAAGGTCGACACAAATCTGCCTTACTTGAATGGTGTGTTCTCTTGTCTTTGCCATGTTGACAAATGGGTAAGAGAATTAGGCCTCTGTGTCACGTCATATTTATACCCCAGGGAAACAGGAAGTCATGAATTACATATTAAAAGTTCCTAGATACCCTGACCAAGTTTAGCAACTACAGAAAAATATATTTTTTTAAAAATCAATTAAAAATTTCAGCTGAATTGTTAGGGGTGCCAATAATTGTGGGACACATGATTTCAAGTTTTTCTTTTTCTAAATGTGTGATTTTTTTTTTACCACCAAAGTAATGTACTTAAATAAAAGGTTGGATTTTTCTCTTTTTTTGCATTTGGGTTCTATGTTGTTTAAAAAAAAAGAGAATTTTTGGAAGTCCTCGACCACATCTTAAACATATATATTTATATTTATTTATTTATTTATTTATTTATTTGTTTATATTTACAGTAAATTTGACACATACCTGTGGCAATAATTTGTTATACAATGCCATATATTCAGCAGATTGTGGATTGCTGAGACTCTCATAATATACCTCTCCAGGTATGGTAAGTAATCCGTCGACAGTAACTGTGAATAACAGAGATCATTATTTCCCATGTGTACTGGGCCATTTTGCATTCTGTTTTTGAACTGGCTTATGGAAAATGCAAACAAGTTGACGGACTGGTATGTTTGATTATTTACACATGGATTATACACACACACACACACACACACACACACACACACACACACACTCACACAATACCTCTTGTTTCAGGGAGACACATTGGTTTTGTGTTTAGGTTTTTAAATGTGCAGTTTTTTTGTTGACAACAGTTAGGTGAAGACTGACACACTGCTTCACTCCAGATATGCCCTAGCTCGCAAGTGCACTGAGTTTGGTTTTCAAGAGGGACACAATCTGTTGAAATAATTTCAATACATAATTTTAGCTGTATTTACCCCAAAATAAATAAAATGGAAATAAATAGAAAATTAAGGGAACACATTATGTAGGCACATATAGAGTTTGATTCATATAGGCCTATACTGAATGGACACTGGGTTAGACTTGTGTGTGTATTTACTGTAAGTTTACTAATGTTTCCCAAGTTAGAGTATTTGATACTGCATTAGTAAACCAGCTACAATATTGCGTACATATTTACCTGTTGTAATTTTAAAGGTGTCAACACTCACGGGATTGTCAATTTTAAAATTGTTGAGTATATCAGATATATAGTTGTCCGGTATGGACTTCTCGGTTCTCAGTTCCATATAGTAGACTTTTGTTGAGTTGTCTGAAACATGCAAAACATACTTTAAAACTAGATGATGTAAAGTTTATGTAAAGTTTTCCGGTCATAAAGGAAGTACTGTACAAGGAATTCAGATTAAGAGCGGGCATGCAAATGATAAACTGGCAGATGCTCACTGTTTACCCATACCTCTATCAACAGCACTACGTCATGATAATGGAACCCTGTCACATTCCTATGTTAGCTATATGGCAGGGTTGGGGTCAATTTAATTTCTATTCAGTCAATGCTTCCTGAATTAACTGAGTTGAAATGGAATTGACCCCAACAACCCTAGTGGCACCTTCATTTCTGGATCGCTTCCAGACTATAGATTATGGCACTTGGAGCATAGCCTCCTACAACCAGACTGATCTGACAAGCTGTAGGAGGCTACCTGCAGCCATCTCTGGCTGAAAGTAGTGCACTAAAGGGAATAGGGCTAGGGTAGTGCACCGTAAGGGTGCCATTTGGGAGGTAGACATCATCTTCAAAATAGGGAAACATTTAAATTAACTTACCCATTGCGGAGACCTGAGCAACAGCAACAAAAACACATCACATTATTACTCAAGTACATATGTTCAACAGGAACAAACCACAAAATAAAACAAAGATACATTATACAATTATTATGGAATAGGGCCCATTTTCAAGTTTGTAATTAAGTATTTGGTCTGCTACAAACATATAGCTGAAATCTTGACCAACCTTCTTGCAAGTTAGTCCTAGAAAATATAAAAGAATGAAAGTCTTCATGTTGTAACCTTCAGATGGAGACAGAGAGAGAAATGGCAGTTGGTGTACAGCACAAACACAGCTGGAAGTAATTTACATTCCATCACAACAAAAAAATGGCCAGTGGGACTGTCAATACTTGGATAAACCCATGTTCACTCGGGAGTTGTTTTCACTGGTGATAAATTTAATAAATAAAGTAACACACGCACACACACACACACACACACACACACACACACACACACACACACACACACACACGCAATAAACATCTCAAAATATGAAGGGCCATTTATGACCAGGCCAGATATCAATCTGGACCTAATCATGAAATGGAATGAATTGTTATTCACAGGGTTAATAAAGGCACAGTGGGTAGCTAAGATGTCCTACTGTCCAATGTTCCAGTCATTCAAATGTAGGTTAATATCCCCACAGAATTAAATAGAAGGGCGATTCCAGCATTATGGACATTACATTTTGTATGCAAAATCACAAATGTAATGTCTCACAGAATTAAACTTTTGATGTGTGTGTCTATAGTACCCCTTGGGGTGAGTGTATACCAGTGGAGGCTGGTGGGAGGAGCTATAGGAGTACGGCTCCATATGTTTGATGTGTTTGATACCGTTCCATGAACTCCGTTCCAGACATTACAATGAGTCCGCCCTCTTATAGCTTCTCCCACCAGCTTCCACTGGGATACCCTGTATACCCCCCAAAAAGTGGATTTCTAAATATTGGCATGTTGGAGAAATAAAGGTAATAAGAAACGTTATGGATGTTACATGAAATGGACAAGCTTTTAATGAGTATGTGAGTTTATAAGTCTTAGGTCAAAACATGGATTGTCATTTCGAAGGAAAGGCTTAGCTGAACACAGCTGAACAGCTGAAAAACTATCATTTTGAAAGACTGTCATTTCCATCATTACTTTAGAGCTGAAAAACGACCATTATGGATGTTATGGAGTCTGAAATAGACATTAAAATCTTAAAGATTTCTTGATCAAAATCTATCATAACATATTTGTTGTCAATCAGAATGTTTTTAAAAAGGTCAGTAGAATGAATAATACTTTAGGATTGCAGTTACACGAGGCCTGGATAGTATACAAGGCCGGGCACCACACCCTTTATCTCCTTAAACATGTCAAATTGAAAAAAAAATCTGAAATATTGTAACAAAATATGTAAATGAGACAGCATACATGTGCTTAATTCACATTTCTGGACACTGAATGAAGTCAGTATATTTTGGGGGGGATTTAATTCGAAAAAGACACTACAGGACTATTCACATAGCCTATTGTTAATAAATAGGACTGCCATGCCCATGTATGGGTAACGCATTTCAGCATGTATATATTGTCTAAGAGAATCTTAAATATAGAACACATAATTTTCAAGATATCTGAAGCTAAGATATGATGCATCAATATCCATCACATCCGCAAACGTTATGGATTTTACGGATATCATAACACTGAAAAATGATCCCGACAATGAAAAGAGAGAAACCAATTATAGACCATATAAAACCTTGTTGAAAGTTGGGTTTACAGAGAAAGTTTCAAGAGGATTCGATGTAAGGTTTTACAACAACATTATCTAAAAAACATAATCCCCTCCCCTATTATTACAAGACTCAAGACACTTCAATCTGGTTTGTATTGCTTCATTAACATCTCATCTTCATAACTAATACTCCGGGCCAGATGTGAGTGGAAAAACAAGCTCTGTGGGCCCTTTCTAAAAGCCATGAAATATGATTGTCTGAAAAGCCTTTTTTGAGACTTGGCATCCTACTCACTAACCAGGTTTCCCGTTGGGTTTCCAAACAGCCTTTATATGCAAGTAAAGTACGTCGGATAAAAAATTTCACCACAGGCCTTATTGAAACAGAAAATGTGTTGGTAAATTTGACAAATGTCGACAAAACAAAATACGCTAGACAAGGTGGGATCTTTTTGTGTCGGTAAAAGGAATTATGCGAGAAATGTCGGTGGAAACGCTTTTATGCGCAAATATTGATATAATAACCATCATATCGAAGAAACGTGGAGTCACGCGATGACATGTTGTGTGGTCCTCCCGCTACGACTCGTCGGGAAAGCACGCAGATTATTAGGCTACAGATGAAATAAGTTATGAGGAATTTAACAGGGTGGTGAAAGTGCAAGGTGATGAGCTTGATGCTCCTTTCCAATAAATATCGAGGGTCTTATTCTGCTGACATGATCATCGATGCTTGGCTGCCGTTTGACAAATAAAAATAGTCTAGCTCTTTTGTCCATAATAACCTCATCATGTAGGCTATCCAACCAGCTCTGTATCTGTGAGCTGTTGGCGAGAGCGCAGTGCCAATACCGGAGTGGGCACACGCTATTTAAGTGATAATGCCCGAGAAGCTGGTGTTTGGAGGATATATTGGCACGGGTGTTGTTAGGCTCCTCCAAACACTGCTTTTTTAGGGGAGATCAACTTTATAAATTGCCTGGTTGGGCTGATGAGACAGCGGATTGCGCAGTCAGATAGAACAGAGTAAATAGGCATTTTAATGTCATAGATTTAGCCAGTGGTAACTTGTGGAATAGACACCGGCTGGAATGCGGTTTTAACCAATCAGCATTCAGGATTAGAACCACCCATTGTATAAAGGCCTATAATGCAACGTTTTTTGTGAGAAAACCATCAACCCATTTAACTAGTTGTTGTTGTTGTTGTTGTTGTTGTTGTTGTTTTTTTTGTTTTTTTTTGGGGGGGGGGGGGTTAACGTAAAAGGTATTTTTATGTGCACTATGTCATAACGCACAGCCTTTTATCTGCACAGCCTAATGCGCATATAGTTTTTATGCATATTCGCATGAAAATCTGTCGGCAATTGGATGGAAACCTAGCTAATAATGGTCAAAATTCATGCAATTAACTACTTAAACGTTTCAAATATAGACTGAACACCCACATATAGACCTTAAGGATAAATTATGAACGTGGTTTCTTTTTGGAAATGACTAACTTTATTTGTATATGCTCAAGTTGACCTTCCCACGAAATCGCCCAGAACTATAATGATATGATCTCTACGAATATAACATATATTCTTGATGAATATAAAAAGTGCAGAAGCAGTTACACTGAATATAATTCAGAATGAGTTGAGAATACAGAATGATTAATACCAACCTCTCCTCCTTGATTCCCCTGATAAATATCATCAAAATATGAACAGGAATATTTGAAGAATATAAAAAATGCAGAAGCAGTTGAGAATATGAAGAATACCTACCTCTCTTCCTTGTCTCCCTTGAAAGTATCATCAAAATATGAATTCCGCAAGCGAGGTGAAGCACACATCCATTCCTGAGCAGACTTGTCTGTCTGAGTAACTTCAGGTTGATATGTTGTTCTTGAAAGCCATAGAAAACAACGGTGCCTATAGAAAACTGTAAACCAAATCTTCCCCTGCCCATTTGCATCAAAGAGGTCACATTATGAAAAGTAGATATGCAAAGTGATGATGTAGGCCTACGTGCATCATTCCCTAATATGTTTGTCATTAAAGAACCCTGTGCTTGTTGAAGCAAACTGCAATTTGCATAAACCACACGAAGTGCAGTAGGTCTAACCTTTTCTGAGTCAAGATCACTTTCGCAATCAAAAAGCAAGCCGAGATCTACCGCTCAAAAATAAAATGTAACATGACTTAGATTTTTCTACATTAACCTAATAAAAACAGTTCTGTAGGAATGGGTTTTGTGCAGTATTCCTAATACATTGTCACATCATATTGCCTATATGGCTGGACTGTCTGTATTGTTATTCTCAGACCATATTATATTTCAAAACTCGAGGTATGATAACAAAATAGATCAGTTGGTGTAGCACGTGCGATGCACAGCTGAGCATTAATTGAAATAATGTGCAAATAATGTGCTTTTTACTTTACTGGACTGATGATACCTGCATCTGATGGTCATGGTGCTTTCAAGACAACTGTGAACTCGGGAGAAAAAAAACGAGGTAAAATCATGACCAGTGATCTTTAGATCGGAAAGGCGGAGCTCTACATTTACCTCATTTAGCAGACGCTCTTATCCAGAGCGACTTACAGGACCAATTAGGGTTAAGTGCCTTGCTCAAGGGCACATCGACAGATTTTTCACCTAGTCGGCTCTTGGATTACAACCAGCGACCTTTCGGTTACTGGCACAACGCTCTTAACCACTAAGCTACCTGCTGCTCTAGAGAGATGCTCGAGTTTCGGACTTGGACTTCCAAATTGGAAGACCATTCAAAATGATATTTCCCAGCCGAACCTCGTTTTATTTAGAGTTCCGAGATGTTTTGAACGCACTGACGTCGGAAGTCCGAGTTCCCAGTTGTTTTGAACACGGCATTAGTCTCAGCGGAGGGCGGGAGAGAGCAGCAGAGGGTTTGCCTCTCACGGTCCCGGCTCTTTCCTTCCTTACCTCCGGTGAGACTGACCAGAGAGAGGGGACAACGTCTTCCACCTGATGGCGAAACTCGAGTCGCACCGCATCCGCATCTGTCTCATGCACAAATTCATGTTGTTCCTATGACCAGAGAAAGGGAAATATTGCTCGATATTAAAATAGGCACGACGAGCTGCTAATAATAAAAACGCAGGGCTGTCGATACACGTGGCTACTAATTCATTGCAGCTACAGCGCGAGTGGAAGTATGGAGAAGTGTGCTTTATGTTTGGTTATACTGTTGAATAAAAACCTTGTTGACAGTGCTGAATAAAAACGTAATCATGAACTCACTCATGAAAACAGCAGCGCTTTGCTTTATTCTTTGACAGTTTCTCTCTGGTCATGTCTTTATTTATTTTTAAGGTATGACATTTCATGTAGGTTACACTTTGCTTAAAGCCTTACGCACGGTGATTTTAGATATCAGATTGGCCAGCGCGGTAGGAGCACTCGATTTAGCCACAGATCTCCCGGTCCGCCGGTTAGGCGGAGTTTGTCTTTTCAGACAAATGAAAAGGTTCAAAATTGGAACACTTTGCCTACCTGGGTCGCAGGGCTTCTGAATTAAGTGAACCTACCGGCAATAGCGCAACACGAATAAAAAAAAGTAGTGCAAGCCTTTATCGTTGGCTTTTCTACAGAAATGTTTGGTGATAAACTAGGAATGCCTTGAAGATCGAACGCTTGGTGACCACTGGCGGAGGGCGTTTAGGCCCGTTACTTTATACCTCGTTCTCCAACCAAGATGCATGAATTGAGGAGAATAGGAAATTGAGTAACTCTTGGAGGACAGTGGAAGTTGATAAAATAGATGAAAGTGTTAAATGTAAATCCAACGCATTTAGGCCCTTGGCCATTGTGTTATTTCAATGAAGAGGAAATTCAGCAACTCTTGGAGGACAGTGGAAGTTGATAAAATAGCTTTTTTATAAGCCCAGAGTAATGGCCTTCATCTGGATTTCACACACACACACACACACATACACACATACACACACACAAACAGGCTTTCTATGGGTTTAAGGACCAATCTCAATGGGAATGCAAGACAAAAACCGGATGAAGGCTGTCTTACCATTAATTATAAAGAAGCTATTTTATCAACTTCCACTGTCCAAGACTTGCTGAATTTCCTCTTCATTGAAATAACACAGTGAATGATACAGATCAGGTTTTTATTATTCACTAGATGATTGGCCTTTATTTAGGACTACTTGTTTAACTGATAAATGGGGGCGCAATGATTCTCACAATATATGCCAAATATATACTGAAACCGTGCATCATGTTTAACCAATATTCTGGCAAATCGGTTAAACAAAGTCTGGGAGAGGACTACACATTCTAGGCCTGCACCATAACGTTGGATACCAGCCGCCGATAAACCACACCAAAGAAGAAGACATTCCAAGCCTCTGGGTTCGAATCACCTGTTTTTTCACACATCAGAACGTTGCCGAGCAACTTGATACAACAACTGCCAGTGCCTTCAAGCCAAGGGATCTCTTGTAGCACTGTTGATGAACAATAAGATAGCTAGCTAACCACTTGAACAGTTCATACAGAAAATGATCGAATTATTTGAGAATATCCATTTCTGACAGTTTGATGTTGAGCCTGCAAGTTGAGCCTGGCAGTTGATAATGGAGGTAAGTAGCTAGCACGAGCTGTCAGTTAGCTTAGCCAGTTAGCTTAGCTAGCCAGCTAAAGTTAGCTGATGCTAATGTTTTCATCCATGATGAATGACACATTTAGCTAGCAACTGCGTTACCCTTATACTGTATATAAAATATGATACTGTAACATGTATCCCATGGAACTGGCGTAGCTAATACAATATTTTTCTAGTTTATGCCATTATAATGATAGGTAAATTAGCTAGCTAATGTGAGATTTTCACGGTTTCAAACTTTCAGCAGTCTTCAGGCTCTTCTTCAGGAAATGGAGAAGATGAACTTCCAGCAAGGATTGATACTTTACTTCACAGGAAGAAAATCAATAGTAAAGATGAAGAAAAAGAAGAGAGTTACATTTCTATGTAAGTTGTCAGTTATATAGCAAAGTGGTATTTTGAATTCAATAAGAAACTTAGGTACTTGTCAGTATGGATTTTACATTTTTGTCATTTCTACAGGTTACTAAAGAAAAACGAACCTGTCAACAGATCTTGTATACAATTGAGTAAATTATCAGGTGTGGGAGAATCTCCCACTGAAAATGCACTATTATCAAATGTGTCCAGGTCTCCTGTACATGGAAGGAACATTAAGAAAAGTGAGTCTCATCCCCATTTGTGGTATTTTAATGCATTTTGTAAGCAAAATCATTGCGTGCACAACATTTCTGTTTCTATAGGTGGCTGCATGTTCCAGCCCAGCAAGCAGGAGCCACTGTGTCTGAAAAGAGGGGTCCTTGAACCAATTAAACACATGTGTGAAGCCTCAATGATCCCCGCCACATGGAACTATAAAGGGAAGAGAGTGAAAGACGTCCGCTTTGATGCAAAAGGTAGATTACCCCGAAACAGTTACACAGAACTGGTTCATTGAGTTTTTTGCTGCACTTAGCTTTTTTTTATGTAGGCTATTCTGTACATAGCCTACATGTCAGGGTGAGTACATTAGACATAGCATAATTATTGTACATTGTTGGTTCTCTACAGAGCCTGACAATGACTGTGTTGTGGGCCACATAATCAGATTGAGAGAAAAACTGGGCTGGTCCACTGAGATTCCTGACAGGAGAATAGCAAAAGCATACCCACAAAACATACAGGTTGGTTTCCACCATTTTAGCTACTAGGCTACAGTTGAAGTCGGAGGTTTACATACACTTAGGTTGGAGTCATTAAAACTTGTTTTTCAACCACTCCACAAATTTCTTGTTAACAAACTATAGTTTTGGCAAGTCGGTTAGGACATCTACTTTGTGCATGACACAAGTAATTTTTCAAACAATTGTTTACAGACAGATTATTTCACTTATAATTCACTGTATCACAATTCCAGTGGGTCAGAAGTTGACTGTGCCTTTAAACAGCTTGGAAAATTCCAGAAAATTATGTCAAGGCTTTAGAAGCTTCTGATAGGCTAATTGACATCATTTGAGTCAATTGGAGGTGTACCTGTGGATGTATTTCAAGGCCTACCTTCAAACTCAGTGCCTCTTTGCTTGACATCATGGGAAAATCAAAAGAAATCAGCCAAGACCTCAGAAAAAAATTGTAGACCTCCACAAGTCTGGTTCATCCTTGGGAGCAATTTCCAAACGCCTGAAAGTACCACGTTCATCTGTACAAACAATAGTACGCAAGTATAAACACCATGGAACCACGCAGCCGTCATACCGCTCAGGAAGGAGACGCGTTCTGTCTGCTAGAGATGACCGTACTTTGGCGTGAAAAGTGCAAATCAATCCCAGAACAACAGCAAAGGACCTTGTGAAGATGCTGGAGGAAACAGGTACAAAAGTATCTATATCCACAGTAAAATGAGTCCTATATCGACATAACCTGAAAGGCTGCTCAGCAAGGAAGAAGCCACTGCTCCAAAACCTCCATACAAAAGCCAGACTACGGTTTGCAACTGCACATGGGGACAAAGATCATACTTTTTGGAGAAATGTCCTCTGGTCTGATGAAACAAAAATAGAACTGTTTGGCCATAATGACCATCGTTATGTTTGGAGGAAAAAGGGGACAGCTTGCAAGCCGAAGAACACCATCCCAACTGTGAAGCACAGGGGTGGCAGCATCATGTTGTGGGGGTGGTTTGCTGCAGGAGGGACTGGTGCACTTCACAAAATAGATGGCATCATGAGGAAGGAAAATTATGTGGATATATTGAAGCAACATCTCAAGACATCAGTCAGGAAGTTAAAGCTTGGTCGCAAATGGGTCTTCCAAATGGACAATGACCCCAAGCATACTTCCAAAGTTGTGGCAAAATGGCTTAAGGACAACAAAGTCAAGGTATTGGTGTGGGCAGAACTGAAAAAGTGTGTGCGAGCAAGGAGTCCTACAAACCTGACTCAGTTACACCAGCTCTGTCCCGAGGAATGGGCCAAAATTCACTCAACTTATTGTGGGAAGCTTGTGGAAGGTTACCCAAAATGTTTGACCCAAGTTTTTAGGCAATGCTACCAAATACTATTTAAAGGCAACGCTACCAAATTTAAAGGCAATGCTACCAAATACTAATTGAGTGTATGTAAACTTCTGACCCACTGGGAATGTGATGAACGAATTAAAAGCTGAAATAAATCATTCTCTCTACTATTGTTCTGACATTTCACATTCTTAAAATAAAGTGGTGATCCTAACTGACCTAAAACAGGGAATTTTTACTAGGATTAAATGTCAGGAATTGTGAAAAACAGAGTTTAAATGTATTTGGCTAAGGTGTATGTAAACTTCCGACTTCAACTGTATATGATCAATTGATGTGAACCTTATCATTGAGTCTCTACGGTCCATGGTTTTGTATGTTTAAAAAAAATAAATATGTATAACAGTTAAATTGTGTGTTATTTTTTTAAATACACTAGAGAGATTTTGTAATCATTGGGATAGGTCTTCATAATCAATACATAATATTTTAATCAATGCAAATCTAACTCCCTTGTGGATGTTGTGCAGGAAATCCCTGAGGAGACTAAAAAGGATCCTGGAGAGTATGTATACTGTCTGATGAGGAACAGAGGTGACCTCAAGATCCAGCCCAACCCCTATGATCTTCAGGTGGTTTCTGTCCAGACAGCTAAACAGAGCTGTCAGTACTGGACTGTCAGCGCTTCATGCATATTCAAGGTCAGTTCAACCAGTTCACCGTTGAACTGTTAAACGTTGGTGAAAATACATCGATTGCTATTCCCTGTATAGTGCACAACTTTTGACAAGGGACAAAAGTAGTGTACTATATAGGGATTTGGTTGCCATTTGGGACACTCGCATAATTTACTTATATTTTAGGGGCAGGTTTCCCAGACACAAATAAAGTCCTGGGCCCGTATCCATAAAGCATCTCAAAGCAAGAGTTCTGATCTAGGATCTGTCCATATAATCCTATTAATTATAATCTAGAAGGTGAAACTGATCCTAGATCAGCACCTCTACTCTGAGAGACTTTTTGGATACGGCCCTGGACTTAAAAAGCATGTTCAATGGAGATTCTTCAAAGTGTTTTTAATTTGAGTCCAGGGCTACGCTTAATCTGTGTCCAGGAAACCATCCCAAAGAGTCACTCGCCTCACTCTGTTTTATTTTATAGGTGTCTGTTTTGGAAGACAGAAGTGGTGAAATCATGTCTGTAATAGACTGGCTTTCTGAAAGAGAACTGTTCTTCAAAATCTTCAAGTTGCCATTGTTTGCTAAATTCAGGTTTGTATAGTCTATGGTTATTCTTATAAACTCAGCAAAAAAAGAAACATCCCTTTTTCAGGACCCTGTCTTTCAAAGATAATTCGTAAAAATCCAAATAACTTCACAGATCTTAATTGTAAAGGGTTTAAACACTGTTTCCCATGCTTGTTCAATGAACCATAAACAATTAATGAACATGCACCTGTGGAATGGTCGTTAAGACACTAACAGCTTACAGACGGTAGGCAATTAAGGTCACAGTTATGAAAACTTAGGACACTAAAGAGGCCTTTCTACTGACTCTGAAAAACACCAAAAGAAAGATGCCCAGGGTCCCTGCTCATCTGCGTGAACTTGCCTTAGGCATACTGCAAGGAGGCACGAGGACTGCAGATGTGGCCAGGGCAATAAATTGCAACGTCCGTACTGTGAGACGCCTAAGACAGCGCTACAGGGAGACAGGATGGACAGCTGATCGTCCTCGCAGTGGCAGACCACGTGTAACAACACCTGCACAGGATCGGTACATCTGAACATCACACCTGCGGGACAGGTACAGGATGGCAACAACAACTGCCTGAGTTACACCAGGAACGCACAATCCCTCCATCAGTGCTCAGACTGTCCTCAATAGGCTGAGAGAGGCTGGACTGAGGGCTTTTAGGCCTGTTGTAAGGCAGGTCCTCACCAGACATCACCGTCAACAATGTCGCCTATTCGCACAAACCCACCGTCGCTGGACCAGACAGGACTGGCAAAAAGGGCTCTTCACTGACGAGTCGTGGTTTTGTCTCACCAGGGGTGATGGTCGAATTCACGTTTATCGTCGAAGGAATGAGCGTTACACCGAGGCCTGTACTCTGGAGCGGGATCGATTTGGAGGTGGAGGGTCCGTCATGGTCTGGGGCGGTGTGTCACAGCATCATCGGACTGAGCTTGTTGTCATTGCAGGCAATCTCAACGCTGTGCGTTACAGGGAAGACATCCTCCTCCCTCATGTGGTACCCTTCCTGCAGGCTCATCCTGACATGACCCTCCAGCATGACAATGCCACCAGCCATACTGCTCGTTCTGTGCGTGATTCCCTGCAAGACAGGAATGTCAGTGTTCTGCCATGGCCAGCGAAGAGCCCATGAGGAGGAGATGCACTGCAGTACTTAATGCAGCTGGTGGCCACACCAGATACTGACTGTTACTTTTGATTTTGACCCCCCCTTTGTTCAGGGACACATTATTCAGTTTCTGTTAGTGACATGTCTGTGGAACCTGTTCAGTTTCTGTCTCAGTTGTTGAATCTTGTTATGTTCATACAAATATTTACACATGATACGTTTGCTGAAATTAAACGCAGTTGAGAGGATGTTTCTTTTTTTGCTGAGTTTAGAAGGATGATGAAAAGTGTGTATCTGATATGTGTATGTGGAATGTATGTAATATAAGGCTCTGTCGTAGCCGGCCGCGACCGGGAGACCCATGGGGCGGCGCACAATTGGCCCAGCGTCGTCCAGGGTAGGGAAGGGAATGGCTGGCAGGGATGTAGCTCAGTTGGTAGAGCATGGCGTTTGCAACGCCAGGGTTGTGGGTTCGATTCCCACGGGGGGCTAGCATGAAAAAATAAAAAAATAATGTATGCACTCACTAACTGTAAGTCGCTCTGGATAAGAGCGTCTGCTAAATGACTAAAATGTAAATATAATATTGTAAAATACTGTAATTCAGTTTTACAATGCACTTTTTGCTCTCTGTAGAATTTGGAAGGCTTTTACAATCTGGAAGGTCACAGTATGCCACTCAAAGACCAAGAAGGCTAAGTGAGTGTTGATCAAGTATTTGCTGCCACATGATATTTCATTTGTCTTATTATATGTCTCCTGCCTTCTTCTTCTTCTTCTTCTTCTTCTTCTTCTTCTTCTTCTTCTTCTTCTTCTTCTTCTTCTTCTTCTTCTTCTTCTTCTCTTTGTCTCCACACTATTAAATAATAATATGCCATTTAGCAGACGCTTTTATCCAAATCGACTTATCTTCCAAATAAAAGTTAAGAGCTTTTTTTTTTTTAGGGAAATGTTATCCAAAGGTCTGTTTTTTGCTGATGACATCTTCTTGAGATGTCTGGTTGAAATAATATAAATATAATATAATATAATATGCCATTTAGCAGACGCTTTTATCCAAAGCGACTAACAGTCATGCGTGCATACATTTTTGTGTATGGGTGGTCCCGGGGATCGAACCCACTATCTTGGCGTTACAAGCGCCGTGCTCTACCAGCTGAGCTACAGAGGACCACAAAAATCAAATCAAAGGACTTTTTGAGACGGCCAGTGACAAAACAAGATATGGGGATTCTGACGGTGCCATTGTTTTAACAAAGGTAGGACCATGTTTTTTGGATAACTATCTTCATTGATAATATTGTTTTCAACTCCTTTCTAATAACATGTTTTTGTTTATTCTACCTAGTTGGATAAATCCACCACATACTCCTTGATAGGATTCTGTGAGGCCCAGACCCAACAATGTGCTGTAGCACTGAGACATCTTCAGTGCCTTCACCACAAAGTTGCCACTTTGATTCGCGCCGCTTGTCTGAAGGTACACTACATTTGTCCTTTAGATTGTTATGAGGACATGTAATTACAGTCCTGAAAAAACATCTCTGTCGCTATCCTCTACTGATCAACATGTCCCTGACTGAGTCTGTAATACCAACATGTTTCAAGCAGACCACCATAGTCCCCGTGCCCAAGGACTCTAAGATAACCTGCCTAAATGACTACCGACCCGTAGCACTGACGTCTGTAGCCATGAAGTGCTTTGAAAGGCTGGTCATGGCTCACATCAACAGCATTATCCCAGAAACCCTAGACCCACTCCAATTTGCATACCGCCCCAACAGATCCACAGATGATGCAATCTCTATTGCACTCCACACTGCCCTTCCCCACCTGGACAAGAGGAACACCTACGTGAGAATGCTATTCATTGACTACAGCTCAGCATTCAACACCATAGTGCCCTCAAAGCTTATCACTAAGCTAAGGATCCTGGGACTAAACACCTCCCTCTGCAACTGGATCCTGGACTTCCTGACGGGCCGCCCCCCAAGTGGTAAGGGTAGGTAACAACACATCTGCTACACTGATCCTCAACACAGGGGCCCCTCAGGGGTGCGTGCTCAGTCCCCTCCTGTACTCCCTGTTCACCCATGACTGCATGGCCAGGCACGACTCCAACACCATCATTAAGTTTGCCGACGACACAACAGTGGTAGGCCTGATCACCGACAACGATGAGACAGCCTATAGGGAGGAGGTCAGAGACCTGGCCGTGTGGTGCCAGGACAACAACCTCTCCCTCAACGTGACCAAGACAAAGGAGATGATTGTGGACTACAGGAAAAAAAAGAGGACTGAGCACGCCCCCATTCTCATCGACGGGGCTGTAGTGGAACAGGTTGAGAGCTTCAAGTTCCTTGGTGTCCACATCACCAACGAACTATCATGGTCCAAACACACCAAGACAGTCGTGAAGAGGGCACAACAAAGCCTATTCCCCCTCAGGAGACTGAAAAGATTTGGCATGGGTCCTCAGATCCTCAAAAGATTCTACAGCTGCACCATCAAGAGCATCCTGACTGGTTGCATCACCGCCTGGTATGGCAACTGCTTGGCCTCCGACCGCAAGGCACTACAGAGGGTAGTGCGTACGGCCCAGTACATCACTGGGGCCAAGCTTCCTGCCATCCAGGACCTCTATACCAGGCGGTGTCAGAGGAAAGCCCTCAAAATTGTCAAAGACTCCAGCACCCTAGTCATAGACTGTTCTCTCTGCTACCGCACGGCAAGCGGTACCGGAGTGCCAAGTCTAGGTCCAAAAGACTTCTCAACAGCTTCTACCCCCAAGCCATAAGACTCCTGAACAGCTAATCATGGCTACCCGGACTATTTGCACTGACCCCCCACCCCATCCTTTTACGCTGCTGCTACTCTGTTAATTATTTATGCATAGTCACTTTAACTCTGCCCACATGTACATATTACTTCAACTACCTCAACTAGCCAGTGCCCCCGCACATTGACTCTGCACCGGTACCCCCCTGTATATGTCACGGATTCTGCCGAGGCTGCTCCTCCTCCTTGCTCGGGCAGGCTTCGGCGTTCGTCGTCCCCGGAGTACTAGCTACCACCGTTAGATGTTTCGATGTTTGATTGGTTTGGTCTGTCTGTTGCACCTGTGTCCGTTTGTGTCTGATTATGTGTCCTATAAGTTTCCTGCTTTGTGTTTGTGAGTTTGTGTGTTATTTTCCGCCTGTCCGTTGGTGTCACCCGTGCAGTACTCTGGACTTTGTTTATTGTGACGCACTGTGTTTGCGTTGTCGCTCGCCTCCTTGTTTGAGGTCCTTTATTTTTGTTCTGTTTATACAGTTTAGTAAAGTCTTGTTTGACTGAGCCTATGCGTCCTGCGTCTGACTCCTTAACCACATCCACATCAACACTGACAGTATATATAGCCTCCCTACTGTTATTTTATTTTACTTCTGCTCTTTTTTTCTCAACAATTTTTTTGTTGTTGTTTTATTTTTTACTTTTTAGTTAAAAATAAATGCACTGTTGGTTAAGGGCTGTAAGTAAGCATTTCACTGTAATGTCTGCACCTGTTGTATTCGGCGCATGTGGCCAATACAATTTGATTTGATTTGATTTGATCTACCCTGGTTTTGATGTTTGGCATGACAACAACCATAGTTGTTGGCAAGACAGCACAAACAGATCTGAGTCCTAATTCATAAAGAACCCCAGAGTAAGAGTGCTGATATAGGATCAGATCCATGGAATATTATTCAGTATGATCTATAAGGCTAAACTAATCCCAGATCAACACTCCTGAGACACTTTATATTGAATAAGATATATTGAATATATCATTGTACTGTCTTTTTTCTTGTTAGGCAACAGAGGTCCAGGGTGCAGAGAGACTGTTCCTCCCTCTGTCCTCTCTGTCGACCAACAGGCCGCTGTATGCTGAGGTGGCTGAGTGGAGGGTCCTCTTGTGTCGCTTTAGCCACTTCCTCAACATGATAGACAGAATGTTTGAAGAGATGCTCTGTGTCTTGGTCAGATCTGCAGTTCAACTCCTTCTGTCTTTCCTCCGAGAGTCCTGTAACACTAATGGAGTGAAAGAGAGAAGACAAGAGACAAAGTAAGTGGTTTTTAAGGGAGATATAATTTAGTATGGTTATGGTATTTGTTTGTCAATTAGTTTAATTAGCATGCTTGCGATGTTGAAATATTTGTCTGTGTACTCCCTAGAAAAGTGGCAAGGATGGATGCAAGTGGACCTTACAGAAATATTATCAAAGAGCCAACTGATCGTAATGCAGCGCATAGACTTTATTCACACAGCCAAGGCCAACCACAGCTAGTTAACAAGGTAGATCAGCTTTTATCTATTGTGCCAATGTGGTCAGAAACATGTAAACATCACTAAACAATGTGTCAATTTGTAATACTAAATTCACTTTCACATGATCACATTTTCTAGTAATCTCTTGTGGACAGACTTTAGTTCTGGGTTAACTGAGATTACATTTCTAGATGCTACCAGATTTTAAAAATGAGGAGCCTGAAGAAGAGATCCAGGCTGTATTTGAAGTGAACGTCCTGCTTACAGTCACACCTGTGAACCAGCCAATGACAGATGATGTCTCAACCAAAGGTACAACAGAGCTCCACTCTGAAGTCGACAGGAAAGGTGAATCCCATTTATAGTAAAGAAACTACTAAAATATATTATAACTCTATGAACTAAAGTGTTCAACTTAAATGTCTGCGGAAGCTTAACGTTTCTTCATCCCAGATACGGAGAAGGATAAAGAGGTTTCCCGTGAGGAGACTCCATGGCGGTATGACTTCATTTATATATTACAATAAACTATATCGCTCCATGTTCCTCTATTAGAAAAATGCATGAATTCCACAAACATCAGCTAGTGTTTTTCTGATAATCTGTCACCTCAGTCAGTGAAGTGATGATATTACACGGATGCTGTTGTTTTCTTTCTCCAAGCTCGCCCAGCAAACGAGTGAAGCTGACCATCTATCCCTGCCTTGATGACTTCACACTGCACATTAAACAGGTGCTACAGGGATTTGAACAAGTCATTGGTAAGACATTCTCTAAAGATTTAAACTCACAGCCTTGTTGTCTTGTAAATAGTGTAGGTTCATAAGTATTATGCTGTTTTAAAGTGCAGAGCTTTGCCAGACAGTCATGGACAGCGTCCCAAATGGCACCCTATTCCCTACATACAGTGCATTCGGAAATCATTCAGACCCCTTGACTTTTTCCACATTTTGTTACGTTAAAGCCTTATTCTAAAATTATTATTTTTACTCATTATTCTACACACAATACCGCATAATGACAAAGAGAAAACAGTTTTTTTTTTAATTTCTGCAAAGTTATAAAAAACTGAAATACCTTATTTACTAAAGTATTGAGACCCTTTGCTATGAGACTCGAAATTGAGCTTAGGTGCATCCTGTTTCCATTGATCATCCTTGAGATGTTTCTACAACTTGATTGGAATCCATCTGTGGTAAATTCAATTGATTGGACATGATTTGGAAAGGCACAAACCTGTCTATATAAGGTCCCACAGTTGACAGTGCATGTCAGAGCAAAAACCAAGCCATGAGGTCGAAGGAATTGTCCGTAGAGCTCTGAGACAGGATTGTGTCGAGGCACAGATCTGGGTAAGGGTACCAAAACATTTCTGCAGCATTGAAGGTCCCTAAGAACACAGTGGCCTCCATCATTCTTAATTGGAACCACCAAGACTCTTCCTAGAGCTGGCCGCCCGGCCAAACTGAGCAATTGGGGGAGAAGGGACTTTGTCAGGGAGGTGACCAAGAACCCGATGGTCACATTGACAGAGCTCCAGAGTTCCTCTGTGGAGATGGGAGAACCTTCCAGAAGGACAACCATCTCTGCAGCACTCTATCACTCTACCAACCAGGCCTTTATGATAGAGTGGCCAGACGGAAGCCACTCCTCAGTAAAAGGCACATGACAGCCCGCTTGGAGTTTGTCAAAAGGCACCTAAAGGACTCTTAGACCATGGAAACAAGATTCTCTGGTCTGATGAAACCAAGATTGAACTCTTTGGCCTGAATGCCAAGCGTCATGTCTGGAGGAAACCTGGCACCATCCCTACGGTAAAGCATGGTGGTGGCAGCATCATGCTGTGGGGATGTTTTTCAGCGACAGGGACTGGGAGACTAGTCAGAATTGAGGGAAAGATGAACGGAGCAAAGTACAGAGAGATCCTTGATGAAAACCTGCTCCAGAGTGCTCAGGACCTCAGACTGGGGCGAAGGTTCACCTTCCAACAGGACAATGACCCTAAGCACACAGCCAAGACAACGCAGGAGTGGCTTCGGGACAAGTGTCTGAGTGTCCTTGAGTGGCCCAGCCAGAGCCCGGACTTGAATCTGCAGAGAAAAATGGGAGAAACTCCCCAAATACAGGTGTGCCAAGCTTGTAGCGTTATACCAAAGAAGACTCGAGGCTGTAATCGCTGCCAAAGGGGTTTCAACAAAGTACTGTGTAAAGGGTCTGAATACTTATGTAAATGTTATATTTCAGTTTTTTATTTGTAATACATTTGCAAAAATTTCTAAAACCTGTTTTTGCTTTGTCATTATGGGGTATTGTGTGTAGATTGATGAGGGAAAAAACCAATTTAATCAATTTTAGAATAAGGCTGTAACGTAACAAAATGTGGAAAAAGTCAAGGGGTCTGAATACTTTCCGAATGTACTCTACTGTAGGTTATGATGAACTTCACAGGGTGGTGAAAGTTCACAGTGATGAGCTTGATGCTCCTTTCCAATAAATATCCAGGGTCTTATTCTGGTGACATGATGATCGATGCTTGGCTGCCATTTGACAAATACAAATAATCTCCTTTATGGACAGTAATTTGTCCATTAAGGAATCTCATCGTGTAGGTAGCCTTCCCGCACTGTCTGCGAGATGTTGGCTAGAGCACGCGTGCCAAAACCAGAGTGGGCACATTCGCTATATAACGCAACAGTTTATGTGACAAAACCATCAGTAGAGTTGAAAATGCAATGGAAATAATAATGTGCAAATATTGTACAATCCAGGTGTTCAAAGCTCTTAGAGACTTACCCAGAAAGACTCACAGCTGTAACCGCTGCCAAAGGTTATTATATCATGTATTGACTCAGTGGTGTGAATACCTATGTAAATGAGATATTTCTGTATTTCTTTTTCAATAAATTTGCTAACATTTCTAAAAACATGTTTTCACTTAGTTATTATGTGGTATTGTGTGTAAAACATTTATTAAATCCCTTTTGAATTCAGGCTGTATCACAACAAAATGTGGAATAAGTCGAGGGGTGTGAATACTTTCTGATGGCACTATACAGGTCCTTTTCCAACAATGCAGAGTTAAAAAGAAAATATATAAATATAAATAGTGACATGAGGAATAAATACACAGTGAATAACGAATAACAATAACGAGTAAAAATAACATGGCTACAGTGCCTTGCAAAAGTATTCATCCCCCTTGGCGTTTTTTCCTATTTTGTTGCATTACAACCTGTAATTTAAATGGATTTTTATTTGGATTTCATGTAATGGACATACACAAAATAGTCCAAATTGGTGAAGTGAAATGAACAAAAATTACTTGTTTCAAGAAATTCTAAAAAATAAATAACGGAAAAGTGGTGCGTGCATATGTATTCACCCCCTTTGCTATGAAGCGCCTAAATAAGATCTGGTGCAACCAATTCCCTTCAGAAGTCACATAATTAGTTAAATAAAGTCCAGCTGTGGGCAATCTAAGTGTCACATGATCTCAGTATATATACACCTGTTCTGAAAGGCACCAGAGTCTGCAACACCACTAAGCAAGGGGAGAAGTACAGATCAGGGTTGGGTTATAAAAAAATATCTGAAACTTAGACCATCCCACGGAGCACCATTAAAGCCATTATTAAAAAAATCGAAAGAATATGGCACCACTACAAACCTGCCAAGAGAGGGCCGCCCACCAAAACTTACGGACCAGGCAAGGAGGGCATTAATCAGAGAGGCAACAAAGAGACCAACGATAAGCCTGAAGGAGCTGCAAAGCTCCACAACGGAGATTGGAGTATCTGTCCATAGGAACACTTTAAGCCGTACACTCCACAGAGCTGGACTTTACGGAAGAGTGGCCAGAAAAAAAGCCATTGCTTAAAGAAAAAAATAAGCAAACACGTTTGGTGTACGCCAAAAGGCATGTGGGAGACTCCCCAAACATATGGAAGAAGGTACTCTGGTCAGATGAGACTAAAATTGAGCTTTTTGGCCATCAAGGAAAACGCTATGTCTGGCGCAAACCCAACACCTCTCATCACCCTGAGAACACCAATGTTTTTCATCGGCAGGGACTGGGAAACTGGTCAGAATTGAAAGAATGATGGATGCTAAATAGAGGGAAATTCTTGAGGGAAACCTGTTTCAGTCTTCCAGAGATTTGAGACTGGGACAGAGGTTCACCTTCCAGCAGGACAATGACCCTGTCACGGTTTCGGCCGAGGCTGCTCCTCCTCCTGGTTCGGGCAGGCTTCGGCGTTCGCCGTCCCCGGAGTATTAGCTGCCACCGCTCTATGTTTCTGTGTTTGATTGCTTTTGTCTGTCTGTCACACCTGTGTCTGTTTGAGTGTTGATTATGTGTCTTATAAGTTCCTTGTTTTGCTCTATGGTAATTGTGTGTTGTTATTTTCCGTTGCCACTTTGTAGATATACGTGTTTGTTTTCCGTGTCATTTTTCCTTGTTTAGTGTTTTACGCGTGTGCGTAATTATCCCTCGCCACTTCGTGTTATCGAGGTCAGGGTTTGTAATCTTGCTTTTGAGACTATTAAAAGTCTTGTTGGACTAACCTCTGCTTCCTGCGCTTGACTCCTCCACCACATCCACAACGGTTTATGACAGAACAACACACCATCATGGAGTCAGCAGGATCAGCGGCGGCACCCGAATCCCTGCTGGACCGGATCAATTTCCAGGACGCCATGATCCAGCAACTCGGGACCGTCATGGACGAGGTGTCCAACGCCCTGCGCCGATTGGTGAACTCTGAGGTGGCCAAGGACCCTTACAACATCGCATCACCAACGGCCAGTCCTCCTCTCTCAGTACCGGAACCCAGTGGCATTCGGCTCTCACTCCCGAGGGCATATGACGGTTCTGCAGCCGGGTGTCAGGGATTCCTCCTGCAGGTAGAACTGTACCTTGCCACTATACACCCGGCGCCCTCGGGATACGAGAGCGTCTCCGCCCTCATCTCCTGTCTCTCCGGCAAGGCGTTGGAATGGGCCAACGCCGAATGGAGGGGAATAGACGCCGCTACCATCACCTACGCGGAGTTCTCCCGCCGCTTCAGGGCTGTCTTCGATCATCCCCCTGAGGGGAAAGCGGCGGGAGAGCGTCTATTCCACCTCCGACAGGGGAAGAGGAGCGCACAGGAGTTCGCACTGGAGTTCCGGACACTAGCGGCGGATGCGGGGTGGAATGAGAGGGCCCTCATCGACCAGTACCGATGTAGTCTACGAGAGGACGTTCGTAGGGAGCTGGCCTGCAGGGACACCAACCTGTCGTTTGACCAGTTGGTGGACATTTCCATCCGTCTGGATACCCTGCTGGCTACCCGCGGACGTCCCGAGTGGGGGTCGTCCAGTCCACCCTCTAGCACCCCCGAGCCGATTCCCATGGAGCTGGGGGGTGCTGGCGCTAGAGAGAGGAGGAGAGGGAACCCGAGGGGGGCCATCCCCTGCACCACCTGCGGTCGTGGAGGACACACTGCGGCCAGGTGCTGGGGAGGGTCTCCTGGGAGAGGTGACAACAGGCCACGCACTGGGGAGTCATTTCAGGTGAGTAGGCGCCCCACTCACCCAGAGCTCTCTGTTGGTCACATGAGTATTCCTGTGAGGTTTCCACAGGTGGCACCTCATTCCCAGCATAAGGCGCTAGTAGATTCAGGCGCAGCTGGGAACTTTATTGATCGAGCATTTTGTGCTAGGTTAGGAATTCCCCTTCGGCCGGTAGAAGTTCCATTCCCTGTCCACGCATTAGACAGCCGGCCGTTGGGGTCGGGTCTGATCAGGGATGTCACAGCACCGCTGATGATGACGACGCAGGGGGGTCATGAGGAAATCATTCAGTTCTATCTGATTGACTCTCCTGCGTACCCAGTGGTGTTGGGCCTTCCCTGGTTAAGCACCCATGATCCTACCATAGCGTGGCAACAGAGGGCTCTTATGGAGTGGTCTGCCCAGTGTGTAGGGAGATGTCTAGGTGTTTCCATAGGGGCGACCTCGGTAGAGAGTCCGAACCAAGTGCCCGCACTGCGCATTCCCCCCGAGTATGAGGATTTAGCACTTGTGTTTAGCAAATCGAGGGCAGCACGGCTACCTCCTCATAGACAGGGGGACTGTGCGATAAATCTCCAGACCGGAGCGGCTCTTCCCCGGAGTCATGTGTATCCCCTGTCTCAAGAGGAAACTGCGGCTATGGAGACATACATAGCCGAGTCCTTGGCACAGGGATACATACGGTTCTCTACTTCCCCAGTCTCTTCGAGTTTCTTCTTTGTGAAGAAGAAGGACGGGGGATTGCGCCCGTGTATTGATTATCGTAGTCTCAATCAGATCACAGTTAAATACAGCTACCCACTTCCACTGATTGCGACGATGACGGAGTCATTACGCGGAGCGCGGTTCTTCACAAAGTTGGATCTCAGGAGCGCGTACAATCTGGTGCGCATTAGGGAGGGGGATGAATGGAAGACAGCATTTAGCACCACCTCGGGTCATTACGAGTATCTCGTCATGCCATACGGTTTAATGAATGCTCCTTCAGTCTTCCAATCCTTTGTTGACGAGATTTTCCGGGACATGCATGGGCAGGGAGTAGTAGTTTACATTGACGACATCCTAGTGTACTCTGCTACTCGAGCCGAGCATGTAGCCCAGGTACGCCGAGTGTTGAGACGACTGTTGGAGCATGACTTGTATGTCAAGGCAGAGAAATGCCTGTTCTTCCAGGAGTCCGTCTCCTTTTTGGGTTATCGGTTGTCCGCGTCTGGTGTGGAGATAGAGGTAGACCGGGGTATCGGCCGTGCGTAATTGGCAAACTCCAACCACTGTAAAAGAGGTGCAGCAGTTCTTGGGTTTTGCTAATTACTACCGGAAGTTTATTCGGGGTTTTGGACAGGTTGCAGCTCCCATTACGTCCCTGCTAAAGGGGGGTCCGGTTCGCTTGCAGTGGTCGGCTGAGGCGGACAGGGCATTTGTCAAACTTAAGAACCTGTTCACCTCGGCTCCTGTGCTGGCGCATCCGGATCCCTCTTTACCATTCCAGGTTGAGGTAGACGCGTCCGAGACTGGTATTGGGGCAGTTCTATCACAACGGTCCGGCACGCCACCTAAACTCCGCCCCTGTGCGTTCTACTCCAAGAAGCTCAGCGCGGCGGAGAGTAACTATGATGTCGGGGACAGGGAGCTGTTAGCCGTAGTCCAGGCCCTAAAGGTGTGGAGGCATTGGCTTGAGGGGGCTCAACACCCTTTCCTCATTCTGACGGATCACCGTAACCTGGAGTACATCCGGGCAGCTAGGAGATTGAACCCTCGTCAGGCTAGGTGGAACATGTTCCTAACCCGGTTCGTTTTTAAGATCACATACATCCCTGGGTCCCAGAATGGTAAGGCAGACGCCCTGTCCCGGCGGTATGACACAGAGGAGAGGTCCAACGAGCCTACTTCCATACTGCCGGAGTCTTGTTTGGTGGCTCCGGTGGTGTGGGAGGTCGATTCAGAAATCGAGCGGGCACTGCGTACCGACCCTACTCCCCCCGAGTGTCCTGTGGGGCGGACGTACGTTCCGCTCGAGATTCGTGATCGACTTATTTATTGGGCTCATACATCACCCTCCTCTGGACATCCAGGTATTGGCCGGACATTGCACTGTCTTAGCATGAAATACTGGTGGCCAACGTTAGCCAGGGATGTGAGGGTTTATGTCTCCTCCTGCTCGGTGTGTGCCCAGTGTAAGGCGCCTAGACATTTGCCCAGGGGTAAGCTACATCCCCTGCCCGTTCCACAACGACCATGGTCCCACCTATCGGTGGATTTCGTAACCGACCTTCCCCCCTCCCAGGGGAATACCACCATTTTGGTCGTTGTGGATCGGTTTTCCAAGGCCTGTCGTCTCCTTCCCATGCCGGGTATCCCTACTGCCCTACAAACCGCTGAGGCCCTATTCACCCATGTTTTCCGGCACTATGGGGTCCCCGAGGATATTGTGTCTGACCGAGGTCCCCAGTTCACTTCCAGAGTTTGGGGAGCGTTCATGGAACGGTTGGGGGTCTCGGTAAGCCTTACCTCGGGGTACCACCCAGAGAGTAATGGGCAGGTGGAACGTGTCAACCAGGATGTGGGTAGGTTTTTGAGGTCCTATTGCCGGGACCGGCCGGAGGAGTGGTCGAGGTTCATCCCCTGGGCAGAGATGGCCCAGAACTCTCTCCGCCACTCCTCCACCAACTTAACACCTTTCCAGTGTGTTTTAGGTTATCAGCCGGTCCTGGCACCGTGGCACGAGAGCCAGATCGAGGCCCCTGCGGTGGACGAGTGGATTCGGACGAGTGAATAGTTATGCACGCTCAAGTTTTCTGTTTTTCTGTCATATTTCTTGTTTGTTTCACCCCAAAAATATTTTGCATCTTCAAAGTGGTAGGCATGTCGTGTAAATCAAATGATACAAACCCCCCCAAAATCCATTTTAATTCCAGGTTGTAAGGCAACAAAATAGGAAAAATGCCAAGGGGGGTGAATACTTTCGCAAGCCACTGTATATACTGGGAGTACCAGTACCGAGTCGATATTCAGGGATACGAGGTAATTGAGGTAGCTACAGTGCATTCGGAAAGTACTAAGACCCCTTGACTTTTTCCACATTTTGATACGTTACAGCCTTATTCTAAAATTGATGAAATTGTTTTTTTCCCCTCATCAATCTACACACAATACCACATAATGACAAAGTGAAAACAGGTTTTTAGAAATGTTTGCTAATTTATAAAATAAAATAAACTGATATCACATTTACAAACGTATTCAGACCCTTTGTTATGAGACTCGAAATTGAGCTCAGGTGCATCCTGTTTCCATTGATCATCCTTGAGATGTTTCTACAACATGATTGGAGTCCACCTGCGGTAAATTCAATTGTTTGGACATGGTTTGGAAAGGCACACACCTGTCTATAAAAGGTCCCACAGTTGACAGTGCATATCAGAGCAAAAACCATGCCTTGAGGTCGAAGGAATTGTCCGTAGAGCTCAGAGACAGGATTGCGTCGAGGCACAGATCTGGGGAAGGGTACCAAAACATTTCTGCAGCGTTGAAGGTCCCCAAGAACACAGTAGCCTCCATCATTCTTAAATGGAAGAAGTTTGGAACCACCAAGACTCTTAGTAGAGCTGGCCGCCCGGCCAAACTGAGCAATTGGGGGAGAAGCGTTTTTTTCAGGGAGGTTACCAAGAACCCGATGGTCACATTGACAGAGCTCCAGAGTTCGTCTGTGGAGATGGGAGAACCTTCCAGAAGGACAACCATCTCTGCAGCACTCCACCAGTCAGGCCTTTATGGTAGAGTGGCCAGACGGAAGGCACTCCTCAGAAAAGGCACATGACAGCCTGCTTGGAATTTGCCAAAAGGCACCTAAAGGACTCAGACCATTAGAAACAAGATTCTCTTGTCGGATTAAACAAAGATTGAACTCTTTGGCCTCTTTGACCCGATCGAACATCTCTGGAGAGACCTGAAAATAGCTGTGCAGCGACGCTCCCCATCCAACCTGACAGAGCTTGAGAGGATCTGCAGAGAATAATGTGAGAAACTCCCCAAATACAGGTGTGCGAAGCCTGTAGCATCATACCCAAGAAGACTCAAGGCTGTAATCGCTGCCAAAGGTGCTTCTGTAGGTAGGGGTAAAGTGACTAGACAGCAGGATAAATAATAGACTGAGCTGTAGCAGCAGTATACTGTAGATAGGGGTAAAGTGACTAGGCAACAGGATAGATAATAGACAGTAGCAGCAGTATACTGTAGGTAGGGGTAAAGTGACTAGACAACATAATAGATAATAGACTGAGCTGTAGCAGCAGTATACTGTAGGTAGGGGTAAAGTGACTAGACAACAGGATATATAATAGACTGAGCTGTAGCAGCAGTATACTGTAGGTAGGGGTAAAGTGACTAGACAACAGGATAGATAATAGACAGTAGCAGCAGTATACTGTAGGTAGGGGTAAAGTGACTAGACAACAGGATAGATAATAGACTGAGCTGTAGCAGCAGTATACTGTAGGTAGGGGTAAAGTGACTAGACAACAGGATAGATAATAGACTGAGCTGTAGCAGCAGTATACTGTAGGTAGGGGTAAAGGGACTAGACAACAGGATAGATAATAGACAGTAGCAGCAGTATACTGTAGGTAGGGGTAAAGTGACTAGACAACAGGATAGATAATAGACAGTAGCAGCAGTATACTGTAGGTAGGGGTAAAGGGACTAGACAACAGGGTAGATAATAGACAGTAGCAGCAGTATACTGTAGGTAGGGGTAAAGTGACTAGACAACAGGATAGATAATAGACTGAGCTGTAGCAGCAGTATACTGTAGGTAGGGGTAAAGTGACTAGACAACAGGATATATAATAGACTGAGCTGTAGCAGCAGTATACTGTAGGTAGGGGTAAAGTGACTAGACAACAGGATAGATAATAGACAGTAGCAGCAGTATACTGTAGGTAGGGGTAAAGTGACTAGACAACAGGATAGATAATAGACTGAGCTGTAGCAGCAGTATACTGTAGGTAGGGGTAAAGGGACTAGACAACAGGATAGATAATAGACAGTAGCAGCAGTATACTGTGTAGGGGTAGGGTAAAGGGACAGTAGCAGCATATACTGTGTAGGGTAAGATAATAGAACAGTAGCAGCAGTATACTGTAGGTAGGGGTAAAGTGACTAGACAACAGGATAGATAATAGACTGAGCTGTAGCAGCAGTATACTGTAGGTAGGGGTAAAGGGACTAGACAACAGGATAGATAATAGACTGAGCTGTAGCAGCAGTATACTGTAGGTAGGGGTAAAGTGACTAGACAACAGGATATATAATAGACTGAGCTGTAGCAGCAGTATACTGTAGGTAGGGGTAAAGTGACTAGACAACAGGATAGATAATAGACAGTAGCAGCAGTATACTGTAGGTAGGGGTAAAGTGACTAGACAACAGGATAGATAATAGACTGAGCTGTAGCAGCAGTATACTGTAGGTAGGGGTAAAGTGACTAGACAACAGGATAGATAATAGACTGAGCTGTAGCAGCAGTATACTGTAGGTAGGGGTAAAGGGACTAGACAACAGGATAGATAATAGACAGTAGCAGCAGTATACTGTAGGTAGGGGTAAAGTGACTAGACAACAGGATAGATAATAGACTGAGCTGTAGCAGCAGTATATGTGGAGCAGTAGCAGCAATGTATGTTGTGAGTGTGTGTCGTCAGTGTGCATGTGTGCGTATGTTATGTGTGTGTAGGCGTATGTACAAGTAATGTGTGTGTGTGTGTGTGTGTGTATTGGGGTGTCAGTGTAAGTATGTGTGAGTGTATGGGTAGAGACCAGTGTGTGTGTGCATAGAGTCAGTGCAAGAGAGTTAGTTCAAAAAAGGGTCAATGCAGGTAGTCCAGGTAGACATTTGATTAGCTATTTAGCAGCCTAGTTTAGCAGTCTTATAGCTTGGGGGTAGAAGCTGTTCAGGGTCCTGCTGGTTCCAGACTTGGTGCACTGGTACCGCTTGCCGTGGGCTTTCCTCTGACACAGAGGTCCTGGATGGCAGGGAGCTCGGCCCCAGTGATGTACTGGGCTGTACTCACCATCCTCTGTTGCGCCTTGCAGTCGGGTGCCTTGCAGTTGCCATACCAAGCGGTGATGCAGCCAGTCGAGATGCTCTCAATGGTGCAGCTGTAGAACTTTTTGAGGATTTGACGGCCCATGCCAAATCTTTTCAGCCACCTGAAGGGGGAAGAGACGCTGTCGTGCCATCTTCACAACACCAAAAGTATTGGGATAAATTCACTTATGTGTATTCAAGTAGTAAAAAGTTAAGTATTTGGTCCCATTTTCCTAGTACGCAATGGCTACATTAAGCTTGTGACTGTACAACTTGTTGGATGCATTTGCTGTTGTGTTGGTTGTGTTTCAGATTATTTTGTGTCCAATAGAAATTAATGGTAAATAATGTATTTTGTAATTTTGGAGTGGCTTTTATTGTAAATAAGAATATAATATGTTTTCTAAACACTTCTACATTCATGTGGATGCTACCATGATTACGGATAATCCTGAATGAATCGTGAGTAATGATAAGTAAGAAAGTTACAGATGCACAAATATCATAACCCCAAGACATGTTAACCCCTCAACATTACCATTACAATAACAGGGGAGGTTAGCATTTTTGGGGGGTATGATCTTTGACCCTTTGTAACTTTCTCCACTCATCATTATTCACAAGTCTTTAACTTTTACTTCAAAGTCATTGTATCATTTAAAATCCAAAGTGCTGGGGGGGGGGGGGGGGGGGGGGGGTCACTGTGGGAGTCACTGTGGGATGAATTGAGATACTTTTTGAAGAGGTATTTTCCATAGAACTGTACAGAGTGTCGTTGTTTGTCGCTAACCTATTACTAGTTCGACGTGTTTTTCTATATTCTACATATGGTTTGTTGACATATGACATGGACCTTGACACAGATGATACACATCTGATGTGTTTGTTGATTTCCAGCTATCGGACATCCTCAGTACCGTCCAGCGAGGGATGCAGGGAGTGGAGAAGCACTGTCAGAGGATAGAGAAGTTCTGTGATATGGTGGAGACAGCCATGTTGACTGACATCGATACGTTCTTGGCCGGGGAGAAATGGTCTCCCCAGGATATCAAGGCCATCTTGGCGGTGCACACAGAGAGCATCAGGCTGATGAAGAGGATAGAGACTGAGACCCGCGTCAACATGATCCTGGTCAGGTGTCACCATTACCAGACAAACTGCCTGCCCTACCCACAGGCTCTCATCTTTACTATTCACTCCAGGCTCCCCTCCATCGTTAAGAAGAAGAACCTCGAACTGATGGAGGTTTGTTAAATAGAACATTAGTATACCATAGTTTTTGTTGTTGTTTTTGAAGCTCGTCTAAATACCAGATACTCTACCTACAGTCATGAAGTAAACTTTAGACTTCATGCATATTTCATGCTCAGGCTATTCATATTTTGAAGTTATTGTAACTGCGTTGAGGATCTTTGACCGGTACTACTTTTTGGTTATACTTTCCTCTCCATCTGTTCAATCAGGTGATCAGAGGAGCTCTTAAGAAGCTGGATAAAGACATTTTTACATTGGAAGAGTTTGTGGAGCATCTGACCTTCCTGAGTCGGATATCTGTGCAGATTCCCACTCTGCAGAGACAGTATCAGCTCCTCATCCAGCTCTATAGTATGGCTAAAGAGTACCAGATCGCTATCTCTCCTGAGGAGCTGGCTTTGTACCAGCACCTCGTCCCCAGCTTCCAGCATCTCAAATCCACTGTCATGATCTGTGAAACCAAGAGGGATGACAACATCTTCAAGTTCAGTGTTGATCTGGGCAAACACTTAAATCAACTCAGATTTGAGCTTGTTCTGGTCAAAATGAAGGTACGGTTGATCTTCTAGCAGTTATTGTGCTTTATTCCCCTCCTTAATACTCAATAAGAGTCATTATTCTTGATTGTGATTTCCTCTTCCTGACAAAGCTGCCTAGCCTGGTCTCACACCTGTTCAAACTGCCAATGGTTTGACAATGATTACCATAGGAGTTGGCAAGACACCGCAAACATATTTAGGACCGGGCTAAGAGATGTCACAAATCTCTTATTTCTCAGGTGAACAATCCCATCCTGCTTTGCTCCTACACGTCTCCCAAAGTGGCCAATGAGATCCTCCAGGCTCTCTCAGAGGAGGTGGCCATCTACTCCAGTAAGGCATACAGCTACACCAGCTACGGAGAGCTCCTGAGAAACTCTTTCTCTATGAAGAAGATCTGCACTGTGGTCCGCATGAAGCAGGGCCGTGGTTCAAACGCTGCCGAAGTGGAGGCAGAGCTGTCTGAGGTGGACTGTGCTCTGACGCTGAGGAAGATGCTCTGGGGGATGCAGGAGGAGTGGGATAAACAGTGCGGCCTTTGGAGAGCCACCACCTTCGAGCTGCTCAATGTGGACGACCTGCAGAATGATGTCAGCCGCTTTACACAGACCATCTACATGTTAGAGAAAGGTGGGGCTTTCAGGTCTCTGAGTGATATTTTAAAATCATTATCGTTGGGATTCACCACCGTGTCATTTCAGGTTGTTCTCTGTTATCACAAGTATTTCTGTGTTAAATTATGACGTGTGAATGTAAAGGAATTAATTTATGTGAAACAACTGATAAACATTGTTTTCTTTGTCATTCAGGTTTACCTGAAAACAACATAGTTCCCATTCTGAAGCAGAAGGTGATGGACTTCAAGCTTTGTCTGCCCATCATCGTAGCTCTCAGGAACCCTTATCTCCGTCAGAGACACTGGGAAGACATCCAGAGCTATATCGGACGATTCTTCACCAAAGAGGATAACTTCACCCTTGGAAACCTCTTGGACATAAAGGTAGGGCATCTTTAGATGAATGGTAGCAATGAAATACAGTGAGGGAAAAAAGTATTTGATCCCCTGCTGATTTTGTACGTTTGCCCACTGACAAAGAAATGATCAGTCTATAATTTTAATGGTAGGTTTATTTGAACAGTGAGAGACAGAATAACAACAAAAAAATCCAAAAAAACGCATGTCAAAAATGTTATAAATTGATTTGCATTTTAATGAGGGAAATAAGTATTTGACCCCCTCTCAATCAGAAAGATTTCTGGCTCCCAGGTGTCTTTTATACAGGTAACGAACTGAGATTAGGAGCACACTCTTAAAGGGAGTGCTCCTAATCTCAGTTTGTTACCTGTATAAAAGACACCTGTCCACAGAAGCAATCAATCAATCAGATTCCAAACTCTCCACCATGGCCAAGACCAAAGAGCTTTCCAAGGATGTCAGGGACAAGATTGTAGACCTACACAAGGCTGGAATGGGCTACAAGACCATCGCCAAGCAGCTTGGTGAGAAGGTGACAACAGTTGGTGCGATTATTTGCAAATGGAAGAAACACAAAAGACCTGTCAATCTCCCTTGGCCTGGGGCTCCATGCAAGATCTCACCTCGTGGAGTTGCAATGATCATGAGAACGGTGAGGAATCAGCCCAGAACTACACAGGAGGATCTTGTCAGTGATCTCAAGGCAGCTGGGACCATAGTCACCAAGAAAACAATTGGTAACACACTACGCCATTAAGGACTGAAATCCTGCAGCGCCCGCAAGGTCCCCCTGCTCAAGAAAGCACATATACAGGGCCGTCTGAAGTTTGCCAATGAACATCTGAATGATTCAGAGGAGAACTGGGTGAAAGTGTTGTGGTCAGATGAGACCAAAATGGAGCTCTTTGGCATCAACTCAACTCGCCGTGTTTGGAGGAGGAGGAATGCTGCCTATGACCCCAAGAACACCATCCCCACCGTCAAACATGGAGGTGGAAACATTATGCTTTGGGGGTGTTTTTCTGCTAAGGGGACAGGACAACTTCACCGCATCAAAGGGACGATGGACAGGGCCATTTACCGTCAAATCTTGGGTGAGAACTTCCTTCCCTCAGCCAGGGCATTGAAAATGGGTCGTGGATGGGTATTCCAGCATGACAATGACCCAAAACACACGGCCAAGGCAACAAAGGAGGGGCTCAAGAAGAAGCACATTAAGGTCCTGGAGTGGCCTAGCCAGTCTCCAGACCTTAATCCCATAGAAAATCTGTGGAGGGAGCTGAAGGTTCGAGTTGCCAAACGTCAGCCTCGAAACCTTAATGACTTGGAGAAGATCTGCAAAGAGGAGTGGGACAAAATCCCTCCTGAGATGTGTGCAAAACTGGTGGCCAACTACAAGAAACGTCTGACCTCTGTGATTGCCAACAAGGGTTTTGCCATCAAGTACTAAGTCATGTTTTGCCGAGGGGTCAAATACTTATTTCCCTCATTAAAATGCGAATCAATTTATAATATTTTTGACATGCGTTTTTCTGGATTTTTTTGTTGTTATTCTGTCTCTCACTGTTCAAACAAACCTACCATTAAAATTATAGACTGATCATTTCTTTGTCAGTGGGCAAACTTACTAAATCAGCAGGGGATCAAATACTTTTTTCCCTCACTGTATCTACCTAGCTTTTCTGATAATTTCTGGCAAAACTTTCAGAAATCACATTCAGGGCCATTTCTAAGTTCTAACATTGCGATCATGATATGTTATTTTTTTAATCTACTTTAGTTGAATCCGCTATTTGTAAGTGGCTCTGGATAATAGCATCTACTAAATGACTATAATCTGAACGTAACATTATATTCTACATTTCCCTCTGTGACATGTATGCAGATTCTTCAGCAAAGTGGTTTGATAGGGGACATCTCCACTACTGCCACCAATGAGGCCACTTTAGAGAGCATCCTGTACAAAGTGATTGACCTGTGGAGGAGCACGGACTTCCGTCTGATCACCCACCAGTCTGACACGTCCACGGTGAAGATCATCGCCTCGGCAGACGACATCATGGCACAGCTGGAAGAGAGCCAGACCACTATCATGAGCATCAAGGCATCCCGCTATGCTGAGCCTATCAAGGTGAGGTGTCATTTAAATCTGACTGGAGAGACGTCATGATTCGTTAAAAAAATGACATGATTCGAATAAATATTGCCCCTTTTCATATCATAGATTCTAGAAATTAGTCTTTCGCTTTAAAACCCATTTATGCAGAATTTGGGAAATAATGAAATCACTCTGTTATTTCAAGAAAAAAGACAAGTTAAGTTCTCTCAATCTTGCAGTTTTGTCAGTTGTTGGGGGACGAGGTGGTATTCTTTAGCCTGTTCTCAGATCTGTGTGTTCTGTCTTGCCAACTCCTATGGACAGTGTCATGCCACACTGCGTAACAATGACCATAGGAGTTGGTAAGACAGAACAAACAGACCTGGGACCAGGCTAAGTATTATTGTGTGTGATGTCAGTCTGGTCTCTCTCTTGTTTAGTATCTGATAGATGAATGGGAGAGGAAGCTGAACCAGTTCTCTCATACTCTGGAGGAGTGGGTCATGTGTCAGAAGAGATGGCTCCACCTGGAGCCTATCTTCTCTGCCGGAGGGATTCAGAGGCAAGGCAGCTATTGTTGTTTGACCTTGTGTATGACGCTTTTTTAACCTGTGTGTGTTGTAGTTACAGATGATGTGTATAATGGCACTTTGGTTTGTATTGTTTATTGTGTTGTCTTGTCTGTGTTTCATCTGCTGCTGACAATTCATCTATACTGAACAAAAATATAAACGCAACATGCAACAATTTCGATGATTTTACTGAGTTACAGTTCATATAAAGAAATCAGTTAATTTAAATAAATTCATTAGGCCCTAATCTATGGATTTCACATGATTGGGCAGGGGCGCAGCCATGGGGTTGCCTGGGAGGGCATAGGCCCACCCACTGGGGAGCCAGGCCCAGCCAATTAGAATACGTTTTTTCCCCACAAAAGGGTTTTATTATAGACAGAAATACTCCTCAATTTCATCAACTGTCTGGGTGGCTGGCCTCAGAAGATACCACAGGTTGAAGAAGCCGGATGTGGAGGTCCTGGGCTGGCGTGGTTACACGTGGTGTGCGGTTGTGAGGCATGTTGGACGTACTGCCAAATTCTCTAAAACGACGTTGGAGGTGGCTTATGGTAGAGAAATGAACATTAAATTCTCTTGCAACAGCTCTGGTGGACATTCCTGCAGTCAGCATGCCAATTGTGCACTCCCTCAGAACTTGAGACATCTGTGGCATTGTGTTGTGTGACAAAACTGCACATCTAAGTGGCCTTTTATTGTCCCCAGAACAAGGTGCACCTGTGTAATGATCATGCTGTTTAATCAGCTTCTTTTGATATGCTGCACCTGTCAGGTGGATGGATTATCTTGGCAAAGGAGAAATGCTCACTAACAGGGATGTAAACAAATTTGTGCACAACATTTGCGAGACATAAGCTTTTTGTTCGTATGGAACATTTCTGGGATCTTTTTATTTCAGCTCATGAAACATGGGACCAACACTTTACATGTTGCGTTTATATTTTTGTTCAGTATATTTCTGGTTGATGATTTTGGAAATTGTTCTTTTGACTGCACTTTGAAGACATAACTTTCACATGTAGTCATCTAATCTGATATAATGTGGGGTAGATATCTACCTGGAGTAGGTTAAAGGTCCAATGAGGCCGTTTCTATCTCAATATCTAATCATTTCTTCGTAACAATTAAGCACCTTACTGTGATTGTTTTCAATTAAAATGGTACCCCCAAAATGTTTTGCTTCTTAGCAAAGGGCAAATTCTGTGAGTGATCTGAGTGGGGAGGGGTGAACTGGAACTCTCTTTCTTATTGGTCTATTAACTAATTTACTTCATGGCGATGTCACCAGGCAGGCCAAAACTCCATCCCACCAAAACAGGCTGAAATTTCAGTCGGTCTTTTCCAACAGCTCTTACAGGGCATTATTATAATTTTCACAATTTCACAGTATTATTCCAACCTCATAGTGTGTAAATACTGTATATATAAAACACAGGAAAATCACGTTTTTGAGTGCACTTGGCCTTTAAGAAGACTCAAAATATAGTACAAAAAATATGATTTAATGTAATCCAAAATATGTAATTTTCTGACTTGAAATGAATGAACCTCTTTCTACTAGACAGCTCCCAGCGGAGGCCAAGGTGTTCCTGCAGGTGGATCAATCATGGAAGGAGATCATGCGGAGGACAGATGACAGGCCTAATGCCCTGAGAGCAGCTACTGCCCCTGGGGTCCTGGAGATGCTGCAGGCTGGCAACATCCACCTGGAGAAGATACAGAAGTGTCTGGAGGTACTGGAGGGAGTTAGGGTGCCTGGGTGCCAGACTGTTTCTGCTATCTGGAGGGAGTTAGGGTGCCTGAGTGCCAGACTGTTTCTGCTATCTGGAGGGAGTTAGGGTGCCTCGGTGCCAGACTGTTTCTGCTATCTGGAGGGAGTTAGGGTGCCTGGGTGCCAGACTGTTTCTGCTATCTGGAGGGAGTTAGGGTGCCTGAATGCCAGACTGTTTCTGCTATCTGGAGGGAGTTAGGGTGCCTCGGTGCCAGACTGTTTCTGCTATCTGGAGGGAGTTAGGGTGCCTGGGTGCCAGACTGTTTCTGCTATCTGGAGGGAGTTAGGGTGCCTGAATGCCAGACTGTTTCTGCTATCTGGAGGGAGTTAGGGTGCCTCGGTGCCAGACTGTTTCTGCTATCTGGAGGGAGTTAGGGTGCCTGAGTGGCAGACTGTTTCTGCTATCTGGAGGGAGTTAGGGTGCCTCGGTGCCAGACTGTTTCTGCTATCTGGAGGGAGTTAGGGTGCCTGGTTGCCAGAATGTTTCTGCTATCTGGAGGGAGTTAGGGTGCCTGGGTGCCAGAATGTTTCTGCTATCTGGAGGGAGTTAGCAGAAACAGTCTGGCACCCAGGCACCCTAACTCTCTCCTGATAGCAGAAACAGTCTGGCACCCTATCAGGAGGGAGTTAGGGTGCCTGGGTGCCAGACTGTTTCTGCTATCTGGAGGGAGTTAGGGTGCCTGGGTGCCAGACTGTTTCTGCTATCAGGAGGGAGTTAGGGTGCCTGGGTGCCAGACTGTTTCTGCTATCTGGAGGGAGTTAGGGTGCCTGGGTGCCAGACTGTTTCTGCTATCTGGAGGGAGTTAGGGTGCCTGGGTGCCAGACTGTTTCTGCTATCTGGAGGGAGTTAGGGTGCCTGGGTGCCATAATGTTTTTGCTATCTTGTCAACTCCTTGTCATTCATTGTCATCTCAAACATGACAATTCCATAATGAGTAGAAACAGATTGGCACCCAGGCTAGCATACCACATGATACAGCAGACTGGCGCCCAGGCTAGCATACCACATGATACAGCAGACTGGCCCCAGGCTAGCATACCACATGATACAGCAGACTGGCCCCAGGCTAGCATACCACATGATACAGCAGACTGGAACCCAGGCTAGCATACCACATGATACAGCAGACTGGAACCCAGGCTAGCATACCACACGATACAGCAGACTCTCAAAAGGACAATGCACTTAATTTCCTGTCTGTAGGGTCAGCTGGGCTGTAAAACCTCACACATTTTCATTCGCAACTCTCAAACAACATTTATGTTATCCTAGTTACTTTCAGAGTTGCCGTTTATTTCAACACTTGACTGTTTGTTTCGTTTTCTGCAGGATTATCTTGAATCCAAAAGAACAGTTTTCGCAAGATTCTACTTCCTCAGCAATGAGGAGCTGCTGGATGTTCTGTCACAGAGCAAAAACCCCAACGCCATTCAGGTTCCCATCTCATATTATAGGCTAACCATCCAAGAGGAAATTACTCTATTTTGTTTCCAACCATAAGCAGCAGCTGAAAGTTAGTATTTCACTTTTATACAGTAGACTCTCAAAAGCACAATGCACTTAATTTCCTGTCTGTAGGGTCAGCTGGGCTGTAACGTCGTCCCCAGGCTCAATTGCTACCGCATATAGAGACGGGTAACACTGCTTCAAAATGGGAAAGGGGTGTGGTTAGAATCGAGGCGGGAGATGGAGCGAGCCTGCTACAGATGTAGGATCTTAATTTGAACCAGTTTACTACTTAAGGAAAATATTGAATTATTATGTGGATTGTAATTAATGGAAATTTTTTGTAGGTGTTGCTAAAAATTTTTTTATGTCAAATGAAGTCTGACATATTTAAGTGAAAATTACAAACTTTAAAAGCCTGTTTAAACCTCAAATACACTGGAAATTTCTCAGCAACAAAATAGTGATCAAATTAAGATCCTACATCTGTACAGTTGTATTAGATGGGACTTTGAAAAATGATGAACATTGACCATATTATTTTTGGGAAGCCCAATTTGATTCTGAGTTCGAGCATATAAACGTATATGTGAAAACTATTTCTAAGATGCGTACCTACAGCTTTTCTCAACTCACTTCCTTGTTTATATCCTTGTGCTGCTTGTGCTCTGAAGTCCAGAATGTAGTGCAAGGTTATTCTGAGGGTTATGCTAGATGGTGATGAATTGAGACATCAGCCAATTAAAACCAGTGGCTGTTTCGTCCTGCCATAGGCTTTCATTGAAGTTCCATTCTGAGGCGCTGTGAAACCAGACGGTTCGACAGAGAGAGAGCCGGCTGGTGGACGAGATTAGCTGGGCTTTAAAAGCTTGTACAAAACGTTCAGACATTTTTATTCAGAACTTTCAAACAACATTTATGTTAATTCAATCAATTTAATTCAATCCATTCTCTACAACACTTTTAAGCCTCATCTTGCAAAATGCTTCAGCAACATCCGTCACCTGGACATCCAGGAACATGCTACGATCCACCACGTAGTGGCAACCATACGTTCAGCCGAGGGCGAAACTGTGACCATGCCAAAGTAAATAGTTTAATCATTGATAGTCAACCAAATGGAAACATTTACATTTAGGCCTAATTCATGTTTTTTTTCTGTTACCGAGAATCCCAAAACAACTCTTTCTTCTCTTTGAATTCTTTAGAAATGTTCAAATACGTGGGCCTGTGGAGCAATGGATGGGAAACGTGGAAACAGCGATGTACAACACAGTGAAAAGGTACAGTAACCATTTTGCATGCAGCTTTTTCTTTCCTGTTCAAAACGTGTTGATACTGTATATTAGGGGTGTAACGATTCATCTACTACATCGATGTATCGATTTATATTCATATGATCCAACTACATCGATCTGTGCACGGCGAGTTGGCCTTTTGGACAACATATATCGATCTAATATCGTTTTAAAATGTAATAAATCGATTGTATCGATACTAGGAAATAACCCATTGGATTTAAGCACGTCAGACTTTATATGCAGGGGTGCACATAACTGGTACGCAGATACGCAAGTGCGACAAATTACTACGCGCCTTTGCGTACTTGACCGATCTTCTCATCTAACCTTACACATGACATGTTGCTTGTCAACTACTGTCAGGGATGTCCAAAAAGCAACAGACATTAAGCAGCCTTTTTGGTGTTTCGCCACCTACAAAGAAACGCCAACTGGAGCCAGAGCCGAAGAAAATACTTTTTTCGGAAAAGTGGCTCCAAGATGTGCAGTGGCTTGAAGCTAACGATGAGCGCACTGAAATGTGGTGCAAGATTTGCCGCTCAAATCCACATCTAGCAGACAAAACAGGTGCATTTTATAAAGGCTCAAAGAATTTCAACCATCCTTTATTTGACCAACATGAAAAGAGCAAGGAGCACACGAATGTGGCGCAAGCCATTGCTAAAAGCTAGCCGAGAATAAATGCATAAAGCTAAACACGCACGTCCCATGTCTTCCTATTCTGAGGATGTTCCTTTACTGAATGCTTTTTGATGGATCTGAGGACATCACAAAAACTGAGCAGGAAATAGTTTACATTGTGTCTGTGTCCAGCAACGGAGAGTTTACTTCGGACTTTATTGGACTGATTGAATTGGGTGCTGACCGAACCGCACAGGCCATAACAGACGGACTTGTGAGACTTTTCCAGGACACAGGCTTGGATGACACAGACGGGGCTGCTGTCAACGTAGGTATGGGTAAGTTTCATAATACCAGATGGTCTGCATGGAGGCATGAAACACTGTTAAAAATATCAAGACTATTGCCAGCCATTAAAATGCAACTGGTTACCAGGTATTTATTTCAGTCACACTGGTTGAATTTTTGGCTAAAAGGTTACTGAATCGATTTCAAGTCACTGAATCGTTTCGGATCGTATCGTTCTAAATGAACCAATATCGTCCTTGAATCGTATCGACAACCACGAATCGTGATACAAATCGAATCGTTGTTAAAACGAATCGTTACACCCCTACTGTATATCCAAGTGAACTTTTAGCCTGATACCGTCATCATGTTTCAAATAATTTCAGGCGCTTGAAGTTAGGAGTGTCCGAATGGAATCCGAAGAACTTTAAGAAATGGGTCCTCTCTCACCCCGGACAGGTCGTTCTCACCGTGGTAAACCAAAAACCATTGCAATGCATACATTTAACAGGAATATGACCGTTCTCACCATGTTAAGTTACCATTGCAAGGAATAGATTTAACAGGAATATGACCGTTCTCACCATGTTAAGTTACCATTGCAAGGAATAGATTTAACAGGAATATGACCGTTCTCACCATGTTAAGTTACCATTGCAAGGAATAGATTTAACAGGAATATGACCGTTCTCACCATGTTAAGTTACCATTGCAAGGTTTAACAGGAATATGACCGTTCTCACCATGTTAAGTTACCATTGCAAGGTTTAACAGGAATATGACCGTTCTCACCATGTTAAGTTACCATTGCAAGGTTTAACAGGAATATGACCCTTCTCACCATGTTACGTTACCATTGCAAGGTTTAACAGGAATATGACCGTTCTCACCATGTTAAGTTACCATTGCAAGGTTTAACAGGAATATGACCGTTCTCACCATGTTAAGTTACCATTGCAAGGAATAGATTTAACAGGAATATGACCGTTCTCACCATGTTAAGTTACCTTTGCAAGGTTTAACAGGAATATGACCGTTCTCACCATGTTAAGTTACCATTGCAAGGAATAGATTTAACAGGAATATGACCGTTCTCACCATGTTAAGTTACCATTGCAAGGTTTAACAGGAATATGACCGTTCTCACCATGTTAAGTTACCATTGCAAGGTTTAACAGGAATATGACCGTTCTCACCATGTTAAAGTTACCATTGCAAGGAATAGATTTAACAGGAATATGACCGTTCTCACCATGTTAAGTTACCATTGCAAGGAATAGATTGAACAGGAATATGACCGTTCTCACCATGTTAAGTTACCATTGCAAGGTTTAACAGGAATATGACCGTTCTCACCATGTTAAGTTACCATTGCAAGGTTTAACAGGAATATGACCGTTCTCACCATGTTAAGTTACCATTGCAAGGTTTAACAGGAATATGACCCTTCTCACCATGTTAAGTTACCATTGCAAGGTTTAACAGGAATATGACCGTTCTCACCATGTTAAGTTACCATTGCAAGGTTTAACAGGAATATGACCGTTCTCACCATGTTAAGTTACCATTGCAAGGAATAGATTTAACAGGAATATGACCGTTCTCACCATGTTAAGTTACCTTTGCAAGGTTTAACAGGAATATGACCGTTCTCACCATGTTAAGTTACCATTGCAAGGAATAGATTTAACAGGAATATGACCGTTCTCACCATGTTAAGTTACCATTGCAAGGTTTAACAGGAATATGACCGTTCTCACCATGTTAAGTTACCATTGCAAGGTTTAACAGGAATATGACCGTTCTCACCATCTTAAGTTACCATTGCAAGGTTTAACAGGAATATGACCGTTCTCACCATGTTAAGTTACCATTGCAAGGTTTAACAGGAATATGACCGTTCTCACCATGTTAAGTTACCATTGCAAGGTTTAACAGGAATATGACCGTTCTCACCATGTTAAGTTACCATTGCAAGGAATAGATTTAACAGGAATATGACCGTTCTCACCATGTTAAGTTACCTTTGCAAGGTTTAACAGGAATATGACCTGTTCTCACCATGTTAAGTTACCATTGCAAGGTTTAACAGGAATATGACCGTTCTCACCATGTTAAGTTACCATTGCAAGGTTTAACAGGAATATGACCGTTCTCACCATGTTAAGTTACCATTGCAAGGTTTAACAGGAATATGACGGGACCTATTACTATCCATCTACACAATGGAGAAACCCCAACATGTGTTGAACAGTGTAGCAAGTTCCTCCGGCTCCGTTCACTAGGCTGATGAATGTAGAGTGGCTGTTAGCCAAGTAATCTTAAGATGTTGTGTCCAACATGTGTCCAAACCTAGCATCTGTTTGCCTGCCAACCATGCGTATTGCACAAACATTTTGGCATTTCTCCACCATTGCTGTCATTCCTAGTGCAAACTCAAAAATATGGCCGGTGACCGTTCCCCATGTTGTACCAGCAGGTACAGATAGGCCTGCTCTCACCTGTTAAGTACCATTGCATTCAGAAGACCGCTCACCATGTGCCGTACCATTGAGGACAAGGTCAACAGTTTGATCATGTCGTTCTCCCTAGTTTATTTACATTGAAGTTAGGCCAGTAACTAGTTCAACTTGTTACTCCATTACCAGAAAACTCCTTTGTTGACCAACATTTGCTAGGGTTCACTAGGATTTGAGCATGTTTATTTCAATTTTACATGTTTCGAATACTGTGTCAAATTTAGTGTAGCTTCCAGCGCTGCACAAGACACTTGCATGACACTAAGGTTGGTAGAAGCAACACAGACTCCAGTACAACATTGTACCCTTTTCTGTCCACTTCCTGTCATGGTTCTGTGGTTCAGGTGAGTCCACTGAGCATGACAGCACCTCTTGTGTCACTGTCCTGCCCAGGCCTCCTAGTAGGCTACAGTCCTGGGACTGACTTCCCCTGGACAAGGGTCACAGCTTTGATCATAGTTGCTACTCCTAGTATTGATTTTCTTGAAATACCTGGCCTTATGTAGACTAGTTCCAAATCTTTTTGTGTTGTCTATGATCAGAATAACTCCTATTGTTAGGCCAAACATATCTAGGATCAGGCTAGGACTTCTGAGCATGTTTTTTTCAATTTTACTGAGTTTGAGATGATTGTTGATAATTTAGGTAAGCTTCAGAGCTGCACAAGACTTACTTACATGAACAACTTAATGTTGGCTAGTAAGCCAACCAAAACAGATCTCCAGATGAAACATTTGTACTTTTTGTCACTTTTTTGTCATTGGTTCTGTTGGTTTCAGGCAGCTCCATTATGACTGGCATGACAGCACCTCTCTGTGTTACGTGGTCCATGCCCAGGCCTCCTTCATGTATGGCTATGAGTACCTGGGCTGTTCCCCTCGACTGGTCATCACGCCGCTCACTGACCGATGCTGGCTGACCCTCACCGGGGCCTTGAGCCTCCATCTGGGGGGAGCGCCCGCCGGACCCTCTGGGACTGGCAAGACAGAGACGGTCAAGGACCTGGCCAAGGTAAGGACCTGTCACTGAAGTAGGATAAAAACCTGGGAAGTATTTTTCTTTAGTAAGTTAGTCGGTGTGGACCTGAAAATGCCAGTAGTAGAAAAAGAGAATGTCCACACTCTTGGGAAACCACCATCACTGGCATCCTTGTAGCTCTGTATTCAAACTGATACTGTATTTACAGGAAGTAAAACCATGTTGATGTTGTTTTCCTCTGCAGGCGCTTGGAAAGTTCTGTTTAGTACTGAACTGTTTTGACAGTCTGGACTATAAGGTAGCCATGGACATTTCTATTCTCATTATAACTCTATAGCTATTGTACTTTTGATGCATTGAAATATGTTTGTTCTAGCTCATTGCATCAGTTGTAGAGACTGAAGAAGTGGAGTGGAAGTATGTATACATTTTACTGTATACTGTGAGTTAGTTGCACAAATGTAGAAATCAATAAAGTAGTTGTGTAATTTATTTCATGTCTCTGTGACATTCCCTTACCAGATGATGGGGAAGCTGTACTCTGGCATGGTGCAGTCTGGTTCCTGGTGTTGTTTTGATGAGTTTAACTGTATCAACGTGGAGGTGTTGTCAGTCATCGCTGCTCAGCTTCAGTCCATTAAGGCTGCCATGCATAGTCACAGTTTACGGTATGCCTCTGGAACTTACTGTGTTCTTTAGACTGATTTGTATTTTTATGGCTGGGAAGTTTTTCATTTTACATTGATTTAACTGAACAGGTGAATAGTTTAGTTTGAGCAGTCAAATATATTTGATATTTACTCTGTTTTTACCAAAGGTTTGTGTTCGAGGGAAGAGATATACGACTGAACGCCTCATGTGGATTCTTCATCACGATGAATCCAGGGTAACATGATCTGTCATGTTTAGTTTAAGTTCATACCCTTTTAAAAACATTTTATAACTGTTAATAATATTTTATAACCTGTTATAACCTTTCGAAAACATCGTAGCTAATACCACAGAATAGGAACTGTCACGGTTTCGGCCGAGGCTGCTCCTCCTCCTGGTTCGGGCAGGCTTCGGCGGTCGTCGTCCCCGGAGTACTAGCTGCTACCGATCTATGTTTCATGTTCGTTTGGTTTGGTCTTAATGTTGTACACCTGTGTCTAGTTAGTCCTCGTTAGTGTTCTATTTAGTTCTCGTTGTGTGTGTCTGTGTTTGTGTGTGATTGCGCCTCTGTTACGTGTTGGAGCTACATTTTCCCTCCAGGGTTTGGAGTAGTTTCTTTGCACATGTTTTGTGCGCAGTTTATTTTGTCGCCTGTGTGCGCCTGGTATTCGCCTTCAGGCTTATTGTGCGTTTGCTTGTGTGAATTTTGCACTAAAGCCTTTGAACTGAGCCTCTGCGTCCTGCGCCTGATTCCTACACCACACCCACCTTCAGCACCTTATGACAGAATCACACACCCCAATGGAATCAGCAGGATCGGCAGAGACGCCTGTGTCGCTCGAGGAGCATATCCGTGGACAAGATGGCCAGATTCGACAACTGGAGACCGCTCTACAGGAGGTAATCTACACCTTGCACCGATGGGAGGCCAGCCGGGTACCCACACCTCCACCTATTCTGTCCACCCCATCGGTCGGTCCACCAGTCCTAGGTTCGGAACCCAGGGGGATTCGGTTCTCGCTCCCGAGGGCGTATGACGGAACAGCTGCCGGGTGTCAGGGGTTCCTCCTGCAGGTGGAGCTCTACCTGGCCACTGTACACCCGGTGCCCTCGGGATACGAGAGCGTTTCCGCCCTCATCTCCTGTCTCACGGGCAAGGCGTTGGAGTGGGCTAACGCCGAGTGGAGGAGAATGGACGCCAACACCGTGACCTACGCAGAGTTCTCCCGCCGCTTCAAGGCCGTGTTCGACCATCCACCTGAGGGCAAAGCGGCGGGGGAGCGTCTAGTCCAGTTGAGACAGGGGAGGAGGAGCGCGCAGGCGTTCGCTCTTGAGTACCGGACTCTAGCGGCTGATGCAGGGTGGAATGAGCGGGCTCTCATCGACCATTTTCGATGTAACCTACGAGAGGACGTTCAACGTGAGTTGGCCTGCAGGGATACCCATCTTACATTCGACCAGTTGGTCGATATGTCCATCCGTCTGGACACCCTGCTGGCCACCCGTGGACGTCCCGAGGGGAGTCCGTCCATTCCGCTCTCCGGCCTCTCCGAGCCGAGCCCTATGGAGCTCGGGGGTGCCGGCGCTAGAGAACGGAGTAGGAGGAGCCCGAGGGGGCCTGTCTCCTGCACCAAGTGCGGTCGTGGAGGGCACACTGCGGCCAGGTGCTGGGGAGGGTTCTCCGGGGGAGAAGACAACAGGCCACGCACTGGGGGGGCCTCCCAGGTGAGTAGACGTCCCACTTACCCAGAGCTTTCTGTTGCGCACTTTTGTATACCTGTGTGTTTTCCACAGGTTGCACCTCATTCCCAGCATAAGGCGCTCGTAGATTCAGGCGCAGCTGGGAATTTTGTTGATCGGAAGTTTTGTTTTGAGTTAGGGATCCCTCTCCTACCTGTTCACAAACCTTTTCCCGTTCATGCCTTAGATAGCCGTCCGTTGGGGTCGGGGTTGATCAGGGAGATCACAGCGCCACTTCGGATGTGTGCGCAGGGGGGTCATGAGGAGACTATACAGCTGTATCTGATCGACTCTCCTGCGTACCCAGTGGTGCTGGGGATTCCTGGTTAAGCACCCACAACCCTGCTATTTCGTGGCAACAGAGGGCTCTCGATGGGTGGTCTGCTCAGTGCGAGGGGCGATGTCTGGGTGTTTCTGTGGGGGCGACTTCGGTGGAGAGTCCAAACCAAGTGCCCGCACTGCACATTCCGCCTGAATATGGGGATTTAGCTCTCGTGTTTAGCAAAACTAGGGCGACGCAGTTGCCTCCTCATAGACAGGGGGATTGTGCGATTGATCTCCAGGCAGGAGCAGCGCTCCCACGGAGCCATGTGTATCCTTTGTCTCAAGAGGAGAGAAAAGCTATGGAGACTTACATAGCCGAATCTTTGAGACAGGGATACATTCGGCCCTCCACTTCTCCCGCCTCCTCGAGTTTCTTTTTTGTGAAGAAGAAGGATGGAGGGTTGCGCCCGTGCATTGATTACCGTGGTCTCAATCAGATTACTGTGAAATACAGTTATCCACTCCCTCTGATTGCGACCATGACGGAGTCATTGCATGGAGCGCGGTTTTTCACAAAACTGGATCTCAGGAGCGCATATAACTTGGTGCGCATTAGGGAGGGTGACGAATGGAAGACAGCGTTTAGTACCACGTCAGGTCATTTCGAATATCTCGTCATGCCATATGGGTTGATGAATGCTCCATCAGTCTTCCAATCCTTCGTAGATGAGATTTTCCGGGATATGCAGGGACAAGGGGTGGTCGTGTACATTGATGACATTCTGGTGTACTCGTCTACCCGAGCCGAGCATATAACCCTGGTGCGTCGTGTATTGAGGAGGCTGTTGGAGCACGACTTATATGTCAAGGCAGAGAAATGTCTGTTTTTCCAGGAGTCGGTCTCCTTTTTGGGTTATCGGTTGTCCGCGTCAGGGGTGAGAATGGAGGTGGATCGTGTGTCCGCTGTGCGTAATTGGCAAACCCCAACTACTGTAAAAGAGGTGCAGCAGTTTTTGGGCTTTGTGAATTACTACCGGAGGTATATCCGGGGTTTTGGACAGGTGGCAGCTCCCATCACGTCCCTTCTGAAGGGGGGTCCGGTGCGACTGCAGTGGTCAGCCGATGCGGACAGGGCCTTTAGGAGACTGAAGGACCTGTTTACGTCGGCTCCGGTGCTGGCGCATCCGGATCCCGCATTACCCTTTCAGGTTGAGGTAGACGCGTCTGAGGCTGGTATAGGGGCCGTTCTCTCTCAACGGTCCGGCACGCCACCTAAACTCCGCCCCTGTGCTTTTTACTCTAAGAAGCTCAGCCCGGCGGAGCGTAACTATGACGTTGGGGACAGGGAGCTGTTAGCTGTAGTTCAAGCCCTTAAGGTGTGGAGGCATTGGCTTGAGGGGGCTCAACACCCTTTCCTCATTTTGACTGACCATCGGAACCTGGAGTACATCCGGGCAGCGAGGAGACTGAACCCTCGCCAGGCTCGATGGAGTATGTTTCTCACCAGGTTCGTATTTAAAATCACGTACATCCCTGGGTCCCAGAATGGTAAGGCAGATGCGCTGTCCCGGCGGTATGACACGGAGGAGAGGTCCGTTGAGCCCACTCCCATACTACCGGAGTCGTTCCTTGTGGCACCGGTGGTGTGGGAGGTCGATTCCGAAATCGAGCGAGCGTTGCGTACCGACCCCAGCCCTCCACAGTGTCCTGAGGGTCGGAAGTACGTTCCGCTCGAGATTCGGGATCGACTCATTTACTGGGCTCACACGTCACCCTCCTCTGGACATCCGGGTATCGGCCGGACAGTGCATTGCCTTAGCACTAAATACTGGTGGCCCACTTTGGCTAGGGATGTGAGGGTTTATGTCTCCTCCTGCTCGGTGTGCGCCCAGTGTAAGGCGCCCCGACATCTGCCCAGGGGTAGTTACAGCCCCTACCCGTTCCACAACGACCATGGTCCCACCTCTCGGTGGATTTTGTAACAGACCTTCCCCTCTCTCAGGGGAATACCACCATCCTGGTCGTTGTGGACCGTTTCTCTAAGGCCTGTCGTCTTCTCCCTATGTCGGGTCTTCCTACTGCCCTACAAACTGCTGAGGCCCTATTTACCCACGTCTTCCGGCATTACGGGGTCCCCGAGGATATAGTGTCTGATCGAGGCCCCCAGTTCACCTCCCGGGTGTGGAGAGCGTTTATGGAGCGTTTGGGGGTCTCGGTTAGCCTTACCTCGGGGTACCACCCGGAGAGTAACGGGCAGGTAGAACGTGTCAACCAGGATGTGGGTAGGTTTCGGAGGTCTTATTGCCAGGACCGGCCTGAGGAGTGGGCGCGTTACATTCCCTGGGCCGAGATGGCCCAGAATTCTCTCCGCCACTCCTCTACCAACCTAACCCCTTTCCAATGTATATTAGGTTACCAGCCGGTTCTGGCACCGTGGCAGCAGAGCCAGATCGAGGCGCCTGCGGTGGATGATTGGATGAGGCGCTCGGAAGAGACGTGGAACGCTGCCCACGTCCACCTGCAGCGGGCCGTCCGTCGTCACAAGGCGAGCGCCGATCTCCACCGCAGTGAGGGGCCGGTGTACGCACCCGGAGATCGAGTCTGGCTCTCTACCAGAAACCTACCCCTCCGCCTGCCCTGCCGGAAACATGGGTCGGCGGTTTGTGGGGCCCTTTAAAGTCCTGAGAAGATTGAACGAGGTGTGTTATAAGTTATATCTACCTGTTGAATATAAGAATATTAACCCCTCGTTCCATGTGTCTCTTCTCAGGCCGGTGGTAGCTGGTCCACTCCAGGACAATGAGATAGGAGAGACTCCTCCGCCCCCATTGGACATCGAGGGGGCTCCGGCATACACCGTTCGGTCCATCTTGGACTCCAGACGCCGGATGGGGGGTCTCCAGTATCTCGTGGAGTGGGAGGGGTACGGCCCGGAGGAGCGGTGCTGGGTGCCGCGGAGGGACATCCTAGACCCATCTCTCCTGTCGGAGTTCCACCGGGACCATCCCGCGCTCCCTGCTCCGCGTCCTCCTGGTCGTCCCCGAGGTCGTCCCCGGGGTCGGCGCACGGCTGGAGCCGCGCGTCAAGGGGGGGGGTACTGTCACGGTTTCGGCCGAGGCTGCTCCTCCTCCTGGTTCGGGCAGGCTTCGGCGGTCGTCGTCCCCGGAGTACTAGCTGCCACCGATCTATGTTTCATGTTCGTTTGGTTTGGTCTTAATGTTGTACACCTGTGTCTAGTTAGTCCTCGTTAGTGTTCTATTTAGTTCTCGTTGTGTGTGTCTGTGTTTGTGTGTGATTGCGCCTCTGTTACGTGTTGGAGCTACATTTTCCCTCCAGTGTTTGGAGTAGTTTCTTTGCACATGTTTTGTGCGCAGTTTATTTTGTCGCCTGTGTGCGCCTGGTATTCGCCTTCAGGCTTATTGTGCGTTTGCTTGTGTGAATTTTGCACTAAAGCCTTTGAACTGAGCCTCTGCGTCCTGCGCCTGATTCCTACACCACACCCACCTTCAGCACCTTATGACAGGAACGAAAACGGATTCTTGACAGTTGACCTCTCTCTTTCAGTTGCAAAGGTCGAGTGGATCTACCTGACAACCTAAAGTCCCTGTTCCGGCCTGTCTCTATGATGGTACCTGACTTTGACCTGATTGCTGAGATCATGTTGTTCTCTGAGGGCTTCAAATCAGCCAAATCACTGTCCAGGAAGATCGTCAACCTCTACCAGCTCGCCAGCAAGCAGCTGTCTCAGCAGGTTGGACTTACATACATAGCACCTTTTTTTTCTAAGAGTGTATCTAGAACCTTAAAGGGTTCTTTGGCTGTCCCCATAGGAGAAACCTTTGAATAACTATTTTTGGTTGCAGGTAGAACCCTTTTGGGTTCCATGTAGAACCCTTTCTACAGAGGGTCTACCTGGAACAGTGATGAGGTGGTGTTGAAGGAGTCAGGCGCAGGAGGGTAAATCACAGAATAACAGGCTTTAATCCGCAAAATACAGGTTTACGCAGAACTGCGTCAAACACACTCCAGGTCACAAAACAGGTGCACTGGAAAATACAAGGCACACAGGAAAATACTCCCGTCGAACAAAATACACGAGCTCCACCGAGCTTCACTAACCTTCACAATAAACAATCACCCACAAGGACAAGGGGTCAGAGGGAACACGTATACACAGACTAATTAGGGGATTAGAACCAGGTGTGTGTGATAACGAGACAAGACAATTGTGATGATGATTCGGGCGGCAGTGGTTAGTACTCCAGTGACGACGAATGCCGAAGACTGCCCGAACAAGGAGGGATCGAGGATATCCCTCACCGGAACCCAGCACCGTTCCTCCGGACCGTACCCCTCCCACTCCACAAGGTACTGAAGGCACCCCACCCGATGCCTCGAATCCAGGATGGCGTTAGGTTAGTAGAGGAGAGGTGGAGAGAGTTCTGGGCATATTCTGCCCATGGCAAGAACACCGACCACTCCCCCGGCCGGTCCTGGCAGTAGGACCGCAGGAACCTACCCACATCCTGATTTACTCGTTCCACCTGCCCATTTGACTCGGGGTGGAACCCAGAGGTCAGGCTGACCGAGACCCCCAGACGTTCCATGAACGCCTTCCAAACCTTGGACGTGAACTGGGGACCTCGGTCGGACACAATATCCTCTGGCACCCCGTAGTGCCGGAAGACATGAGTAAACAGGGCCTCCGCAGTCTGCAGGGCCGTGGGGAGACCGGGCAGAGAAAGGAGGTGGTAGGACTTGGAGAAGCGGTCCACAACGACCAGGATGGTGGTGTTACCTTGGGAGAGGGGAAGATCAGTCAGAAAATCAATACTAAGATGAGACCATGGTCGTTGTGGAACTGGTAATGGTTGTAGCTTACCCGTTGGGAGGTGCTTAGGTGCCTTACTCTGGGCGCACACTGAGCAGGAGGAGACGTACACCCTCACGTCCTTAGCCAAGGTAGGCCACCAGTACTTTCCGCTCAAGCAGCACACTGTACGGCCGATACCTGGGTGACAAGAGGAGGGTGACGTGTATGCCCAGAAGATCAGATGATCATGGATAAATCAGATACATTTTAGTCATTTAGCAGACGCTCTTATCCAGAGCGACTTACAGTTAGTGAGTGCATACATCATTATTATTATTATTATTATTTTTTTTTATATATATATATTTTTTTACTGGCCCCCCGTGGGAAATGAACCCACAACCCTGCCGTTACAAACGCCATGCTCAACCAACTGAGCTACATCCCTGCCGGCCATTCCCTCCCCTATCCTGGACGACGCTGGGCCAATTGTGCGCTGCCCCATGGGTCTCCCGGTCACGGCCGGCTACGACAGAGCCTACCTCCACATGGTCAAGGCTCGGACAACAGCCAACAGCCCCCGATCACCAACGTCGTAGTTCTGCTCCGCCGGGCTGAGCTTCTTAGAGAAGAAGGCACAGGGGCGGAGCTTGGGTGGCGTACCCGAGCGTTGAGACAGGACAGCTCCTATCCCAACCTCGGACGCATCCACCTCCACTACGAATGGTAGTGATGAATCTGGGTGGGCCAGTACTGGGGCTGAGGTGAACAGACCCCGCAGTTTGCTGAAGGCCAGGTCAGCCTCAGCAGACCAGCGGAGCCGGGACGGCCCACGCTTCAACAGGGAGGTAATGGGAGCTGCGACCTTGCCAAAGCCCCGGGTAAACCTCTGATAGTAGTTGGCAAAGCCAAGGAAGCGCTGCACCTCCTTAACCGTGGTTGGAGTTGGCCAATTACGCACGGCTGAAATGCGATCTCCCTCCATCTCCACACCTGAGGTGGAAATGCGGTATCCAAGGAAGGAGTCGGACTGCTGGAAAAACATACACTTCTCTGCCTTAGCATAAAGGTAATTTTCCAACAGTCGGGCCAGCACCTTGCGAACCAGGGACACATGCTCGGCGCGCGTAGAGGAATACACCAGGATGTCATCGATGTAGACCACTACACCGCGACCAAGCATGTCCCGAAACACCTCGTTCACAAAGGACTGGAAAACTGAGGGAGCATTCATCAAACCATAGGGCATCACCAGGTATTCATAATGCCCCGTGGTTGTGCTGAATGCTGTCTTCCACTCATCTCCCTCTCGGATACGCACCAGGTTGTACGCACCCTGAGATCTAATTTGGTGAAGAACCGCGCCCCATGCATTGATTCAATCACCGAAGGAATGAGGGGGAGAGGATAACTAAATCTTATCGTCTCCCTGTTCAGTGGTCGATAATCAATGCATGGGCGCAGACCTCCGTCCTTCTTCTTCACAAAGAAGAAACTCGAGGAGGTGGGTGAAGTGGAGGGACGTGTATATACCCCTGGCGCAGGGACTCAGTGACATATGTTTCCATAGCCACCGTTTCAGCCTGTGACAGGGGGTATATATGTCTCCTGGGAGGTACAGCGTCTACCCTGAGGTTTATCGCGCAATCCCCCACCCGATGAGGTGGTAATTTAGTCGCCTGCGTTTTAGAGAACGCTTGCGCCAGATCGAGGTATTCAGGGGGAATGCATCTAGACACCTACCCTGACACTCTCGCGACCACCCCGTGAGAGCCCTCTGCGGCCATGAGAAGGTGGGGTTGTGGAGTGCTAGCCAAGGGATACCTAATACCACAGGGAAAGCAGATTCGATAATCGAAAAAATTACCTGCTCAAAATGAGTCTCCTGGGTTGATGTCTTATGTCCTCCATTTTGTCTTTGTGTTTTTTTCCCTTCCTTTTGTGGTTCTACTGTACTCTAGGACCATTATGATTTTGGAATGAGAGCCATAAAGTCAGTGCTAGTTCTCGCTGGTCAGAAGAGAAGATTTGCAGTGCTGTCGTAAGTATTAAAGAAACAAGAATCCTCTGCATTCTTGAGGCCAAAAGGCATTCCCTTGAATTGGTACAACCAAAAGGCTGTGTCACTGGTCACTACCATATTCTCTTTGCTTCTCTCATTCATCTCAACTTGCCAGTAACCATACTGGAGTTGTTGTTGTTGTTGTGAAAACGTTGTGAGTAAAGGCGGTGTGATATTCCAGGTGTGGCCTGACCCCAGAGGAGGAATGCTGCGTTCTGATCTGTGCTTTACAAGACTCTAACTTACCCAAGCTGGTTCCTGAGGACGTTCCTCTGTTTAAAAGCATCATGGAGGATCTCTTTCCTGGCATCGTCAATCCCAAAACGATCCATCCTAAACTAGAGGTAATTCCTTGTCACGTGTACACACACACAGTCCGGTGTAGTTGGTGGTTGTTCTGGTAAAGTAAATGGAACTTGGTTAGATCACCTGGCTGCATGTAGTTTTGGTTGGACTTGACAATAATTTTGTTGTGGTATAAATTAATGTAATATACTTGTATCTTCTCTCTAGATTGCCATAGCGAAGGCTACAGAGATGCTTGGATTTCAACAATGGCCAAATCAAGCAGAGAAGGTTACACAGCTGTATAGCCAGATTCTGGTCAGTATTTGGTTTCTTAAACATCCTGGGTCCATACTTTCAAACTCTTGCTTAAGCCTCAGATGTAAACCTTCTGGAACAAAAAATGCTAGGTGTTAGCTTTTCCCATTGGAAAACATGTCAGAATTAGCCGCCTAGCTACCACAAGTTACTTGTATTTCCGGGAACAAATAACGAATCAACCAATGACTTCTGTTAAGGACTCTTTCATGAAAAAGTGTTAAATCACGTCCAACTACGTCTTCTTCTTTAGTTGGCTGAAGCAGTATTTGTTAACGGAAATAATAATGCGGGTCAGCTAGTGGCTAAGTGTGACACGTTTTCCGATGGGAAAAGCTAACACCTAGCATTTTTATTCCATAAGGACTACACCTGAGGTTTAAGCAAGAGTTTTTAAGTATGGACCCCACAAATATGACCTGTTGATATTGTGATTACAATACAATATCATTCAACTTAAATGTTGATGTTGCAGGCTCGAGGAGGGGTGATGTTGATTGCTCCTACAGGAGGAGGGAAGACAACAGTGAGACTCATCCTGCAGCACGCTCTACACCTGCTGCCCTCTCTGTCTGAAGTCCACAGGAGGACCAGCGTCTTTATGCAGGTACTGCACATCTCTTTAGACACTTCAGATCGTTTACTGAAAAGATAACATCTGTTGTTACGCACTCCTCTCGGAAGAGGGAACGCAACCCCCTGCTACAACTCAACTCTCCGTGGTGTGAAAGAGGTATGGAACTGTAGGTGTGAGTAAGGATGACAAAAGGCAGAGAATACCGTTAACAGTGAATTTATTCCTTCGCACGGTAAGTTTGGGGAAAAAGGGCTGGACGGAACCAAAGCAAAGAAAGTAAATATCAAAGCCCCCTCTCCTACCTTACCTGCCTACCCACTACTTACTTAACTAGCACCACCTGGTGCACTAACCAAAATACAAGGGATGGTCCGCCCAGGTCTTTCCTAGTGTGCATAGACAGTCAACTTCTACGGGTAATGTATGCCCGCGGGGCCTCTTGCCTAAGCACTCCCTAGGTGCCTTCCCCTTCCCCCCTTGGGAACAAATAAAACAGAATAACACAAACTGGTTCACAACAAAACCTGAGAAAAAAACTAACTCAGGACATTAAAGAAACTCTCTGAGCAACAAACTAACACAAAACATTACAATCAGCTCTCACAGCAACAACTACACAGTACATAACAAATGTCTTAGCAACAACTACACAGTACATACCAAATGTCTTAGCAACAACCAACATGCTATAACTTTCAGCCATTAGCCATCTCTCTCATCTCTGCCCCCCCCCCCCTTCTGAGCAACAGAACTGGGGCTTATATAGCTTCAGAAGGAGTTGGTAATTGGAGACAGCTGCGTCCTGACGAGGGCGCGGGGTCAGCTCTCCAATCATCAATGTTCATTGACCAATCAGCTGCTTGTTGGGGAATTTCAGGAACCCATTTCCTGAAATACATACATTTACATTTACGTCATTTAGCAGACGCTCTTATCCAGAGCGACTTACAAATTGGTGCATTCATCTTATAGCCAGTGGGATAACCACTTTACAATGTTATTTTTTTTTGGGGGGGGGGGTAGAAGGATTACTTTATCCTATCCCAGGTATTCCTTAAAGAGGTGGGGTTTCAAATGTCTCCGGAAGGTGGTGAGTGACTCCGCTGTCCTGGCGTCGTGAGGGAGCTTGTTCCACCATTGGGGTGCCAGAGCAGCGAACAGTTTTGACTGGGCTGAGCGGGAACTATGCTTCCGCAGAGGAAGGGGAGCCAGCAGGCCAGAGGTGGATGAACGCAATGCCCTCGTTTGGGTGTAGGGACTGATCAGTACCTGAAGGTACGGAGGTGCCGTTCCCCAGCTCCATAGGCAAGCACCATGGTCTTGTAACAGATGCAAGCTTCAACTGGAAGCCAGTGGAGTGTGCGGAGGAGCGGGGTGACGTGAGAAGGTTGGGAAGGTTGAACACCAGACGGGCTGCGGCATTCTGGATGAGTTGTAGGGGTTTAATGGCACAGGCAGGGAGCCCAGCCAACAGCGAGTTGCAGTAATCCAGACGGGAGATGACAAGTGCCTGGATTAGGACCTGTGCCGCTTCCTGTGTAAGGCAGGGTCGTACTCTCCGAATGTTGTAGAGCATGAACCTACAGGATCGGGTCACCGCCTTGATGTTAGCGGAGAACGACAGGGTGTTGTCCAGGGTCACGCCAAGACTCTTCGCACTCTGGGAGGAGGACACAACGGAGTTGTCAACCGTGATGGCGAGATCATGGAACGGGCAGTCCTTCCCCGGGAGGAAGAGCAGCTCCGTCTTGCCAAGGTTCAGCTTGAGGTGGTGATCCGTCATCCATACTGATATGTCTGCCAGACATGCAGAGATGCGATTCGCCACCTGGTTATCAGAAGGGGGAAAGGAGAAGATTAGTTGTGTATCGTCAGCGTAGCAATGATAGGAGAGGCCATGTGAGGATATGACAGAGCCAAGTGACTTGGTGTATAGCGAGAATAGGAGAGGGCCTAGAACTGAGCCCTGGGGGACACCAGTGGTGAGAGCACGTGGTGCGGAGACAGCTTCTCGCCACGCCACTTGGTAGGAGCGACCGGTCAGGTAGGACGCAATCCAAGAGTGAGCCGCGCCGGAGATGCCCAGCTCGGAGAGGGTGGAGAGGAGGATCTGATGGTTCACAGTATCAAAGGCAGCAGACAGGTCTAGAAGGACAAGAGCAGAGGAGAGAGAGTTAGCTTTAGCAGTGCGGAGAGCCTCCGTGACACAGAGAAGAGCAGTCTCAGTTGAATGACCAGTCTTGAAACCTGACTGGTTTGGATCAAGAAGGTCATTCTGAGAGAGATAGCAAGAGAGTTGGCTGAAGACGGCACGCTCAATAGTTTTGGAAAGAAAAGAAAGAAGGGATACTGGTCTGTAGTTGTTGACATCAGAGGGATCGAGTGTTGGTTTTTTGAGAAGGGGTGCAACTCTCGCTCTCTTGAAGACGGAAGGGACATAGCCAGCGGTCAAGGATGAGTTGATCAGCGAGGTGAGGTGGGGGAGAAGGTCACCGGAGATGGTCTGGAGAAGAGAGGAGGGGATAGGGTCAAGCGGGCAGTTTGTTGGGCGGCCTGCAGTCACAAGTCGCAAGATTTTATCTGGAGAGAAAGGGGAGAATGAAGTCAAAGCATAGGGTAGGGCAGTGTGAGCAGGACCAGCAGTGTCATTTGACTTAACAAACGAGGATCAGATGTCGTCAACCTTCTTTTCAAAGTGGTTGACGAAGTTATATTGGATTCAGCAGGGAGGAGAATGTGGCAAAGAGCTTCCTAGGGTTAGAGGCAGATGCTTGGAATTTAGAGTGGTAGAAAGTGGCCTTAGTAGCAGAAACAGATGAATAAAATGTAGAGAGGAGGGAGTGAAAAGATGCCAGGTCCGCAGTGAGTCTAGTTTTCTTCCATTTCCGCTCAGCTGCCCGGAGCTCTGTTCTGTGAGCTCGCAATGAGTCATCAAGCCATGGAGCTGGAGGGGAGGACCGAGCCGGCCCGGGAGGATAGGGGACATAGAGAGTCAAAGGATGCAGAAAGGGAGGAGAGGAGGGTTGAGGAGGCAGAATCAGGAGATTGGAGGGAGAAGGATTGAGCAGAGGGAAGAGATGATAGGATGGAAGAGGAGAGAGTAGCGGGAGAGAGAGAGCGAAGGTTGCGGCGGTGCATTACCATCTGTGTAGGGGCAGAGTGAGTAGTGTTGGAGGAGAGCGAGAGAGAAAAGGAAACAAAGTAGTGGCCGGAGACATGGAGGGGAGTTGCAGTGAGATTAGTAGAAGAACAGCATCTAGTAAAGATGAGGTCAAGCGTATTGCCTGCCTTGTGAGTAGGGGGGGACGGTGAGAGGGTGAGGTCAAAAGAGGAGAGGAGTGGAAAGAAGGAGGCAGAGAGAAATGAGTCAAATGTAGACGTAGGGAGGTTGAAATCCCCCAGAACTGTGAGGGGTGAGCCATCCTCAGGAAAGGAACTTGTCAAGCTCATTGATGAACTCTCCAAGGGAACCTGGAGGGCGATAGATGACAAGGATATTAAGCTTAAATGGGCTAGTGACTGTGACAGCATGGAATTCAAATGAGGAGATAGACAGATGGGTTAGGGGAAAAATTTAGAATGTCCACTTGGGAGAGATGAGGATTCCTGTGCCACCACCCCGCTGACCAGATGCTCTCGGGGTATGCGAGAACACATGGTCAGACGAGGAGAGAGCAGTAGGAGTAGCAGTGTTTTCAGTGGTAATCCATGTTTCCGTCAGCGCCAAGAAGTCGAGGGACTGGAGGGTAGCATAGGCTGGGATGAACTCTGCCTTGTTGGCAGCAGAACGGCAGTTCCAGAGGCTGCCTGAGACCTGGAACTCCAGGTGGGTGGTGCGTGCAGGGACCACCAGGTTAGAGAGGCAGCAGCCACGCGGTGTGAGGCGTTTGTGTAGCCTGTGCGGAGAGGAGAGAACAGGGATAGGCAGAGGCATAGTTGACAGGCTGCAGCAAATGGCTACAATAATGCAGAGGAGATCGGAATGAAATGAACTAAACATCTGGGAAAGGAGAGAGCTCACCACAACTCCCAAATATAACTCTCCCAACTTCCACCTCAGAAACTATAATTGTTTCACTGAAACACCTGAATATAACTCTCCCAACTTCCACTTTAGAAATTATAATTGTTGGAAACTACAGCGGTTCAATGTTTCTAGGAATAGACTCTAACTTACTTTATTCAGCTAGCTAACTTGGTACAGTATTCTTCCATGAAAACCGCCCAGGGCACCGTATCCTATGACGCCATAGCTAACTAGCATGCTAGCATCCAATAACACACGGTTTAGCACCAATACATGGTTACAACAAACTACCAATAGTGTGTTAACACACTAAACAGATAATTCGTGTCCGTGTCTAGTTCCTTTCATAACGCAGCAATAATTAAACGTTGGCTAGCTAGCACAAAGTCAGTCATGCTAGCTACACAAGTGGACTACACATCTCGAATGTTCAGAAAGGGAAGCTTTATGTTGCAAAATTCTCATTGACTAAAATTATATTGTATTTAGCTGCTACAGTACTGCTAGCTGGTAGTGTTGGCTAGCTAGCAATGGCTGTGGTGTTGACTTTGTTTGAAAAACGGCATCGCTGCGAACGAATGTAGCTGGCTAAAATTATATTGTATTTAGTTGCTACAGTACTGCTAGCTGGTAGTGTTGGCTAGCTAGCAATGGCTGCTGTGTTGACTTTGTTTGAAAAACGGCGTCGCTGCGAACGAATGTAGCTGGCTAAAATTATATTGTATTTAGTTGCTACAGTACTGCTAGCTGGTAGCGTTGGCTAGCTAGCAATGGCTGCGGTGTTGACTTTGTTTGAAAAACGGCGTCGCTGCGAACGAATGTAGCTGGCTAAAAGGATATTGTATTTAGTTGCTACAGTACTGCTAGCTGGTAGTGTTGGCTAGCTAGCAATGGCTGCGGTGTTGACTTTGTTTGAAAAACGGCGTCGCTGCGAACGAATAACCTCGATAGTTTCTCTATACTACACCTTTATCTTTGATACAAATACAACTATGTAGCTAGCTAACATTACACTAATCAAATCGTTCCATTGTAATGTAATGTGTCATATTACCTGCGGAGCGAAGTACAGCATGACTACTCACCTCGCCTGCCGCTCACATGAAAATACACAAACCACAACACAGAAACTGGGGAACGGAACATTTGTCAGTGAATGTTTTTAAGTGTGTTTGAACATGCCACGGCAGCTCAACTGGTGTAGATTTGATTCCTTTCAGAATGGAAGTGTTAGAGAGTATGTTTGTGTGTGTTGTTTAAAGCTGCAATGTGTAACTTTTTGGGTGACCCGACCAAATTCACATAGAAATGTGAGTTATAGATCTGTCATTCTCATTGAAAGCAAGTCTAAGAAGAGGTAGATCTGTTCTATGAGCTTTATTTCTATGCTTCCCGTTCTTAAGTTTTGTTTTTGGTATTGTACACCAGCTTCAAACAGTTAAAAATACAATATTTTTGGTTATTGAAATATATTTCACAGCGGTTCAGATGGTACAATGATTATCTACACTATACATTTTTTGTTTTGTCACATAAACTGAAATTATTAGAATTTTAGCAACCAGGAAATGGCGTAGCGATTTCTGCATATAGCACCTTTAAAAATAGGTTATGCCTTTATTGAATAGCCTGGTCCCAAATATGTTTGTGCTGTCTTGCCAACCCCTGTAATTGATTGCTGTGCTTCTTTCATTTGTTTGATGTGTCTCTTAACTTCCGTTGGGTAGTTGGCACCGAGCTCAGAGGTCCATGTGGAAAGCTTCACCATCAACCCCAAGTGTGTGAGCTTTGGAGAGTTGTACGGCCAGATAGACCCCAACACTCTGGAGTGGTCAGATGGCCTGTTCGCCTCTGCAGTCAGAACCTACGCTAAACAACTCTTCAAACAAGAGAACAAGACTTCCAAAGACAGCGAGAGGAGGAACACCTCCTCTTCAGTGAGTGCTAATTGCATTTACATTTTAGTAGTTTAGAAGATGCTCTTATCCAGACTAAACTACCTTTCAGTTGGGCATTCAACTGAAATAGGTAAAACAACGATCACAGTCCTTGCAAATAAAATCTCAAAATAGCCGGCATCTTTAAAATCATTGCTAGGAAGAGTTAAGCACCATTTGTTTTAATTGCTATTCATTGTTCATAATCATTCATTCCAAGGATGCTGTCATTTACGCTGGTAACATTGGCCACACATGCTCTCTGTCTTCCCTTTCAGGATGTTTCGAGTGATTCCACTACACCCTCACCTCCCAACAGTTATCAGCGTATGTCTTAATGAACTCTGCTTGTGTTTATCACACCCAACAGTTATCAGCGTATGTCTTAATGAACTCTGCTTGTGTTTATCACACCCAACAGTTATCAGCGTATGTCTTAATGAACTCTGCTTGTGTTTATCACACAGTATAGTATCACACAACATTTGACCATGTTATCATTCAGAAATATATATATATTTTAAATGTCTCTTTCTTATTTCTTAGATAACTCCATGGTTGACAACTGGCGTTGGCTCATAATGGACGGCCCAGTGGATATCCTGTGGGTCGAGAACCTGAACACTGTGTTGGACGACAACAAGACACTGTGCCTGGCGAACGGAGAGAGGATCAGCCTGCCAGATGGCATCAGGTTCCTGTTTGAAGTGGATACTCTCAGCCAGGCCACCCCTGCTACCATCAGCCGCTGTGCCATGGTCTACATGGTACTGTGTCAAGATGCATTATGTTCAACCAAACCTACTCTTCAGAATGGTTCCCCGGACTCAGATGAATTCTCGTCCTGGAGAATCTCCATTGCAAGTGTCCTCCGGTCCAAGATTAGGCCTAATCTGTGTCTGGGAAACTGGACCCCAATCTGTTATAGGTTTTCATCTAATGTACTAACTACAGTAGTTTGTTATACTAAGTTAGAATATTTTGAGTATATAAACTATTTTTTTCGCCACTACAGGATCCAGTCGACCTGGGCTGGAAGCCGTACGTGAGGCGCTGGCTGTCCCAGCTGCCCAGACAGCTGAGCAGAGAGGGAAGGATCCACATCCAGCAGCTCTTTGACAACAGCATCACCCAGGGGTTGAACTTTGTCAAGAAGCACCAGAAGCTGCTCAACATCCAGATCCCAGAGATGTCCACAGTTTCTTCTTCTTCTTCTTCTTCTTCTTCTTCTTCTTCTTCTTCTTCTTCTTCTTCTTCTTCTTCTTCTTCTTCTTCTTCTTCTTCTTCTTCTTCTTCTTCTTCTTCTTCTTCTTCTTCTTCTTCTTCTTCTTCTTCTTCTTTCTTCTTCTTCTTCTTCTTCTTCTTCTCTGTCTGTCCGTGTGGATGTTGTATTGTTTCTTATGTAGACTTTCAATAACTTTGATCTAATTTTCATTCTGTGGTGTCACAGGACTAAATCTTGAGACATTGTCAGAGGAAGACATTGGGAAGACCTCTGCAGACATTGAGTCCACGGGAAAAGGGTAAGTGTAAATTAAATCTATTGCTGTTTGTAGTTACTATATTATCTTGGTTCAGCTTTGGTAAAGTTACTATATATTTCCAATCTGTCGTAGGGAGGATAACAAGTGGTTTCTACAGAAAAAACCAGAAAAACTCACGATTCTTCTTGGGAAGCTGTTTGTCTTTTCATACGCCTGGGCAGTGGGAGGAGTCCTAAACCATCTAGATGACTATGAAGATTCCCCACTTACTACTAAAGACAAAAGCTGTCACCTCGTCAATGTTGCACACGCATTCAAAAACCTGATCCACGAGTTGTTTGAAGGCGCGCCTTGCGGTATGTGAATATAATAATGAATAATGTCCAGGGACTACAGAGCTATCTAGCTAAATCTGGTGCAGTGACATGTTGTACATGGTCCCTGACGAATTAAAAAATAAATAATGCTATAGTGTCCATTATATTTTCTATTTTGTCTCTGAATATTTCAGGTGTGTCTTTACCGGCGGGGAATCGTATGATCTTCAACTACTTTGTGGATCTACAGACAGGTGCCTTCGTTTCCTGGGATGAGTTGGTTCCTAGCACCGAGAGTCTCATACGTAAAGGTCTGCTCACACCTTTACCTTCCCTGGAGTGCATCAAGCATTCATACATGCACTTTTCAATCGTACAGTTCAAGAGTGTTACAATGAGTTTCAAGTTTATTTTCCATATGTCATTTCACTGGAAATCATAATCACCAAAGCTCTCACATTGAAACAACAGCTTTCAAAACAAAAGCATTAAAACAACAGCATTAAAGGCTAGGGACTGTGTTTGTACAGTATACGTTCATTTCCTCAGGACTGAACACATCCTCAGGTTCTGAATCGTTGCAGTTGGGAGGAGTCCTGGGAGAGTCTAACACAACATATACCACCAGCTTTCTGAGATCAGGCCCCATCTGCAGCAATGACACTGTCCGCTACTCATTTCTAATGAGCCTTCTGCTGCTCAACAAACAACCAGTACTTCTCACAGGTGATTCAGTCAAGATTTCACTCTGTATTATATAAGACTATAGGATCACCCCCCCCACCACCCCCCCCAAATACATGCCTGTTGCTTACTAATCATATTCTTGACAGATTTTGTTTTTGTCTTTAACCAACTTGTTTTTCATTAAAGAGATTTAACAGGTCTCATATGAAGTTTAAATGGACTATTAGGGGATTCTGGAGTTAATGAGGTTTGTTTAGACTATTAGGGGATTCTGGAGTTAATGAGGTTTGTTTAGACTATTAGGGGATTCTGGAGTTAGTGAGGTTTGTATTGACTGTTAGGGGATTCTGGAATTAATGAGGTTTGTATTGACTGTTAGGGGATTCTGGAATTAATGAGGTTTGTATTGACTGTTAGGGGATTCTGGAGTTCATGAGGTTTGTATTGACTGTTAGGGGATTCTGGAATTAATGAGGTTTGTATTGACTGTTAGGGGATTCTGGAGTTAATGAGGTTTGTTTTGACTATTAGGGTATTCTGGAGTTAGTGAGGTTTGTATTGACTGTTAGGAGATTCTGGAGTTAATGAGGTTTGTATTGATTTAGGGGATTCTTGAGTTAATGAGGTTTGTTTTGACTATTAGGGTATTCTGGAGTTAATGAGGTTTGTATTGACTTAGGGGATTCTTGAGTTAATGAGGTTTGTTTTGACTATTAGGGGATTCTGGAGTTAATGAGGTTTGTTTTGACTATTAGGGTATTCTGGAGTTAATGAGGTTTGTATTGACTGTTAGGAGATTCTGGAGTTAATGAGGTTTGTATTGACTTAGGGGATTCTTGAGTTAATGAGGTTTGTTTTGACTATTAGGGTATTCTGGAGTTAGTGAGGTTTGTATTGACTGTTAGGGGATTCTGGAGTTAATGAGGTTTGTATTGACTGTTAGAGGATTCTGGAGTTAATGAGGTTTGTATTGACTGTTAGGAGATTCTGGAGTTAATGAGGTTTGTATTGACTGTTTGGGGATTCTGGAGTTAATGAGGCTTGTATTGACTGTTAGGGGATTCTGGAGTTAAAGAGGTTTGTATTGACTGTTAGGGGATTCTGGAGTTAATGAGGTTTGTATTGACTGTTAGGGGATTCTGGAGTTAATGATGTTTGTATTGACTGTTAGGGGATTCTGGAGTTGGAAAAACAATTCTCATCCAAAGCATTCTAAAGAAACTACAGAAAGACGGAGGAGAAATGGTGAAACAAGGGACTATACTGGGACAAGTCTTTCTACACAACCAAGCCAAGACAGCCAGGTAAAGCTAGCGTAAAACATGATTCTCTATTTTTGATCTTGTAAAAAGTATGTTGAGAAAGACAGTGAGCTACAGTATTATTGTGTAAGAAAGGCCCAGAGAGGCTGAGAGACTGATGCGAACCAGCAACCTAATGTACTGTATCTTTTCTCCAGCTTGTTGGAGGATGTTAACTTGCTGACAGCTGTCTTTGGGGGAGATGTAGATAAGTCTACAGGCGGTGATTCATTAAGTAAGGTTAAGACAAAGTACAGTACAATAAGTCAGGACTATCTAGTAGTCATTAGTAGTAGTGAGCTTAACTAGTGAGTAGTACTAGTGAATAGTCTTAGTAGTCTGACTATAATCCAACCCTTTGCCTGAAAAAACACTTAATCTTTTAATCTGAACAATTTACTGTTGCCCTAATAATTAAAACCATAAATATTGATACCTAATTTCTGAGAAATTGGCTAAAAAGTAGGTATTTCCCAGGTGGCTTGTTGAGCAGCATGCCGTTTGGAGTGTTGAGCGGGATGCGTAGTTCCAGCCACACCTCAGAATCCTCAGGAATCCTGACCTGTACCCTCCAGTGCACCGCTCATACAAGCACTGCCTACATACAGGCACACGTGTTACAAAACCTCGTCAAGAAAGGCAAAAATAACCTTGGTGCACCCAAAAATAAGTCGGTGAGCAAAATGCCATTACATAAACATGTCTGATAATCAACATTTTAAGTACTCTAAATGATTCAAAAGATGGATGCAGAATCAGCTTGGATGTTGTATGTTTCTCTCCTCAAGTCTTGGTGTTTGTAGATGATTTGAATATGCCAACACTTGATAGTTATGGCGCCCAGCCTTCCATGGAGTTGATTCGCCAGTTCATCGAGCTCCAGGGAGTATTTGATGCCAAGACTCTCACCTGGAAGGTACAATACATTAGCCATGGTGTTATTAGAGTTCATGTCTACCATTTCCCTGTAATGCGTGATGCAAATGGAGTTTGTCTGAGTTCTGGAGAGGCTTATTTTCTTCCTTGTTTGACATCAGCCGTGATGAATCGGCTATTGTACACTAACCATGATGAATAGGCCTAGTCTGTACACATAATCATGATGAATAGGCCTAGTCTGTACACATAACCGTGATGAATAGGCTAGTCGTCACTAACCGTGATGAAAGGCCTAGTTGTTACACGAACGGATGAATCGGCCAGTCTGTCACATAACCGGATGAATGGCTAGTCTGTACACATACCGGTGAGTGAATAGGCCTAGTCTGTACCACATAACGTGATGATAGCCGTCTGACCATAACCGTGATGAATAGGCCTAGTCTGTACACATAACTGTGATGAATAGGCCTAGTCTGTACACATAACCGTGATGAATAGGCCTAGTCTGTACACATAACCGTGATGAATAGGCGTAGTCTGTACACATAACCATGTTCTTGTGCTCTCTATGACTTGTATGCCAGTGTGTTAGCTCCAGGACCCCCCAAATGTATTATTATTGAATTTCTTTACCCCCTTTTTCTCCCCAATTTCGTGGTATCCAATTGCTATCAATTCTTGTCTCATCGCTGCAGCTCCCCAACGGGCTCGGGAGAGGCGAAGGTCGAGTCATGCGTCCTCTGAATCATGACCCGCCAAGCCGCACTGCTTCTTAACACCCGCTTGCTTAACCCGCCGCACCAATGTGTTCGAGGAAACACTGTTCAACTGACTACTGAAGTCAGCTTGCAGGCGCCCGGCCCGCCACAAGGAGTCACTAGAGCGCGATGAGCCAAGGAAAGCCCCCCGGCCAAACCCTCCCCTAACCCGGACGACGCTGGGCCAATTTGCGCCGCCCTATTGGACTCCCGGTCATGGCCGGCTGTGACGCCTCAAAACTGTGATACAGTGCCTTAGACCGCTGCGCCACTCGGGAGGCCCCAGGTCTCGCTTAATAATGAATATATACTGTAACAATGATTTTTAAATATCTGTTTCTACAGGGCATCCAGGATGTGACTCTGTGTGCGGCCTGTGCCCCTCTGGGTGGGGGCCGTCAGAACCTCAGCCCCCGTCTTCTCAGACACTTCTCTGTTCTGGTGCTGCCACACCCCTCTAGCAACACCATGCAACACATCTTCCAGGTCATTGCCCCTCAGTCTTTAGTGGATTAGCTGCAGTACATGCTATAGTAGTCATATGGGTCTCTGGACTGTGGAGACAGTCAAGTGGCAGTGGTGTTGCTATGTAATATCAAATTAGGGGAGGTCTTGTACCTGAAACCAATGCTTTCTGTCTGCCATATCAACCAGGTCCAACTCGGGAAGTTCTTTGGTATCAGAGATTTCTCCAAGGAGGTGCGTAAATGCAGAGAGGCCTTGGTTTCCGCCTCCATCACTGTCTACAATGAGATGTGTCAACGTATGATGCCCACTCCAGCCAAATACCACTACACATTTAACCTTAGAGACCTGTCCAAGGTAAGACACACACATTCTCTTTGGTTTCTCTTCTTTACTGTCTTTTATTATTGTGTGTGTTTAAGATCGTCTACATTACAGTCAGATGGAGAATCACTGATCTACAAGTCACCTTGCACCGCACATAACTACTCATTATGTGATCAAGATGAGTGATTCTGCACCTCCCCTTACTCATTAAACACAGTGATTAGATTAGGTACGGAGAGAGGTGCTTGACTAGCTGATATGCATTTGTATTCCCTCTATAGGTGATTCAGGGCCTGATGCAGGCCAGCGACTCTGAGCTGAACTCAGAGGAGGCTGCAGCCTACCTGTTTTCCCACGAGACCTCCAGGGTCTTCCACGACCGCCTGGTCAATGAGCAGGACAGAGAACTGTTCTATCAGATACTGTCCAACGAGCTGCACTGTTATTTCAAGGTACTGGTAGCCTATGTGTCCAGAGAGGTCTCACATGTACACAGTAACTCAACTGCTGAAATGTATACCGTAGACATACTTCAGCTCATTCAGAATGAGTACTTTTTTATTCTACTGTAATCCATTTCTGCCAAGCGTATGTACGTTTTGATTCCTGTGTTACATGTTTTTATATTATTTAGTTTTTACATTTAGCAGACACTCCTATCCAGAGCGACTTTCAAAGTTAGTGCATTCTTCAGATAGATAGGTGGGACAACCAAATACATATGTTTATTAGGTACCATCTAGTACCGGGTCGGACCCCTCTTTGCCTCAAGAACAGCCTGAATTCTTCAGTGCATGGAAACGTTGCTTAATTAGTATCAAGGGTGTGTCAGGAAAACATTCCCCACACCAGTACACCACCGCCACCAGCCTGTACCGTTGACACCAGGCAGGATGGGTCCATGGTCTCATGCTGCTTACGCCAAATCCTGACCCTGCCATCAGCATGATGCAACAGGAACTGGGATTCGTCGGACCAGGCAATGTTTTTCCACTCCTCTATAGTCCAGTGTTGGTGATCGTGTGCCTTCTTGTTTTTAGCTGATAGTAGTGAAACCCGGTGTGGTAATCTGCTGCAATAGCCCATCCGTGACAAGGACTGACAAATTGTGCTTTCCAAGATGCCGTTTTGCACACCACTGTTGTACTGCGCCGTTATTTGTCTGTTTGTGGCCTCCCTGTTAGCTTGCATGATTCATCCCATTCTCCTTCGACCTCTCTCATCAATTAGCTGTTTTCGCCCACAGGACTGCTGCTGACTGGATGTTTTTTGTTTGTCGCACCATTCTCGGTAAACCCTAGACACTGTCATGCGTGGAAAGCCCAGGATGCCGGCAGTTTCTGAGATACTGGAACCGGCGCGTCTGGCACCGACGATCATATCACGCTCAAAGTCGCTTAGTTCACTCGTTTTGCCCATTCTAATGTTCAATTGAATAATAACTGAATGCCTCAATGCCTGTCTGCCTGCTTTATATAGCATGCCACGGTCACATGACTCACTGTCTGTAGGAGCGATCCATTTACGTGAACGGGGTTGTGTACCTAATAAACTGGCCACTGAGTGTATAATGACTTTACAGTGACTTTTTCTTGTAACTTGTTTGTGCGTGACTGTTAAGGTGTCCTGGCTACCGGAGGAACTGATGAGAGAACCCATTGTTTGTGCATGACTGTTAAGGTGTCCTGGCTACCGGAGGAACTGATGAGAGAACCCATTGTTTGTGCATGACTGTTAAGGTGTCCTGGCTACCGGAGGAACTGATGAGAGAACCCATTGTTTGTGCATGACTGTTAAGGTGTCCTGGCTACCGGAGGAACTGATGAGAGAACCCATTGTTTGTGCATGACTGTTAAGGTGTCCTGGCTACCGGAAGAATTGATGAGAGAACCCATTGTTTGTGCATGACTGTTAAGGTGTCCTGGCTACCGGAGGAACTGATGAGAGAACCCATTGTTTGTGCATGACTGTTAAGGTGTCCTGGCTACCGGAGGAACTGATGAGAGAACCCATAGCATTCGGAGACTTCCTGGATATGAGCATCCCGACTGCTTCTAGGATCTATAAGCACCTGCCAGAGTTTAAGAAGATACAGGCTGTACTGGAGGAGTGTCACGGTAGACATGGAAGAAAAGCCTCCCAGGTACAGTTCACCTTAGCCACACTGAACATTGCTTTACAGTACAGTAAGCTACCAATGTGCAATCTCGATAAGAGTAATGTATTGTGTAAATCTGATGCGTGTGCGTGTGTGCGTGCGTGCATGTGTGTGTGTGTGTGTGTGTGTGTGTGGTGTGTGTGTGTGTGTGTGTGTGTGCGTGTAGTTCCCCATGGTGTTTTTCAGGGAGGCAGTGGAACACATCACTAGAGCCGCCAGGGTTTTCAGATTGAAGGGAGCACACATGATGCTGGTACCTGTCCTGTACACACCTTTCAGACCTCTGCCCTCTGATGTCACTGAGACACTTTGCCTGTGTGCTCTCTTTTAGAGTGGGCCGTTCACACCAAGGACGATAACTATAACGATAAATGATAAATTACTGTAAACGTTGGCGAGCATCCACACCAGCGGACCGTTTATCATTCTGCAGTACACCGGTCAATCAACTGATCAACGTATCCTGTGGCAGCTGTAGGCCCAGTAATAAGATGGTAACACAGATCGTTCAGTGCTTCAGGGTGTGTTCATTGTCACAGTGACAACTGCAAATAATACTTCAATGTACATGTAATTAATGTGGCCAACAGTACGCCCATACATGCCCAGTTATTCAGGCAAGCTTACCATGCCCTCTGCCTTCTCTCCCCTCTGAGCAGCCTCGTGCACCTACAGCCAAGAACGCTTCAATAGAACCTGTTTTTGATTGGTTGTCAATGTTTTATCGTCGGAGGGAAAAGGAAAATGGCTCTGAAAGGGATCCAAACGATAGCTCTCGTTGCCATTCTCCACTCTAGTAGTTATCGTTGTAGCGTGGACTCTCCTGTTCACTTGAATTAGAACTGTTTTCATTTTAACAATTTAACAATACTATACTAACTGAACGATAAACCATATAGCTCAATAATATGTTGTTCAGGTTCCCAATTGGCTACTGCACCTTCCTGCTATTTGATTGATTGATAAATTGATTGGTTAGTGATAATGACTGACCCCTTTGCTCCCTCTGTGTAGATTGGACTGGATGGCACAGGGAAGGAGGAGTGTGTGACTCTGGCCTGTCATGTGTCTGGGAGCCATCTCTACAGGCTGTCTGTCTGCCGGAACTGCAGCTACTCAGACTTCAGAGATGACCTGAAAAGGGTGTTCAGACAGGCCGGGATCCACCGTAAAAACACCGTGCTGCTCATCACTGACTCGGACATCGTCAAGGTCAGGAAGATTAGCTAGCCTGGTTCAGATGTGCTATTATTAGCTAGCCTGGTCCATATCTGTTCCGTACTGTCGTTAGCTAGCCTGGTCCCTAGATTAGTATCGTTAGTAAAAGTAGTCCATTCCATTGATCACCTGTGACATATTTTCTATTTTTTTGTTCAAAGGAGTCAGTCCTTGAGGATCTGAACTGCATTCTGAAATGTGGAGATGTCCCTGGCCTGTTTGACAACGATGAGATTGATTCAATCACTGTGGATCTCAAGTCAACCATGGAGAGCTCTATGGGTGAAAATAGAGAGGAGATGTACTCTTATTTCATAGAGGTACAGTACGGTAGAATTTACACGGTAGATTTGTTGATTTAGGTCATGGTTTAAGAAGAAGCATTTGACCCCATGTAGGCCACGATGCAGACCATGAAGTCTTAACAACTTTTCTTGGTTTGCAAGCAACTTCTTCTTCTTCTTCTTCTTTAGCAAGTTCAGCAGAGACTACACATCGTCCTGGCCCTGAGCCCTGCTGGGATGCGTCTGAGACAGTTCTGTTGGGCTCACCCGGCCCTGCTCTCCTGCTGTAACATAGACTGGTACAGCGAGTGGTCTAGAGAGGCTCTGCTTCAGGTAGCCAGCAGCACCTACATCAACTCTGACGACTTTGACTGGCTCGGACAGGTACAGTAGTTCCCCATTCACCAGATAATAATGAGATTAGCTCTATTTGTATGTGTACTACAATTCAACTTCTATGTGTACATGAAATGTACATGAAATAAACCCAAAACAAAAGAAGGTTAATTTTACATATTGAATGAGGATTAGGTCCAGAATCTGGAACACCAGTTGTCTACCTTTCAGGTCCTGCAGAACAAGGTAGCCAGAGTGTGTGTGGATATTCACTACAGCTCAACCCAGATGGCAGCTCAGTACTTGCAGGAGATGAGAAGGCCCTACTACATTGTGCCCAGCACCTTCATCGAGTACATAGACACCTTCACCAAGATGTGTCGTTCAGAGGGTTCTAAGCTCCATAATGTCAGGTAAAGGCTGGAGGTTGATTTATTGATTGATTGATTTGTTGGTTGTGACTGGAAATTATGTTTGCTGAGTGGAGAGTAATATTAAATATACTGTATATTGCCTGTTTTTTCCCACAGAGATCGCTTTAGTAATGGACTGTCTATATTATCTGAGGCAACATCTCTAGTCACTGTCATGCAAGAGGAACTGCTAGCTCTGGGTCCACAGATAGAGGAGAAGTCAAAGGTAAATAACAGAAGATTGAATATCAAGATAGGGTGTTCAGATTTTGAGAGACAGAGACAGAGACAGAGACAGAGAGACTGATTGATTGTGTTTTGGACAGGAAATAGAGATCTTGATGGAAAAACTAAAAGAGGATTCTCAAGCCGTGGAACAAGTCCGAGCCATAGTCAAAATGGAAGAAGAGATGATGATGCAAGAAACACAGATTGTTCATGAATATGCAGAGGTGAGGTGAACATAAATATATTTTGTGAGAGTACTACATACACATACCCTTTGATAAATGTGGTCTCTGTTGACTGTTGACTGTGAGTAACATTTTGTTTATGTAAATAATGTGTTCCCATTGCGTGTTGTAAAACTGTAGGATGCCACGGCATATTTGAATAAAGTTTTACCTCTGCTGGAGAAAGCAGTTTCAGCTTTAGATGCTCTGGAAAAGAGCGACATTTCAGAAATAAGGCAAGTGAACAAAAACATGCTTAATTCTTCACCTAAGCATGCCTTTAGTTTTCAAGGGGTGGGGGTGGGGGGGGTTACAATATTGTTGTCAAATATACCTGATCAAAACATTTTCCAAGTAGAATTAATGATTTCAGGCAACGAATCAATATGCCACACTGTCAATATCTACAGTGGCTTGCGAAAGGATTCATCCCCCATGGCATTTTTCCTATTTTGCCTTACAACCTGGAATTAAAATAGATTTGGGGGGGGTTTGTGTCATTTGATTTACACAACATGCCTACCACTTTGAAGATGCAAAATATTTTATTGTGAAACAAACAAGAAATAAGACAAAAAAACTGAAAACTTGAACGTGCATAACTATTCACCCCCCCAAAGTCAATACTTTGTAGAGCCACCTTTTGCAGCAATTACAGCTGCAAGTCTCTTGGGGTATGTCTCTATAAGCTTGGCACATCTAGCCACTGGGATTTTTGCCCATTCTTCAAGGCAAAACTGCTCCAGCTCCTTCAAGTTGGATGGGTTCCGCTGGTGTACAGCAATCTTTAAGTCATACCACAGATTCTCAATTGGATTGAGGTCTGGGCTTTGACTAGGCCATTCCAAGTCATTTAAATGTTTCCCTTTAAACCACTTGAGTGTTGCTCTAGCAGTATACTTAGGGTCATTGTCCTGCTGGAAGGTGAACCTCCGTCCCAGTCTCAAATCTCTGGAAGACTGAAACAGGTTTCCCTCAAGAATTTCCCTGTATATAGCACCATCCATCATTCCTTCAATTCTGACCAGTTTCCCAGTCCCTGCCGATGAAAAGCATTCCCACAGCATGATGCTGCCACCACCATACTTCACTGTGGGGATGGTGTTCTCGGCGTGATGAGAGGTGTTGGGTTTGCGCCAGATATAGCGTTTTCCTTGATGGCCAAAAAGCTTAATTTTAGTTTCATCTGACCAGAGTACCTTCTTCCATATGTTTGGGGAGTCTCCCACATGGCTTTTGGCGAACACCAAACGTGTTTGCTTATTTTTTTCTTTAAGCAATGGCTTTTTTCTGGCCACTCTTCCGTAAAGGCCAGCTCTGTGGAGTGTACGGCTTAAAGTGGTCCTTTGGACAGATACTCCATTCTCCGCTGTGGAGCTTTGCAGCTCCTTCAGGGTTATCATTTACATTACATTTACATTTACGTAATTTAGCAGACGCTCTTATCCAGAGCGTTATCTTTGGTCTCTTTGTTACCTCTCTGATTAATGCCCTCCTTGCCTGGTCCGTGGGTTTTGGTGGGCGGCCCTCTCCTGACAGTTTTGTTGTGCCATATTCTTTCCATTTTTTAATAATGGATTTAATGGTGCTCCGTGGGATGTTAAAAGTTTCTGATATTTTTTTATAACCCAACCCTGATCTGTACTTATCCACAACTTTGTCCCTGACCTGTTTGGAGAGCTCCTTGGTCCTCATGGTGCTGCTTGCTTGGTGGTGTCCCTTGCTTAGTGGTGTTGCAGACTCTGGGGCCTTTCAGAACAGGTGTATATATACTGAGATCATGTGACAGATCATGTGACACTTAGATTGCACACAGGTGGACTTTAATTAACTAATTATGTGACATGATCTCATATATATATACAGGTAATTGGTTGCGCCAGATCTTATTTAGGGGCTTCATAGCAAAGGGGGCGAATCCATTTGCACGCACCATTTTCCAATATTGATTTTTTGATTTTTTATTAACAAGTTATTTTTTTCATTTCACTTCACCAATTTGGACTATTTTATGTATGTCCATTACATGAAATCCAAATAAAAATCAATTTAAATGACAGGTTGTAATGCAACAAAATAAGAAAAACGCCAAGGGGGATGAATAGTTTTGCAAGGCACTGTAATACTGAATTAATTATCAGTTGAATGTATTGATGCAGATCTCCTGTTCATTCTTTTTATCCAGAGTGTATACCAACCCTCCAGACCTGGTTATGACAGTAATGCATGCAGTCTGCATCCTGCTACAGCAGAAACCTAACTGGACCACAGCTAAACAGCTGCTAGGAGACCCTGGCTTCCTCAAGAGACTGGTCAGCCTGGACAAAGACAGCCTGCCAGAGAAGGTACAGTATTTAGGCCCCAATCATACCTTGAGATCTGCATGTGTTTGTGCTTATCTTCTAGCTGTATGTTGTCTTGTTTATTATACTTGTCTATAACCATCCGGTGGTCCTGTGTGGCTCATTCGGTACAGCATGGCGCTTGCAACACCGAGGGTTGTGTGTTCGATTCCCGCCAGGGAAAATGTATGCACAGATCACTGTAGGTCGTTTTGGATAAATGCGTCTGGTAAATGGCATATATTATATTATGATACTATGTTTGAATTGCTGTAGGTGTTTCTGAAGTTGAGGAGGTATTCTGAGTGTCCTGACTTCAACCCTGCCAAGGTGGGCATGGTGTCTATAGCCTGTCGTTCTCTATGCCTCTGGGTACTGGCTTTGGAGTACTACCATAATGTCTACAAGGTACCGTTTTACTGTTGTAGACCTTTAGTTCTCCAGAAGGAAATATTACATTATTGTTATTTATGTATGCAACAGTGTTATATTGATGTCCTATTTTCCCCAGATAATTGAGCCCAAACAGAAAAAAGTAAACGTGGCTCAAGAAGCATTGGTAAAAGCAGAATCTAATCTGATAAAAAAGCAGAAAAGACTATCGAAGGTAAGATATTTACTGTTAGGCAATACTTAATTCACACAAATGACAAGGGCTCGTTTCTCCGTTCTGTTTATGCTTCATCAGTTAATTGATTGATTGATTAATTGGTTGATGATTCAATGTTCTGTGCCGTCTGTTTAGATCGAGGAGCATCAGAAAGCTTTGGAGGACCTCTATAATGCCAGTGTGTCTGGGAGACAGGAGCTGGGGAGACGTAAAGAGCTGACCACAAACAGAGTGCAGAGAGCTGCTTCACTCATATCAGCCCTGTCTAATGAAAAGGTCCCACAAACAGAGTGCAGAGAGCTGCTTCACTCATATCAGCCCTGTCTAATGAAAAGGTCCCACAAACAGAGTGCAGAGAGCTGCTTCACTCATATCAGCCCTGTCTAATGAAAAGGTCCCACAAACAGAGTGCAGAGAGCTGCTTCACTCATATCAGCCCTGTCTAATGAAAAGGTCCCACAAACAGACTGCAGAGAGCTGCTTCACTCATATCAGCCCTGTCTAATGAAAAGGTCCCACAAACAGAGTGCAGAGAGCTGCTTCACTCATATCAGCCCTGTCTAATGAAAAGGTCCCACAAACAGAGTGCAGAGAGCTGCTTCACTCATATCAGCCCTGTCTAATGAAAAGGTCCCACAAACAGAGTGCAGAGAGCTGCTTCACTCATATCAGCCCTGTCTAATGAAAAGGTCCCACAAACAGAGTGCAGAGAGCTGCTTCACTCATATCAGCCCTGTCTAATGAAAAGGTCCCACAAACAGAGTGCAGAGAGCTGCTTCACTCATATCAGCCCTGTCTAATGAAAAGGTCCCAACAAACATTTTATATACAGTAGTAAAATATTGATGAATTTCATAAAGCCAGACCGTTATGGGACTTTGCGAGTCAAAATACACCGATTCCGATATTTCTGCCGATACGATGAAAAGTTCACTGTTGTCCTTACAAATTGAGCTCTGAAAGAGATGCAGCCCTACAATGATACTTTGAATGCTGATTTCTTACATGTATGCATTTTCTAAATCATTTGTATCCCTTATTCTCCCCAATTTGTCTCATTGCTGCAACTCCCCAACATGACCCGCCAAGCCGCACTTCTTAACACCCACTCGTTTAACACGGAAGCCAGCTGCACCAATGTGTCGGAGGAAACACCGTTCAACTGACGACCGAAGTCAGCCTGCAGGCACCCGGCCCGCCACAAGGGGCCGCTAGAGCGCAATGAGCCAAGTAAAGCCACCATATGGGACTTCCGGTCACAGTCGGTTGTGACACTTAGACCGCTACGCCACTCGGGAGGCCACATGTATGCTTTCTGTTGATTTGACCTGCCTGTTTCCCTGTGTATGTCTGTGTGTATCTCTGTGTATCAGGATCGCTGGGAGAAAGCAGTGTGTGACCTGGACAACAAGCTGCAGCACATAGTGGGTGACGTCATGGTTTCCTCAGCGTTCATCACGTACTGTGGACCTCTGACGGCTGACTACCGTAAAGCCATGGTGAAGAAGTGGCTGGACTTCTGCCACAACATGGAGATCCCTGTCTCTCCTCAGTACACCTTCATCTCAGCCATGACTGAGAAGAACCAGGTAATGTGGTCATTTAGCAGGCATTTTTAATCCAAAGCAATATAGAAAACTGTCAGCATTGAGAGACAGTGACACATAAATGCACTGATCAACGCTCAGTGGTGCAAGTCATCCCTTAACGTTAGTCTCATTTAATTCAGAGCTATAGCTCCGCACAATAGTGGATTCAAAGCGTTCTGGGGCAATATCCGGCTCGAAGGATCATACTGCTCAATCTCATGTGAATGTTCACAGAATATTTCTTAGATGTACAAACAACAACACACACATTTTGTTTTAGCATGTATTGCCATAATGCCGCAGATGTAACTATTTTCTCATCATTTTAATGATATCGGGAAATCTTATCTCCCTCAGGTGAGACACTGGCAGAACACAGGCCTGCCACCAGATCAGAACTCCACAGAGAATGCTGTGATCGTGAAGAATGGTCCCCACTGGCCCCTGCTGATCGACCCCCAGGGCCAGGCCACCAGGTGGATCTGCTCTATGGAGGGGGTCAGGCTCAGGAAGATGTTGGCCTCAGACCCCAACTATATGAAGACAGTAGAGAGGGCCATTCGCATGGGGGACGCTGTCCTTATTCAGGTACTTGCTTAGGCTACTTAAACCCTTTTGCTCTTTAGGGAGCATTTGACAGATTTCCTCCAGCGGCCTCTGTGTTGATCTCTTATTCAGGTATTGCCTGATAAAATATACAATATAGAATATACAAATTTGATTGATTTTAATTCTACAACTTAGAATCAAAGATTGTGATTCCCAACAGTAACCAGGTTTCCAGCCAACCTTTTCATCCGAGTAAAGTACATGTGAATGGAAATAGCAAATTTGTCTGTAAACTTTCCAAATATCGACTAAACAAAATACGCTAGACAAAGTGGAAACGCTTTTATGCTCAAATATTGATATAATAACCATCATATCGAAGTAAACTTGGAGTCACGCGATGACATGTTGTGTGGTCCTCCCACTACGACTCGGGAAACCATGCAGTTTATTAGACTACAGATGAAATAAGTTACGATGAACTTCACAGGATGGTGAACGTTCACGGTGATAAGCTTGCTCGTTTCCAATAAATATCCAGGGTCTTATTCTGATCGATGCTTGGCTGCCATTTGACAAATAAAAATAATCTCGCTATTTTGTCCATAATAATTTAATCATGTAGGCCTTTCAAACTCAACCCTAGACCTGGAAGCCAGTTCCACTGAGTGTTTTCATTATTGCCCTCTAATCAGGGACTGATTTAGACCTGGGACACCAGGTGGGTGAAATTAATTATCAGGTAGAGCAGAAAACCAGCAGGCTCCGGACCTCGTAGGGTAAGAGTTGAATACCCCTGATGTAGGCTATACCCACATTGCATCTGCGAACTGTTGTAGAGTGCGTGTGCCAAAACCAGAGTGGGCACATTCTCTATATAACGCAACAGTTTTTGTGACAAAATCATCAGTAGAGTTGAAAATGTGATGGATACCCATTTAACCATTTTTATTGGGTACACAGGAATTTAACCACAAAATGTATTTTTATGTGCACTACGTCATCACGCACAGCCTTTTATCTGCAACAAGTCCGTTTGATGGAAACATCTCTGGTGGGAAAATGCGGATTGTTTTTATGCAGATTTGTGAATATTCGCATGAAAATCTATCGCCAATTGGATGGAAACCTAGCTAGTGGTTTGCTTAAATGAGACTGATGTAATAAATGAGATCAAGATGGATTTTTAGTATGTCCTTAATGCTATTGATCCTCCCCTTTGACCATTCTTCTGTTTTCAGGATGTTCTTGAGAACATAGATCCCTGTCTTCAGCCAATCCTGATCAAGAACCTTACAATACGTGAGGGTCAATCATTCATCAAAATTGGAGACACTGAAATTGAGTACAATCCCAACTTTAGGTACATTAAATTGAGCCCTTATTTTCTTAAAATTACCATGCATAAAAAAAAATCTACATTTTCATATTTGAAGCAATAGCAATAGGTCTTATAAGTTGTCACAACTCCTCTCCTCCTCATCTCCTCCCTTCTCCTCCTCCTCTCTTCTCTTTCTCACTGAAGGCTCTACCTGGCAACCTGTCTGCCCAACCCCCACTTCCTCCCGGCGGTGTGTATCCTGGTGAAGCTGATCAACTTCTCGGTAGAGTACGAGTGTCTGCAGGAGCAGCTGCTGTCCAGCGTGGTGTCTCTGCAGCAGCCGGAACTAGAACTGCAACACAACCAGCTCCTCCACACTATTACTGCTGACCTGTTCAGCCTCCACGAGCTGGAGAACAGATCCCTGCTGCTGCTACAGGACACCCAGGGTGAGGGAGGGAGGGAGGGAGGAGGATGGATGGATTTTGTGCCGTTCTTCCTATCCCTAAATGTAACGTGAAAATCTTGATCAAGATCGACTGTTGGCTTTGCTTCTAGCTTCTCTTTCACTATTGTTTTTACCAAGAGGATGAAGAGAGGAAAGAGTTGACCACATTCTCTCCCTTCACATAAAATGTGACATATTAAAACACAAATACTTTGTCTTGCTTCAGGACACATATTGGACGACCAGGACCTTGTTGATAACTTGAAAAAGTCCAAAGTCACCTCCAACGAGATCTCCGTGCGGGTTGAGACGGCTAAGGACAAGGAGAAGGAGATCGACGAGGTCCGCAAGAAGTACCTCCCTATCGCTAACCGGGGGGGCAGACCTGTACTTTGTCCTGGCCGACCTCACCCAGATCAACTACATGTACCAGTTCTCCCTGGACTGGTTCAATGACATGTATGTGAAAGCTTTGCAGGTGGCTACAGAGGGCCAGGAGTGGCCCACCCTGGACGTGTCCATGCCCGTGACGGGCACCCTGCGCCCGGCTGGAGCTAAAAGTCTGAGGAGGGCTGTGGTGGTGCCTGGGACATGTGCTCCCAACATGGGGGACTTTAACATTCGTCTTCTCAAGATGATGAACGCCATCACTGAGAGTATATACAAGGTAACAGTATTGAGAGTAACACAATCATGGACAGGTAACATGCTATTTTTTTTCGGGGTTTTACACATCTTAAGTGGAGCTTGACTGAGTTTTTCTATTTACACTACCGGTGAAAAGTTTTAGAACACCTACTCATTCAAGGGTTTTTCTTTATTTTTACTATTTTCTACATTGTAGAATGATAGTGAAGATGTCAAAACTATGCAATAACACATATGTACTCATGTAGTAATCAAAAAAGTGTTAAACAAATCAAAATATATTTTATATTTGAGATTCTTCAAATAGCCACCCTTTGCCTTGATGACAGCTTTGCACACTCTTGGCATTCTCTCAACCAGCTTCACCTGGAATTATTTTCCAACAGTCTTGAAGGAGTTCCCACGTATGCTGAGCACTTGTTGGCTGCTTTTCCTTCACTCTGCGGTCCGACTCATCCCAAACCATCTCAATTGGGTTGAGGTCGGGGATTGTGGAGGCCAGGTCATCTGATGCAATACTTCATCACTTTCCTTCTTGGTAAAATAGCCCTTACACAGCCTGGAGGGTCATTTTCCTGTTGAAAAACAAATGATAGTCCCACTAAGCCCAAACCAGATGGGATGGCGTATCGCTGCAGAATGCTGTGGTAGCCATTCTGGTTAAATGTGCCTTGAATTCTAAATAAATCACAGACAGTGTCACCAGCAAAGCACCCCCACACCATAACACCTCCTCCTCCATGCTTTACGGTGGGAAATATACATGCGGAGATCATCCGTTCACCCACACCGCGTCTCACAAAGACACGGCAGTTGGAACCACAAATCTCCAATTTGTACTCCAGACCAAAGGACAAATTTCCACCGGTCTAATGTCCGCTGCTCGTGTTTCTTGGCCCAAGCAAGTCTCTTTTTATTATTTTTATTTTTATTTATTTAACCTTTATTTAACTAGGCAAGTCAGTTAAGAACAAATTCTTATTTACAAAAACGGCCTACACCGGCCAAACCCGGACGACATGGGGCCAATTGTGCTCCGCCCTATGGGACTCCCAATCACGGCCGGTTGTGATACAGCCTGGAATCAAACCAGGGTGTCTGTAGTGACGCCTCAAGCACTGAGATGCAGTGCCTTAGACCGCTGCACCACTCTGTCTATTGGTGTCCTTTAGTAGTGGTTTCTTTCCAGCAATTCGACCATGAAGGCCTGATTCACACAGTCTCCTCTGAACAGTTGATGTTGAGATGTGTTTGTTACTTGAACTCTGTGAAGCATTTATTTGGGCTGCAATTTCTGAGGCTGGTAACTCTAATGAACTTATCCTCTGCAGCAGAGGTAACTCTGGGTGTTCCATTCCTGTGGCGGTCCTCATGAGAGCCAGTTTCATCATAGCGCTTGATGGTTTTTGCGACTGAACTTGAAGAAACTTTCAAAGTTCTTGAAATGTTCCGTATTGACTGACCTTCATGTCTTAAAGTAATGATGGACTGTTTCTCTTTGCTTATTTGAGCTGTTCTTGCCATAATATGGACTTGGTCTTTTACCAAATAGGGCTATCGTCTGTGTACCCCCCCCCCCCCCCCCCCCCCCCCCCCCACCTTGTCACAACACAACTGATTGGCTCAAACGCATTAAGAAGGAAAGAAATTCCACAAATTAACTTTTAAGAAGGCACACCTGTTAATTGAAATGCATCCCAGCTGATTACCTCATGAAGCTGGTTGAGAGAATGCCAAGAGGGTGCAAAGCTGTCATCAAGGCAAAGGGTGGCTATTTGAAGCTTTTTTGGTTACATGATTCCATATGTGTTATTGCATAGTTTTGATGTCTTCACTATTATTCTACAATGTAGAAAATAATAAAAAATAAAGAAAAACCCTTGAATGAGTAGGTGTTCTAAAACTTTTCACCGGTAGTGTAGTTTTGTGGCAGGTATCCAGGCTGACAGGTTTATAAGAACATATACCACTTTTGGAAATATTTGTTGTAAAATCCATCACTGGTGAAATGTGCGGCTTTCACGCTTTCATTTGTTAGTTCTAAAAACACTGTGAAAATGAAACTTGAAGTGTGCAAATGCGAGACTAGTAAAATACTCAATGTTATTTTGTCTTTCTGCTGTGGATCCCCCTCCTTGTTCTCTCTCTCTCTCCCTCTCTCCCCCCCCCCCCCCCCTCTCCCTCTCTCCCCCTCTCTCTCTCTCCCCCCCCCCCCCCCCCCTCTCTCTCCCTTTCTCCCCCCCTCACTCTCCCTCTCTCCCCCCCTCTCTCTCTCCCTCTCTCCCCCCTCTCTCTCCCCTCTCCCCCCTTCTCTCTCTCCCCCCTCCCTCTCTCCCCTCCTTACTCTCTCCCCCCTCTCCCCTCTCCCCTCCCCCTCTCTCTCTCCCCCTTCCCCTCCAGGAAGTATCCCTGGCTCTGTTTGTGGACCACCAGGTGGTTTTCTCCTTCCTGATGTGTTGTAACATCATGAAGACCAACAAGCACAACATGATAGTGGGCAGCACTGAGTTCCTGCCTGCTGAAGAGTGGAAGATCTTCCTACACTCTGCTGTCCTGGCCAGCATGATGGACTCAAAGAGACCTGAGCAGGAGGAAGGTAGAATATACCTGCTGTGTCAGGCATCTGTCAGTAACATGAGGCCACATATTGAATCAGAGATTGTCTTTAAAAGGCTCCAAACTGTCTTTCAGCTGGAAAATAAGTAGACCATGAATGAGTGAGCATTTGAGTAATTAAGACATTGATTTCATTACCTATCAATCTCACTCTGAAAGAATAACCCTAAGTAATGAATAACCCTATTTCACTTTTACGTCACAGTGTAAACAAAGTGTTGTATGAGGGGGGAAATGGATGCAAGTTAGCTAGAGATGACCACCGTAAAATGGCTGAGTGCATCTGTGTGTGATTGTGTCAATAGGGGAGCTCCTGGGCGAGCGTCCGGACCACCTGTGGCTGACAGACAGCATGTGGGCTCAGTGCCAATACCTGAGTGCCCACCTACCCTGCTTCACCAACCTCTACAAGTCCATCCAGACCAACTGTGTGCAGTGGGAACTGTTCCAGCATGCTAGGAACCTCTATGAGTTCCTCAGTGAACCCTACGCTGGAGACGCTGGTTCTGATACTGAAGGTTGGTGTTGCTGCACTGGAATGTTAAGCTTCCCTGTTGAACATTGGGTTACTTGACTTATTCCTTGAAGCGTATCATTTCTTTGACTTATTTCACAGAACCTCTTCATGGTAATGACAAGCCATACACATTCCCCTCACCAACAGAAATAGAATCTCATTCTAGCTCGTTCCCCCTCACCAATAGAATCTCATTCTAGCTCGTTCCCCCTCACCAATAGAATCTCATTCTAGCTTGTTTCCCCTCACCAATAGAATCTCATTCTAGCTTGTTCCCCCTCACCAATAGAATCTCATTCTAGCTCGTTCCCCCTCATCAATAGAATCTCATTCTAGCTCGTTCCCCCTCATCAATAGAATCTCATTCTAGCTCGTTCCCCCTCACCAATAGAATCTCATTCTAGCTCGTTCCCCCTCACCAATAGAATCTCATTCTAGCTCGTTCCCCCTCATCAATAGAATCTCATTCTAGCTCGTTCCCCCTCACCAATATAATCTCATTCTAGCTTGTTCCCCCTCACCAATATAATCTCATTCTAGCTCGTTCCCCCTCACCAATAGAATCTCATTCTAGCTCGTTCCCCCTCACCAATAGAATCTCATTCTAGCTCGTTCCCCCTCACCAATAGAATCTCATTCTAGCTCGTTCCCCCTCACCAATAGAATCTCATTCTAGCTCACCTCCTATGTCATGAATGAATGTGTGTGTGACATCATGATGTGGTTTGTCTGTCTGTCCAGGAGAGTCATCCCAGTCAGCAGAAGCCTCGAAGGACAGACATCTCACCAAGTTTGTCTGCATCTTCCCCTGGGAGAGCCTCTCAGGCTTCCAGAAGATCATCCTGGTGTGTGTGTGTGTGTGTGTGTGTGTGTGTGTGTGTGTGTGTGTGTGTGTGTGTGTGTGTGTGTGTGTGTGTGTGTGTGTGTGTGTGTGTGTGTGTGTGTGGGTGGTTGGGTTAGGTGGTTGGGTGTGCGGGCGGGCGGGTGGGTGCGTGCGCATGCATGTGGGTTACAGCTTTGTGAGAACTCAAAACATTCTCCTTGATAAATATGATGAACTCTGTCAAAAGCAAAAAAGCTGTGAACTATTGAGGCTGTCTTTATCTCCCAGATTAAGATCCTGAGGCCTGAGTGTCTGAACACGGCAGTGAAAGCCTTTGTCATAGAGAAGATGGGTTCTAAGTACCTGGAGGTTGGAAAGATCTCCCTGAGAGAGGTGTATGAACGCTGCTCTGCCAACATGCCCATCCTATTCCTCCTCTCCCCTGGTAAGACTACTGCTAGTCTTGTGTACTAAACATCCTCCCTAAACTGGTGTGCAATAACCTTGGGGGTTAGGCTGCTTTTTCCACCCTCTCTCCCACTAGTAGGATTTGGTATGGACACCGGGACACTCAAAGCTTATTGTACACCTTTGAAATTCCTGGAGAATATGGTGTAGTGTACAAGCAGCTTTAGGTAATGTCTGATGTCCTTGTTCTCCCCTGTCTGTCCAGGCATGGACCCAGCCTCCCACCTGGTGCGTCTGGCCCAGGAGCTGAGGGGCAGCAGCCTGCATCTGGACATGGTGTCTCTGGGTCAGGGCCAGGGCCCCAGGGCAGAGGAGCTCATCTACAAGGCCCAGGTCCTCAAGGGCCGCTGGGTCTTCCTGCAGAACTGCCACCTGGCTGCCTCCTTTATGCCCAGATTGCAGACTGTCGTCAACTCGTGAGCACATATTGTTGTGCTCTTTTGAGCTTTTATTTAGCATGTTTTTATGTCTTAATATAATCTTTATGCTGATGGGTAATGTCGTGTGAGACAACTATACGATGTAGTACGTTTGTTTGACACCATGTTGAAGCACAGAGGGTCCTGTGAGATGCCTTTAGGTGCTGTCCTGTCAGGTGCCGCTACCCACAGGATCCAGCTGGAGACGGATGCCTCTCCACAGACCTGAGTGTGTTGAGTGTTTGTCATCCCTACTGCTCAGGTTAAAGTGGAAAGGCTCAGACCTGGACCCTGACTTCCGTCTGTGGCTGTCCTCTGAACCAGACCCAGTGTTCCCTGCCTCCATCCTGCAGAGAGCCATTAAGGTCAGCCAGGCCTTCATTACCACAGCTCCCCATTAGAGGGCCATGCACCTATAGAAGTATAATTAGGGATTTTATTTCTATGGTGTACCCATGAGTGAACCAGTCAAATTGCCATCGTTTGAGGGGCTTTGTCTCTTCTAGAGATTATATTTCAGAACACAACAATGTCTGTTGTTGTTACAAATCCATTGCCAATGATTCCATTCCTGTAGATAGTGGTAGAGCCTCAGTTCCTAATACAGTAATTCCACTTCCTGTCCTGTAGATAGTGGTAGAGCCTCAGTTACTAATACAGTAATTCCACTTCCTGTCCTGTAGATAGTGGTAGAGCCTCAGTTACTAATACAGTAATTCCACTTCCTGTCCTGTAGATAGTGGTAGAGCCTCAGTTACTAATACAGTAATTCCACTTCCTGTCCTGTAGATAGCGGTAGAGCCTCAGTTACTAATACAGTAATTCTACTTCCTGTCCTGTAGATAGCAGTGGAGCCTCAGTTCCTAATACAATAATTCCACTTCCTGTCCTGTAGATAGTGGTAGAGCCTCAGTTACTAATACAGTAATTCTACTTCCTGTCCTGTAGATAGCAGTGGAGCCTCAGTTCCTAATACAGTAATTCCACTTCCTGTCCTGTAGATAGCGGTAGAGCCTTGGATACTAATACAGTAATTCCACTTCCTGTAGATAGCGGTGGAGCCTTAGTTCCTAATACAGTAATTCCACTTCCTGTCCTGTAGATAGCAGTAGAGCCTTGGATACTAATACAGTAATTCCACTTCCTGTCCTGTAGATAGCAGTGGAGCCTTGGATACTAATACAGTAATTCCACTTCCTGTCCTGTAGATAGCGGTGGAGCCTTAGTTCCTAATACAGTAATTCCACTTCCTGTCCTGTAGATAGCAGTGGAGCCTTGGATACTAATACAGTAATTCCACTTCCTGTCCTGTAGATAGCAGTGGAGCCTCCTCGGGGTCTGAAGGAGAAGCTCCTCCACACCTTCAGTCCCAGTGGAGAGGTGACCGAGAGGAGCTTCTGTAAAATGGACTGCAGCCCAGCCTGGAAGACTCTGCTCTTCAGCCTCTGCTTCTTCAACGCCATTGTGCAGGAGAGGAAGAAATACGGCCCTCTGGGGTGGAACATACCCTACACCTTTACTTCTTCTGATCTGGAGGTACATTATGACGTAACACATCCTGTACTGTTTCCAACTCAACAGAGCTTCTCAGCTTACAAGACAATGACATAGATCTTGGCTCTGTCTGTGTGTCTTAGGTGTCCATGCTGAATCAGGAGCGTCTCCTGCGGGCTGCGGAAGGTTCGGAGCTGCCCTGGGCGGCCCTGCGCTACCTGACAGGTGAGGTGATCTACGGCGGGCGTGTCACCGACCCCTGGGACCGCCGCTGCCTGCTTACCATTCTCCACTGCTGCTATACCCCGTCGGTCCTGCAGGACGGACACAGCTTCTGTCAGGCTCAGGTAGGAGTCAGACACACCCCTCCACTTAACACTGGCATCACAATTTACAGTCACAGGATCCATCTCAACATACTGGTAAAGCAATGAATAGGGTCATTGTGAAATCATATGTTTTATTTTACCTACTTTGCCTCTGTCTGCTACATGACAAAAATGTAATTAAAAAAACAAAGTATTTGGAAGAAAGTGGAATTTTGTTGTCGAAATTTTAGAAATGTATAAAGAAAATTAATCTGGAATGTCTTTAGTCAATAAGTATTCAACCCCTTTGTTATGGCAAGGCTAAATAAGTTCTGGAGTAAAAATGTACTTAACACGTCACATAATAAGTTGCATGGACTCATTCCGTGTTCAATAATAGTGGTTAACGTGATTTTTAAATAATTAATCCATCTCTGTACCCCACACATACCTCAATCGAGTAGTACATTTCATGCACATTCAACCATAAAGACCCTTTGAGCATGGTGAAGTTACTAATTAGGCTTTGGATGGTGTATCAATACACCCAGTCACTACAAAGATACAGGTGTCTTTCCTAACTCAGTTGCTGGAGAGGAAGGAAATGTCGTGGTAGAAATATTTGACTAATAGATAATCAACTCAAAAATATCTCTCAAGACACTGGAGATTGTGAATTCAAGAATTAGACTTTATTGCATAACAAAGCCCAGCTTGCTCCATGGAACAAAACTGTCTCCCTCTGGCTTAGAGATCTCTTATATCCACACAAATGAAAAAACATGCGTACATTCCTAACTTTTTTAAAATTCTGTACCACCCCTCTCATTCTATCATTCTATTGGCTGCGTGCTTAGGCCCCTTCTTAAAAAAACTAATGTAATGCATACCATGTGTCTATAACAAGCCCATGGGCCACAGTTTAAGAGCCCCTGTGAAAGAACACATGCATTCATTTAAAACACAGCATATACTCCACGTCTATATTCCTTATTTAAGCATGTATCTGGATTATAAAATATCAAACATGTTCATTCTGTTTCACCATTATCATTTCATAACACATTATAAAACATTTATCATTCATCATCCTCCCCAGCCCCTGAGATTATGTGCATGTGGCCATGTGTCAGGTCATAAGGTCATAAGCATAAAGAAATGACAACACTAGTTCCATTGTTACTCCAATCTCCACACAGCCATCACGTCATTGACATTCCCAGACCAGCTGCAGGGAGTTTTATGAAAAACACATAAATGTCTCTGCTCTGTATTAACCTTTCAACTGGTTCTCAATCCATAAACATTTTAAGGCATATAGGTTTTTAATTTTACAACATATCCATGCTTATTACTAATATAATTTTTTTACCTTTGACCTCTCCCTACATTTGCCTTTATGATACATAAAATAATACCATAGAAACTGCTCAGAGATTTCACCATGAGGCCAATGGTTATTTTAACACAGTTACAGAGTTTAATGGTTGTGATATGAGAAAACTGAGGATGGATCAACAACATTGTAGTTACTCCACAATACTAACCTAAATGACAGAGTGAAAAGAAGGAAGCCTGTACAGAGTAAAACATTCTAAAACATGCATACTGTTTGCAGCAAGGTACTTAAGTAATACTGCAAAGAATGTGGCAAAGAAATTAACTTTTGTCCTGAATACAAAGTGTTATGTTTGGGGCAAACACAGCACATCACTGAATACCACTCTTCATATTTTCAAGCATGGTGGTGGCTGTATCATATTATGGGTATGCTTGTCATCGGCAAGGACTAGGGAGTTTTTTAGGATAAAAGGAAACGGAATACAGCTATAAGCACAGGCAAAATCCTAGAGGAAAACCTGGTTCAGTCTGCTTTCCAACAGACACTGGGAGACAAATTCACCTTTCAGCAGGACAATAACCTAAAACACAAGGCCAAATCTATGCTGGTTGCTTACCAAGACGACATTGAATGTTCCTGAGTGGCCTAGTTACAGTTTTGACTTAAATCGGCTTGAAAATTTATGGCAAGACTTGAAAATAGCTGTCTAGCAATGATCAACAACCAACTTGACAGAGCTTGAATAATTGTTTATAGAATAATGGGCAAATGTTGCACAATCCAGGTGTGGAAAGTTCTTAGAGACTTACCCCAAAAGACTCACAGCTGTAATCGCCGCCAAAGGTGCTTCTACAAAATATTGACTCAGCGGTGTGAATAGTTATGTAAATTAAAAATGTCTGTATTTCATTTTCAATAAATTGCTAACATTTCTAAAAACTTGTTTTCACTTTGTCATTATGGGGTATTGTGTGTAGATGGGTAAGAAACAAATATATTTAATCAATCTGGAATTCAGGCTGTAACACAACAAAATGTGGAATAAGTCAAGGGGTATGAATACTTTGTGAAAGCATTACATGATGAAATACAACAGACAATACTTAAGCGTAATCCTCAAGCAAAACATGTATGTTTCTGTTATTATTGATGTCTTCATTGAGAGCATTATATTGTATTTCTCTTGGCAGGGCTACCCTCCCTTCCCTAAAGACGCCAGCTGGCCCCAGTGTAGAGCCTACATAGAGAACATGCCAGACAAGGACCTGGCGGAGGTGTTTGGCATCGACAGCAGTGCAGAGATGGTGATACTGCAGAACCAGACCCAGCAGCTGCTACAAACAATAGTCCAGCTGCAGCCCAGGCTCTCTGATAGCAGCCTGCTGGTCAGGTGGGTCTCCCAGGGGAAATACAACCCACAAATAGATGTATTCATTATGTCCTTTTCACAATACTGAGCCGAGCCAAGCGGAGCTGTACAGAGCTGGCATGGTTAAGCATCCGCCACAGTGTGCTGGAAAGGACAAGGTGAAAATAAACTATCCAAGGCAGCACAATATGGTTCATTTCGGCACGTGAATTAGAAAAACGGTGTTGGTTGTGTTATGTAGTGTAAGAAATCTTAATGAAATGCTGAATTGTTCTTCTTCTGTTTGTTTGTGCGGAGCAGAGACAGACAGTGCCAGGATGGTGTAGTTCTGAAGATGGCCATGAACATCTTGAAGAAACTACCAGAGACAGTGGAGGTTGATAGTGTCACAGAGAAAACACTGTTCCTCAGAGACATCATCGCCAAAGTCAACTTTGTTGAATCATCTTCCTGTGACCAGGGTAATTTACATACTCAACCCTTGTTAGGATTGGCCTATATGGATAGGGCTTACAGAATAAACATGAAAAGCATATGCAAATGCATGGTAGCAATTGAAAGGGAATAGTTTGGAGATTATGGGGAAATGATTAGACCAAAGTTGAGGACACAACAGTTCACCTGACACAAGACTGAATCCAAACATTACACTGTTGATTTTATGTGCATTTTACATTTACTGTACTTTTCACCGCATTTGTTGATTACAAAATCTGAAAAAACTCTGGATATATTCAATAACAATATTCCTAGAAAATATGGGGTAGGAGCACCATAAGACAAAAGAAATGACAAGAGTTTGAGTGAGAGGACTAACTGGTCTCCAAGTGGCCAATTACCTCTCAAAGTGTGCACAGTTCCTAAGTCATTTCAATGCACTTTTATGACTCAAAGAAGAGTCTTCAAGCCATTGAGGAACTAGAGCAAGCGCACTTGTAGTTGTTTTGTTTGGAACACAACCCTGCATCCCTGAGTTTTATGATTTGGAAACGTGAAGTGCACATTTGGACTCGCAGGTGTTTGGCTTGCTTGCATGATATAAAAGCGGTATTTTCGATAATCCTCAACGTCTCATCTTTCAAAATACATAGTCATTTTAATTTACAGCATTTCCCTCACTCAGGCAACAAAACATTAGCAAAAGTTGTCCAATTAGCGGGACGGATGGGGGCAACTTCTTGTAACGTGTGGTGCTCAAGTTCAGAACGGCTGTCAGTCAAAACCCATACAGAGCTGTGAAGCTCAGAGCCTGAGCTCTGACGTCATTTATAGCATGTTACTGTACAGCCACTGCATTCCAATTTAGGCACTTATCAGCTCCAGAATCTGCCATTTTCAACCCGTATGCGGGTACAAGTGTAAAGGGCTACGAATAGATTAGAATATAATAGATTTATTGTCCTCCGAAAAGGAAATTATTTTTCACAGGTTGTACCTTTTCTTATTTTGACTCCTAAGAGTGAGAGTTAGTGAGAGAGTTGGTGAGAGTGACATTGCGAGATTCTATATATCTATCTTTGTGTCCAGTTTTGTTCATAGTTCTTACCGAAAGACATCTGTCTGTCTGTATGCGTGCGTGCGGGTGCATCCGTGCATGTGTGTGTACTCTGAAGGTGAGAGACGCACAGTCTTGGCCCCCTCTGCCCTGCTGGTGATCCTGCGACAGGAGATTGACCGGTTCAACCACCTCCTATGTGTGGTGCGCTCCAGCCTCCTCGCCTTCTCCGCCTCCATCAGAGGAGAGGTGCTGATGAGTGAGGCTCTGGAGGAGGTCTACACTGCCCTGCTCACCATGATAGTACCATCAGAATGGAAGGTTGGTCTACACTGCCCTGCTCACCATGATAGTACCATCAGAATGGAAGGTTGGTCTACACTGCCCTGCTCACCATGATAGTACCATCAGAATGGAAGGTAGGTCTACACTGCCCTGCTCACCATGATAGTACCATCAGACTGGAAGGTAGGTCTATACTGCCCTGCTCACCATGATAGTACCATCAGACTGGAAGGTAGGTCTATACTGCCCTACTCACCATGATAGTATCATGAGTCTAGATGGTAGGTCTACACTGACCTGCTCCCCATCATCAGACTGGAAGGGACAGTATATTAGTAAACCAGGTCGGCAAACCTTTTGGCTCAAGGGCCACATCAGGATAGCAAAATTAAATGGAAAGCTGCACAGATTATTATTATTTTTTTAACCCAAAATATTACTTTTTTATTCAAACCTCCCGCGGGCCGGATTGGATGCGCTCTAGTTTGCTCAACCCTGAAGTAAACACTCTCCACAGCTCAGCTCTCATTGCACTCAATCTAACTCGATCTTTTAACCCAATTCCATGCTTCACGTTAGTTTAGACATTTTGAAATGTTCCTCCAAGCCCAAGGTATCATTATACTCTAAGTAAACAAAGCAATGAAAAGCAATTGATTCAACTTGGATAAGAAGTAATCGCTCTGTCTTTTGTTGTTGCCTTGGTAGCACTGCTCGTATGAGTCGTGCAAGGCTCTGGGTTCGTGGATCCTGGACCTGGAACAGAGAGTGTGGTTCTTCAGAGCCTGGGCAGACAACATCAAGATCAACCTTATAGAAAAGTAGAAAACATTAACTAAGTTGACATACAAATACTTAAAGCTTGTATTGTTTAAACTCTAATCAATGTAAACCTTCATAATTATGTAATGGGCATCTTAATTTTCTTTTGAATACAGTATTGTACATTCATGGTGAATGGAAAAAATATCAGTTATTAAAGTACTTATGTTCCTAACCCCTAATATTCCCTGTATATGCCCTCTATGTATTCAGGATACCTATGATTAGTGGAGGAGTCTACTCTTTGAACCGTCCACCTAAGACTGACCTGCAGCAGAGCCTCAAGAACAGGAAGCCTCGCTCCTACTGGCTCTCTGGGTTCTTCTTTCCACAAGGTATTGTACATAACAGACAGAATAAACATACCTAAACTAGCAGCCATAATAGAGACACTACTTCAAGTTCAAAACTTCAATGTCAATCTTTAGTGAAAGGGACATTTGTCTTTGGCTTACAATTGGTATTTTATTAGGATCCCCATTAGCTGTTGCAAAAGCAGCAGCTACTCTTCCTGGGGTCCACACAAAACATGAAACATGACATAATACAGAACATTAATAGACTAGAACAGAACTACACACATTGTTTTTTAAAGGTACACGTAGCCAACATATCAATACATACACACAAACTATCTAGGTCAAATAGGGGAGAGGCGTTGTGAGGTGTTGCTTTATCTGTTTTTTGAAACCAGATTTGCTGTTTATTTGAGCAATATGAGATGGAACGGAGTTCCATGCAATAATGGCTCTATATAATACTGTACGCTTTCTTGAATTTGTTCTGGATTTGGGGACTGTGAAAAGTCCCCTGGTGGCATGTCTGGTGGGGTAAGTGTGTGTGTCAGAGATGTGTGTATGTTGACTATGCAAAACATTTGGGATTTTCAACACATTGTTTCTTATAAAAAGAAGAAGTGATGCAGTCAGTCTCTCCTCAACTCTTAGCCAAGAGTGACTGGCATGCATAGTATTTATATCAGCCCTCTGATTACAATGAAGAGTACATGTACGTGCCGCTCTGTTTTGGGCCAGCTGCAGCTTAACTAGGTCTTTCCTTGCAGCACTGGACCACACGACTGGACAATAATCAAGATTAGACCAAACTAGAGCCTGCAGAATTAGCTTTTTGAAGTGTGGTGTCAAAAAAGCAGAGCATCTCTTTATTACGGACAGACCTCTCCCCATCTTTACAACCATTTAATCTATATGGTTTTGACCATGACAGTTTACCATCTAAGTTAACACCAAGTAATTTACTCTCCTCAACTTGTTCAACAGCCACACCATTCATTACCAGATTCAGCTGAGGTCTAGAACTTAGGGAATGATTTGGACCAATTACAATGCTCTTAGTTTTAGAGATGTTCAGGACCAGTTTATTAGTGGCCACCCATTCCAAAACAGACTGCAACTCTTTAAGGGTTTCAGTGACTTCATTAGCTGTGGTTGCTGATGTGTATATGGTTGAATCATCAGCATACATGGACACACATGCTTTGTTTAATGCCAGTGGCAGGTCATTGGTAAAAATAGAAAAGAGTAGAGGGCCTAGAGAGCTGCCCTGTGGTACACCACACTTTACATGTTTGACAGAGAAGCTTCCATTAAAGAAAACCCTTTGAGTTCTATTAGATAGATAGCTCTGAATCCACGATATGGCAGAGGTTGAAAAGCCATAACACATACGTTTTTTCAACAACAGGTTATGGTCAATAATATCAAAGGCTGCACTGAACTCTAACAGTACAGCTCCCACAATCTTCTTATTATACATTTATTTCAACCAATCATCAGTCATTTGTGTCAGTGCAGTACATGTTGAGTGTCCTTCGCTATAAGCATGCTGAAAGTCTGTTGTTAATTTGTTTACAGAGAAATAGCATTGTATTTGGTCAAACACCATTATTTCCAACAGTTTGCTAAGAGCTGGCAGCAAGTTTATAGGTCTGCTGTTAGAACCAGTAAAGGCCACTTTACCATTCTTGGGTAGCGGAATTACTTTGGCTTCCCTCCAGGCCTGAGGACAAATACTTTCCTCTAGGCTCAGATTAAAGATATGACAGATAGGAGTGGCTATAGAGTCAGCTACCATCCTCAGTAGCTCTAAATGGTCAATGCCAGGAGGTTTATCATTATTGATCGATAACAATCATTTTTCCACCTCTCCCACACTAACTTTACCAAATTGAAACTTGCAATGCTTTTCTTTCATTATTTGTTTTTTTAAGCATGAATATGATGGCTCACTGTTCATTGTTGGCATTTCCTGCCTACGTTTCCACACAAAGTAATCATTAAAATAATTGGCAACATCAAGTGGTTTTGTGATGAATAAGCCATCTGATTCGATGAAAGATGGAGTTGAATTTGTCTTTCTGCCCATAATTTCATTTAAAGTGCTCCAAGATTTTTTCCCATCATTCTTTATATCATTGATCTTGGCTTCATAATACAGTTTCTTCTTTTTGTTGAGTTTAGTCATATAATTTCTCAATTTGCATTAAGTCAACCAGTCAGATGTGCAGCCAGACTTATTAGCCACTCTTTTTGCCCCATCTCTTTCAACCATACAGTTTTTCAATTCCTCATCGATCCATGGAGCCTTAACAGTTCTAACAGTCAGTTTCCTAACAGGTGAATGTTTATCAATAATTGGAAGAAGCAATTTCATAAATTCATCGAGTGCAGCGTCTGGATGCTCCTTATTAATCACATCAGACCAACAAATATTTTTTACATCATCCACATATGAGCCACAGAAAAATATTTTGTATCTTATACACTATTTTAGGCCCAGCTGTTGGAACTTTGGCTTTCCTGGATATAGCCATTATATTGTGATCACTGCATCCAATGGGTACGGATACAGCTTTAGATCAAAGTTCTACAGTGTTAATAAAAATGTGATCGATACATGTGGATGATCTTGTTCCTGTAGTGTTTGTAAACACCCTGGTAGGTTGATGAATAACCTGAACCAGATTACAGACACTGGTTACAGTAAGAAGCTTCCTCTTGAGCGGACAGCTTGATGAAAACCAGTCAATATTCAGGTCCCCAAGAAAGTAGACCTCTCTGCTTACATCACATACACTATCAAGCATTTCACACATATTGTTTAGATATTGACTGTTTGCACTTGGTGGCCTATAGCGACACCCCAAAAGAAAGGACTTTAGATGTGGCAAGTGAACCTTCAACCACAACATGTCAATAACACGTGACATACGATCTTCTCTAAGCATTACAGGGATATGGCTCTGAATATACAGCAACACCTCCCCCATAAGCATTTCTGTCTCTTCTATAGATGTTATATTCTTGTATTGCTACTGCTGTATCATCACATGAATTATCTAAGTGAGTCTCAGAAATGACTAATATATTAATGTTATCTGATGTTAGCAAGTTATTGATTTCATTAACCTTATTTCTAAAGACTACATATATTAATATGGGATATTTTCAGCCCTTTCCTGGGTAGCTTATCAGAGATAGACATAATACTGAAAAGAGCAAACAAAGCAAGAGAAAAAATATATACAGTTTAAGTTGGAAGTTTAAATGTATTTGGCTAAGGTGTATGTAAACTCAGTTTTTCACAATTCCTGACATTTAATCCTAGTAAAAATTCCCTGTCTTAGGTCAGTTAGGATCACCACTTTATTTTAAGAATGTGAAATGTCAGAATAATAGTAGAGAATGATTTATTTCAGCTTTTATTTCTTTCATCACATTCCCAGTGGGTCAGAAGTTTACATACACTCAATTAGTATTTGGTAGCATTGCCTTTAAATTGTTTAACTTGGGTCAAACGTTTCGGGTAGCCTTCCACAAGCTTCCCACAATAAGTTGGGTGAATGTTGGCCCATTCCTCCTGACAGAGCTGGTGTAACTGAGTCAGGTTTGTAGGCCTCCTTGCTCGCACACGCTTTTTCAGTTCTGCCCTCAAATGTTCTATATGATTGAGGTCAGGGCTTTGTGATGGCCACTCCAATACCTTGACTTTGTTGTCCTTAAGCCATTTTTCCACAACTTTGAAAGTCTGCTTGGGGTCATTGTCCATTTGGAAGACCCATTTGGTTGGGATGGTGTTCTTCGGCTTGCAAGCAACCCCCTTTTTCCTCCAAACATAACGATGATCATTATGGCCAAACAGTTATATTTTTGTTTCATCAGACCAGAGGACATTTCTCAAAAAAAGTACGATCTTTGTCCCCATGTGCAGTTGCAAACCGTAGTCTGGCTTTTTTATGGCGGTTTTGGAGCAGTGGCTTCTTCCTTGCTGAGCAGCCTTTCAGGTTATGTCGATATAGGACTCGTTTTTACTGTGGATATAGATACTTTTGTACCTGTTTCCTCCAGCATCTTCACAAGGGTCCTTTGCTGTTGTTCTGGGATTGATTTGCACTTTTCGCACCAAAGTACTTTCATCTCTAGGAGACAGAACGCGTCTCCTTCCTGAGTGGTATGATGGCTGCGTGGTCCCATGGTGTTTATACTTGCGTACTATTGTTTGTACAGATGAACGTGGTACCTTCAGCCGTTTGGAAATTGCTCCCAAGGATGAACCAGACTTGTGGAGGTCTACAACTTCTGAGGTCTTGGCTGATTTCTTTTGATTTTCCCATGATGTCAAGCAAAGAGGCACTGAGTTTGAAGGTAGGCCTTGAAATACATCCACAGGTACACCTCCAATTGACTCAAATGATGTCAATTAGCCTATCAGAAGCTTCTAAAGCCATGACATCATTTTCTGGAATTTTCCAAGCTGTTTAAAGGCACAGTCAACTTAGTGTATGTAAACTTCTGACCCACTGGAATTGTGATACAGTGAATTATAAGTGAAATAATCTGTCTATAAACAATTGTTGGAAAAATGACTTGTGTCATGCACAAAGTCCTAACCGACTTGCCAAAACTATAGTTTGTTAACAAGAAATGTGTGGAGTGGTTGAAAAACAAGTTTTAATGACTCCAACCTAAGTGTATGTAAACTTCCAAATTCAACTGTACATTCAGCAGTCCATTAATCAATTGGTGTGTGTGTGTGTGCTGCGGGGTTGAAGCTACGAATCCATGGGCTTGGCTCTCTCATCCCTTCCAGGCTTCTGGGAAGGAGGGTGGACAATGAGCCTGTCATAGGGGATGTAAGCAATGTCCCCACGCGCTCTGGCAGCTTTCATGGCTGGGATAAGTTCTTTCCTCTTCTGGCACACAGCTTCAGGATAGTCCTCGTTGAGAAAGATATACGTTCCTCTCAAGTTCATGGCTCTTTCCAGAACAGCTATCCTGCCATTGAACCTCAGGAACTTGACCACTATCGGCCTGGGCCTGTCACCTGGGCCGGTGTTGAGTTTTCCAGTCCTGCGGGCCCGCTCCACCTCAATCTTCCTGTGGTCCATCTTCAATTTCTCAGAGATCCTTTCCCTCACTTTGTCCTCAGACTCCATCCAGGTCTCATGTGGAGATTCTGCAATTCCGTCCACAACCATGCTGTTTACGCCTTGATTGTCCCTCGAGACAATCTGATTTATCCGTCATTGTTATCATGGATTCACACACAGAACTGACCTCTCTCAATGGCTTACAGATTGCTGTAATCTTGCCGTTCACCTGTTTCAACTCATCGAGCTGACCCTGGGAGAACTGCAAACTGTTCTTTAGGTCCTGGACCTCTCTGGTCAGGTCGTCCATTGTTTTATTTGTCGAATCCACCAGTATTTGGACAAAGCACTTGAAGCGATTTTCTTGTTGTTGTAACAACTGCTTGTAGAACTATTTTTGTTCATTTAAAAGATGCTTCACGTGTGATAGAGACACCACTGTCCTCGACAACGGCACTCCCACCGGCTTTGGTCTTTATCATGGTAGCTAGCAACGTAGGTTACGCTGTTACTCCTCGCAGTTCCAGATAGGGCAGGTCACAAGGATAATTGAAAACAACAAACAGCAGGGATCTAGACAGCCACAAACACAGGACAATCCGCGGTCCCAGCCACAATGGTTAACCATGTCGCGGGCTGCATTCAAGCCCTTGATATGCTGCTAGCTAGCAGCTAGACTAGCTGCAACGCCAAATAGCTCCTCAGACCCGTCCTTGGTCGGCAGGATCACTGGACAGAGACTAGCAATCCCAGCAACTGATGCCAACTGTGTCGCGGGATCCAAACCAAAAAGTTAGCTAGCTACTAAGCTAGTTAGCTAGCTACTAAGAACTAGATACAGAAAATAAACCGCATAGTGGGCCAATTTCTGCAACAACTAAGAGCGTTCTTCTCCACTGTTTTGATGCCCTGGCTACCACACTTTGAATTATATCGGCCCTTACATATTTGAGTTCGAAATTCTAATAATATAACTTAATTTCTGTAATATTCTGAAAGAGGCGTTTTGACTTATTTAGTTAATGCATCTTCCCTATAGGTTTTCTGACAGCTGTTCTCCAGAACAGTGCTCGACAGAAGAATGTGCCTGTGGACTCTCTGTCTTTCACCTATCATGTTCAACCCATGGATGAGCGCTCCATCAACTGGAGCAAAGTGGCAGACAAAACTAAGCTCCTTTTTGAGGTAACTACAGTAGCTAAAAGTTTGACTGGGTACATAATTTAGTAATACCAATCTAGAAATAGTTGGTAGCAATTAAAGGGATAGCGCACCCAAAAGACAACATTAATCAGATGGTCTACTACCATTTTCAGGGTCAGGAAACATCTGACATTGTAATCAGGGTGAACTATCCCTCTAACATTGTACGTTAGATCCACGGTGAGAATTGGTATACCATCTTTCTCCCAGGGCCCAGCTCCACCAGATGAGGGCGTGTTGGTGTATGGGCTGTACCTTGACGGAGCCAGCTGGGACCCTGTCTCCCACACCCTGCAGGAGCTCCAACACAACATCAAACACTGCCCTGTGCCTGAGATACACTTCCTACCCTGCCAGGTAGAGGGCTCACCTTCTCATTTAACCGTTCAATCCACTGAATATCACTTCAGCATATTACCCACCGTTCTTCATACAGTGGATCTAGCATTGTCTGCATATTTGTCTTGGGACTGTCTTGCTGTTTTTGTTGTGAGAGCTCTGGTGAGAACGATTTCCTATATGTTCATGACATAAACTTGAGTTTTATTCTCGGGATATCAGAGGGTGATTTTTATTTATTTAAAGTAGCTTATTTGACCATCCCTATGTTGTGTTTGGTTGGCCAGGTATCTGATGATGCTGTGGCTGTGCCTTCTACAGAGTCTCCTGGGGACCTCCAGTTCTATGACTGTCCCCTGTACCGTACCTTCAAGCGGGCAGGCTTCCTCTCCTCCTCAGGCATCTCTACTAACTTCATCACAGCTGTGTCTCTACCCACCTCAGTGTCCTACTCACTGGGTCTTCAGGGGCACTGCCCTCCTCTGCCAACCTAATGAATGAACTAACTCAATACTAACTGTTTACACTAAAGCTATGAGTGAACTCATGACTAACTAATTAAAAACGAATTGAGAAAGACTTTCAAATAAATACATTATTATCAGCAGCAGTAAGGACTGTGAAACCTGAAATACTATGAAAAATGTTTTTCTCATTTTCAAAACAATGAAAAGGTCTCAATAGTTGTTTAAACCTGAGGAGAGGAAGCCTGTGGTCCTCTGTAGCTCAATTGGTAGAGCATGGCGCTTGTAACGCCAGGATAGTGGGTTCGATCCCCGGGACCACCCATACGTAAACATTTATGCACACATGACTGTAAGTCGCTTTGGATAAAAGCGTCTGCTAAATGGCATATTATTATTATTATATTATTATAAACATATTTGGTTGTCATACTTACAGTACTTAGACACACCGGGCCAACAGGACAAAGTCGCCCATTGGAACACATTATTGAAAGTACTACTCAGTTCCACAAATGATAGAAAGATATTTTCTCATTGACAGCTGCACAGCAGTATCAGACTAGCAGTACTCAAGTAGTTCTGTGTTTCCTCAGGGGTTCTGCCCCTTGATATGTCTTTATACCTTGCAGCAAAAACAAATGGTCCATTCAAATCTGTCTCCGGAAGTATACAACAACATGACCTTGGGTTTATCTTTGATTTCAGAACATGAAATACTCTACGTTTCTTTGGTCTTGTTCAGGCGTCATGCACAGTAGACGTGTACAGTATCAGTGCATTTTTTTAATCCACAGTCACTTGGATTACAATAATAAAGATGTTTTATAGTCATACACCGGAAAGGTGCAGTGAAATGTGTTGTTTTACAGGGTCAGTCATAGTGGTACAGCAGCCCTGGAGCAAAATAAGAGTCACTCCCAACAACACTTCTCCTCTCAGAGCATCATCTCCTCAGAACAGAACATGTCCTCTGTGAAAAACACTCTTTGACATGATACAGTGTGTGGACCATTTAACTGCCCCGAGGACCATGATATAACGTGGTTATAGAAGTGTCTCTGTCCATCACAGAGTTGTCTCACGTTCCACAACAGGTGTGTGGGAGGTAAGAAGAAAGCTCTGCCTCTCCTCCTCTTCTACTGAGCCCTCCTCTGTGTGGACGGCCTGACCATTGCTCTCGTGTTGCACAGGTGGACATTCCTGGATGGTTGGCTACACATAAAAAATTAAATAAAAAAACTCACCTTGAGATAAGATAATGGACAATGTTTTGTAACCTTGATACGATAGCACATAGCTTTGTTAAAATGACCCTCACACAGACCCAAAACACTGTTGCTAGCCATAACGTGACAAAACAATATTACAGATTTTTACTGAAGCCAGAGTTCAATCATTGAAGAAGGTGGGTTTTCCCACAATGCACTTTCAAAAGTGTGTGATTTACAAGCTGCTTTCCACACTTCCTGAAAGTGCAGTGTGGAATTCTTACTATCTGCAATCAATGATTGAATTTGATCCTGAGTATGTGAGCAGGGCCCCCTTTAGTGGTGTGCAATAGGAATGCATCATCGGCACATTTAGGAAGCAAACATTGTGGAATGTTGCCAATAGAAATGTCATGGATGGAACTGATTCCTTATTCTACATTTAAGAGATATACATGTTTGTTCTACATAACATATTTATATCTGAACATTCCACAATGTTGTGCCCTGCTGAATGCAGCCCTGGAGACTATGGTGTCCAATAATAAATGCTTGTTTTTGTTGCAAAACGTTTTGCTGTGTTTTGCACAAATGAACACAACCCTGAACTGTGAGTGTGCTCTGTTGTCTTACCCTGTGCCCCAGTGGGGTGACGCAGCAAAGCTTCTGTTTGAGTTTATCTGGTACAAAGAACAGCATGTTGCCCAACAGGGGATACAGAGTGCCTGGGGTCACCTCCTCCGCTTTCATTGGTCCTTAAATTAAAGATAAAAGCCAACCAATTAGATTCACTTCACTTGTTTCTGTAGGATCATCTGTGGAAGTTTGAGCGATCTGAGTGCATGTTTTGCTTTAGTTGAATGTATACTGATTGTAAGTTGCTCTGGGTAAGAGTGACTGCTAAATGACTAAAATGTAAATTTCTACCTGTGAGAAAGCTAACGATCAACCCTGTGATCACCACAGTGAAGGAGTTGAGAGCACTGTACCACATGAAGGACAAGGAGTAGAATCTCTGCAGACCCATTAGTCGGCTAAAGAAAAATTGAAAGACACCGTTATTGTAAAAATCACTAAATGTATTCACAAATTTGCATCTATGAGTAAACTAATTGGAATATTTTCTGATTGGGAATTAAATACAAACAGACCTCAAAAATACCAATTTCAGTTTCGATGGATGAATAGTTACAGTATTGGCTCGGTTGTTCTTTGTTTCTTACCTGGGTGTAGCGGTGGGCATAGCAGTACTGATGAGTGCAGTCCCCATGGCTGTGGTGATGTTCCCTGAGAGTTGTACAACAGTACAGTTGAACTGAGACACAGCAGCAGGACCCCCAGAGGTACGGGTTACGATGCTCCCGATGCCCACCCAGAAGGCCATCACCAGGCCTGACCCCAACCCTACCAGGGCACCCTGGAGAAACGTCCAATCAAATGTATATAAACTCAGCAAAAAAAGAAACGTCTCACTGTCAACTGCGTTTATTTTCAGCAAACTTAACGTGTAAATATTTGTATGAACATAACAAGATTCAACAACTGAGACATAAACTGAACAAGTTCCACAGACATGTGACTAACAGAAATGGAATAATGTGTGCCTGAACAAAGGTGGGGGGGGGGGTCAAAATCAAAAGTAACAGTCAGTATCTGGTGTGGCCACCAGCTGCATTAAGTACTGCAGTGCATCTCCTCCTCATGGACTGCACCAGATTAGCCAGTTCTTGCTGTGAGATTTTACCCCACTCTTCCACCAAGGCACCTGCAAGTTCCCGGACATGTCTGGGGGGAATGGCCCCAGCCCTCACCCTCCGATCAAACAGGTCCCAGACGTGCTCAATGGGATTGAGATCCGGGCTCTTCGTTGGCCATGGCAGAACACTGACATTCCTGTCTTGCAGGAAATCACACACAGAACGAGCAGTATGGCTGGTGGCATTGTCATGCTGGAGGGTCATGTCAGGATGAGCCTGCAGGAAGGGTACCACATGAGGGAGGAGGATGTCTTCCCTGTAACGCACAGCGTTGAGATTGCCTGCAATGACAACAAGCTCAGTCCGATGACGCTGTGACACACCGCCCCAGACCATGACGGAACCTCCACCTCCAAATCGATCCCGCTCCAGAGTACAGGCCTTGGTGTATCCGACCATCACCCCGGTGAGACAAAACTGCGACTCATCAGTGAAGAGCACTTTTTGCCAGTCCTGTCTGGTCCAGCGACGGTGGGTTTGTGCCCATAGGCGATGTTGTTGCCGGTGATGTCTGGTGAGGACCTGCCTTACAACAGGCCTACAAGCCCTCAGTCCAGCCTCTCTCAGCCTATTGAGGACAGTCTGAGCACTGATGGAGGGATTGTGCGTTCCTGGTGTAACTCGGGCAGTTGTTGTTGCCATCGTGTACCTGTCCCGCAGGTGTGATGTTCGGATGTACCGATCCTGTGCAGGTGTTGTTACACGTGGTCTGCCACTGCGAGGACGATCAGCTTTCCGTCCTGTCTCCCTTTAGCGCTGTCTTAGGCGTCTCACAGTACGGACATTGCAATTTATTGCCCTGGCCACATCTGCAGTCCTCATGCCTCCTTGCAGCATGCCTAAGGCACGTTCACGCAGATGAGCAGGGACCTTGGGCATCTTTCTTTTGTTTTCATAACTGTGACCTTAATTGCCTACCGTCTGTAAGCTCTAAGTGTCTTAACAACCGTTCCACAGGTGCATGTTCATTAATTGTTTATGGTTCATTGAACAAGCATGGGAAACAGTGTTTAAACCCTTTACAATGAAGATCTGTGAAGTTATTTGGATTTTTACGAATTATCTTTGAAAGACAGGGTCCTGAAAAAGGGACGTTTCTTTTTTTGCTGAGTTTATTAAGCCCTTTTTACTCCAGAAGTGTTCACCAAGTGGTTTTACAGTAACCCGGCCTAGCAAGGAAAACAAAAGCAGAGGCACAGAAATGCATTCTACTGGGTTCTATGTGGTTCAGTTGGTAAGAGCGTGACGCTAGGTTTGATTCCCGCAGGAATCACATTCACATACAAAAAATGTATGCACTCCCTGTATACATTGAGTACTTACGGTAGAGTTAGCCCAAGGGAAGAACAACCCGAGACAGAAGACGCCCAGAAGAGGACCACCAACCATTCCAAATATTTTGAAAGCAGCCTTGAATTGAAATAAACAAACATGTCAGAATCGGACAGAACTCCGCAAACGGACGAGGCGGATGCGTCATCAATTATTTCCAAAATAATGTACAGAACGTCGAAGTTTAGCCCTTACATATCCAATTGTGTGCTTACCTGCAAAACGGAATCACTCATCAAGTGGGTTAGATAGGCCATAGCCAGGCACAGCAGTCCATATGAACATGCTAGTTCAGAAACAGAAAAAGTAAATGTTACTCTTTAGAATGATACGAGTGCTGTATTGTCTTAGAAAGCATGCTCTCACAGGTAAAGTGAGGAATGGATGATGTTGAACTTAAAAAGAAGTTAACAGATACAGTAAACAGTAAGCAGGGCCCGTTCAGAAACAACCCATAGCCCCTACTTCCTAGGGCCTAACCCCTAGACTTGATCTGATCTACACAACCACTAGCCCCTAGCCACTTGATCTGATCTACATGAAGTGGCTAGGGCCCTAAGGGCTGGAGGGTAGGGGCTATGGACAGGGCACAGGATATTTCAATGTACCCAGTCCCTTGGAGAGCAGGGTGGACCTGGCCTCTGTCATGGAGGGGCAGTGTGGTTTGATCAGGTCCTCCATGGTCACTGTGGCCAGAGAGTTAAAGGCTGATGAGATGGTGCTGTGGAGACAGACATAAAACTCAGCCACAACACCAAACCACCCTTCTGATACTGTGATTCTGCTTGTTCTGGAGGGCTAGGCTGGGTTACTGTAAAGCCCTTTGTCACAAGTGTTGGAAAAAGAGTGTTAGAAATATTGATTGATTGACTGATTGACATGCCTGAGAGCTGCACTAAACAGGCAGCAGACAAACAGTCCAGACAGGCCAGGTAGACCCTGCAGCATGTCCATCACAAAGTATAACACCATCTGTGGAGAGAGAGCACATTCTGGTTGGTGTACTGTATGTCAGAGCATGGCAATAGCAACACCAGGGTTGTGGGTTCAATTCCCACTGGGGATCACATACATTTCATGACTTAACAGCCGGTCATAAATAGTTTGCAGAAACTCTCCCTCTGGCTCTCTAGTATGGTAAGAAAGAAATCTCTTCGTTACAGAGAGACTCTTGCCGCCTAAAAACTCTAACATCAAAAGATTGGACATTGGAACATTGTTGTTGAGATCCAAATGTTTGGAATGGTCGGTGGGGATCTAAATAATAATTATTTTGTGATGTCATTAAGGATGGCATCAATAAATAACTAACTCGGAAAGTGTACATATTCTATCTATCAAGTTTACATCTAAATGTTGTATAAAATATATGATTAAGTACAAGAGTATTTTGGTGAAGGTAGGAATGTGATTTTAGTCTTCTAATGAGAAAATCGTTTTTCATATAAACTATACACAGTGACTAGCCACGCCCTGAGTGACATCAGAGATAGTGTCATCACAATGGAACGCCTCTTTTACACAGAGGGCATAAAAAGCCTTGAAAAACAAATCAACCTTCAGACCAGGACGCGTGAAGCTGTGGCTCCATGGCTTAAAATGGTTGGCACTCTACAGACCAGAAAACGTGACGGTGGCGACTGAACGTTTAGAATGGTTAGAACTTTGAATCTAAGACCAGGAAGCGTGAAGCTATGGCTACAAGCTACAAATGGACAGTACCAAAACAAATGATCTAATGACTCTGTCTCTTCGCAGCAAAATCTGCAGAGCTGGGAAGATTGTACATACAGTGGGGGGGGAAAAGTATTTAGTCAGCCACCAATTGTGCAAGTTCTCCCACTTAAAAAGATGAGAGAGGCCTGTAATTTTCATCATAGGTACACGTCAACTATGACAGACAAAATGAGAAAAACAAATCCAGAAAATCACATTGTAGGATTTTTAATGAATTTATTTGTAAATTATGGTGGAAAATAAATATTTGGTCAATAACAAAAGTTTCTCAATACTTTGTTATATACCCTTTGTTGGCAATGACACAGGTCAAACGTTTTCTGTAAGTCTTCACAAGGTTTTCACACACTGTTGCTGGTATTTTGGCCCATTCCTCCATGCAGATCTCCTCTAGAGCAGTGATGTTTTGGGGCTGTCGCTGGGCAACACGGACTTTCAACTCCCTCCAAAGATTTTCGATGGGGTTGAGATCTGGAGACTGGCTAGGCCACTCCAGGACCTTGAAATGCTTCTTACGAAGCCACTCCTTCGTTGCCCGGGCGGTGTGTTTGGGATCATTGTCATGCTGAAAGACCCAGCCACATTTCATCTTCAATGCCCTTGCTGATGGAAGGAGGTTTTCACTCAAAATCTCACGATACATGGCCCCATTCATTCTTTCCTTTACACGGATCAGTCGTCCTGGTCCCTTTGCAGAAAAACAGCCCCAAAGCATGATGTTTCCACCCCCATGCTTCAGAGTAGGTATGATGTTCTTTGGATGCAACTCAGCATTCTTTGTCCTCCAAACACGACGAGTTGAGTTTTTACCAAAAAGTTATATTTTGGTTTCATTTGACCATATGAAATTCTCCCAATCCTCTTCTGGATCATCCAAATGCACTCTAGCAAACTTCAGACGGGCCTGGACATGTACTGGCTTAAGCAGGGGGACACGTCTGGCACTGCAGGATTTGAGTCCCTGGCGGCGTAGTGTGTTACTGATGGTAGGCTTTGTTACTTTGGTCCCAGCTCTCTGCAGGTCATTCACTAGGTCCCCCCGTGTGGTTCTGGGATTTTTGCTCACCGTTCTTGTGATCATTTTGACCCCACGGGGTGAGATCTTGCGTGGAGCCCCAGATCAAGGGAGATTATCAGTGGTCTTGTATGTCTTCCATTTCCTAATAATTGCTCCCACAGTTGATTTCTTCAAACCAAGCTGCTTACCTATTGCAGATTCAGTCTTCCCAGCCTGGTGCAGGTCTACAATTTTGTTTCTGGTGTCCTTTGGCAGCTCTTTGGTCTTGGCCATAGTGGAGTTTGGAGTGTGACTGTTTGAGGTTGTGGACAGGTGTCTTTTATACAGATAACAAGTTCAAACAGGTGCCATTAATACAGGTAACGAGTGGAGGACAGAGGAGCCTCTTAAAGAAGAAGTTACAGGTCTGTGAGAGCCAGAAATCTTGCTTGTTTGTAGGTGACCAAATACTTATTTTCCACCATAATTTGCAAATAAATTCATAAAAAATCCTACAATGTGATTTTTTGGAGAAAATTCAATTTGTCTGTCCAAGTTGACGTGTACCTATGATGAAAATTACAGGCCTCTCTCATCTTTTTAAGTGGGAGAACTTGCACAATTGGTGGCTGACTAAATACTTTTTTCCCCACTGTACATACCCCATATAAATAACATTCTATTGGTAGCAAGAATTTTATATAATAATTTAAATTGAAAAATTCGAAAATTTGAATCCGGCGTTGTTTTGCGTATCAGTTCATAAACACTATGCCATGGGATCAGTACGTCAAAAATCTCTTCCCAACTATTTTGCAATCTATATGGGACGGCTGTCAATCTTTTGGTCCTTAAATGAAACTGGTATACTTTTTTATTTATCACAGTTTTCTTTAACCAATTATGTTCTTTAATGCAGGGCCGACAGACAAGTTCCTTACTTTTACCCCCTTCCACTTTCCTCTTCCATTTTTGCGGTAATGCTGCAATTATTCGGTTGTAATTTTGGGTAGAGCAGATATTTCCATATGTTTTTGTTAGCTGCATGTGCGACATAACTCCACCAGTCCTACCGATGATATAATTTACAAAGTATATATATATATATAAAGGGTTTTTATTAATTAGTATATTTGGGTTTAACCACAATATTTGTTGCATTATTTGTTCTGTCGTTTCTGGAGGATTACATTGAAATTGCAACCAACTTTCTATGGCTTGTTTTAGAAATACTGATATTTGGGAGATTATTTCCTTTTCAAATAACTGAAAGTGAGAGGTTGTAATCTGAATAAAGGGAAAAAGGCCATTCTTGAACATTGGGTGAGACAATCTTACTAATTTGCTAGAGAACCAGTTCGGATTTAAGTATAACTTTTGTATGACTGAAGCTTTTAGTGATATGTCTAATGCTTTAATATTTAATAATTTCTGTCCTCCAAATTCATATTCATTATATAAATAGGCCCATTTAATTTTGTCTGGCTTGCCGTTCCAAATAAAAGAAATGTCTCATATAATTTAAAAAACTGTTCGCTAGGCGTAGGCAAGACCATAAGCAAATAGGTAAACTGGGATAATACTAAAGAGTTAATCAGGGTGATTTTTCCACAAATTGAAAGGTATTTACCTTTCCATGGTAGCAAGATCTTATCTATTTTTGCTAGCTTTCTATTAAAATGTATTGGAGTGAGATCATTTATTTCATTTGGGATATGTATTCCGAGTATATCCACATCACCATCAGACCATTTTATTGGTAAACTACATGGTAATGTAAAAAATGTATTTCTTAGTCATCGAATACGTAATATAGTACATTTATCATAATTTGGTTGTAATCCAGAGAGGTTAGAAAATGTATCTAGATCCTCTATGAGGCTGTGGAGGGATTCAAGTTGTGTATTTAAAAGAAAACATGAATCATCAGCATACAATGACACCTTTGTTTTTAAGCCCTGGATTTCTAATCCCTTGATATTATTGTTGGATCTGATTTTAATGGCTAACATCTCGATGGCCATAATAAATAGATATGCCGATAGTGGACAACCTTGTTTCACTCCTCTTGACAGTTTAAAACTTTCTGAGAAATAGCCATAATTTACTATTTTACTCCTAGGGTTACTACACATGATTTTAACCCAATTTATAAAAGAGATTCTCCACCAAAGTTAGGGTTCTTGCAGGTTCAAGGATTATGCGACGTTCAGAATGAGACTGATGAGTAATCATGCGTGCATAAATTTTTTTGTGTATGGGTGGTCCCGGGGATCGAACCCACTACCTTGGCGTTACAAGCGCCGTGCTCTACCAGCTGAGCTACAGAGGACCAGGTAATGATTTAATAAGTGACTGTTATCGATATATAACACACATATATATATATATATATATATCTCTTCTAAGAGTTTAATTCGGGAGATGGTAACTCGTTAAACAACTTATTCTGTGGTGCCCCAAATTCCTAATGAGTTAATTGTTACATGATTAATTTAATCGAGTGACATTAAATATAGTTAGTTGATTCGATAAATAACAGTCATCACATGAATCCAAGTCACGTCACAACACTGTACTGTCCGCCATTTTGGATAAAAGCATCTGCTGCTGACTGCTAAGTGGCATATTACTTCATCCACAAACTATAATACTTTAATACTGTAATGATGCACTCCAGATGACCAAAACACACACACACACCTACTGACCTCATTTTTTGATAAGACACCTAGATTGTGGAAATTGTCCTCCCCACAGTAGCGTGCGAACATGACCAGCCCCATGACACAGCTCAGAGCTAGAGCTAACTGTAGAAAGGGAAACACCATGTAGCAAGACCTGCAGAAAACACAGAGGAATCACAATCCACCAGAGGAGGAAAATAACACTTCTTCTAATATACATTTTGTTTGAGCAGAGCTGTAAAGTAACTTGCATGCATAAAATAAAGTGCTAATAACATGGTAATAGTATATTAACAAGTTATAAAACGTAATACATGGACCTTATCTCTCTCTAATTGATGTATCTCTATGGTCTTACATGACGGCATCCCTCTCGGTCTTGGCGCTGAGGTATCTCTGAACCTGGGCCTGGTTGACCCCGTACAGAGACAACATCAGGAAGACCCCCCCCACCCCCAGGGTCCAGAACGTGTACTCCATCGTAGGGTCAGGGTTCAGGCTGGAGAACAGACATGTCAAGAGGGTGAACATCTAATTGGAATATTAGAACTGGAACACTGGAATTGGAACATGGGATTTAAGATGTCCTCAAAACCCAACTTTAAACTAGATTGCCAGTCATCGCTTGAATACATGAAAATAGTGACCAGTCCACTCACTCTATGCCAGAGATGCGGTTCCCCTCTGAGACCTTCCTCCAGACCTCTGCCACCCCCCCAGTCTGCTGGACCCCCACCACGATGACCGCTAGCTGGCCTGCAAACATCACTAAGGTCTGGAAGACATCTGTCCAGATCACTGCCTTCAGGCCTCCCTGTCAGGACCAGGCACAACACACAGAGACACAATCACAGAGCCTATTATCATATAATCGATAATAGACAGTACTGTGCAGCCGTCTTCATCGACCTGGCCAAGGCTTTCGACTCTGTCAACCACCGCATTCTTATTGGCAGACTAAATAGCCTTGGTTTCTCAAATGACTGCCTTACCTGGTTTACCAACTACTTCTCAGATAGAGTTCAATGTGTCAAATAGGAGGGCTGTTGTCTGGACCTATGGCAGTCTCTATGGGGGTGCCACAGGGTTCAATTCTTGGGCCGACTCTTTTCTCCGTGTATATCAATGATGTCGTTTTTGCTGCTGGTGACTCTCAGATCCACCTCTACCCAGACGACACCATTTTGTATACATCTGGCCCTTCATTGGACACTGTGTTAACAAACCTCCAAACGAGCTTCAATGCCATACAACACTCCTTCAGTAGCCTCCAACTGCTCTTAAACACTAGTAAAACTAAATGCATGCTCTTCAATCGAACGCTGCTGGCACCCGCCCACCCGACTAGAATCACTACTCTCGACGGGTCTGACCTAGAGTATGTGGACAACTACAAATACCTAGGTGTCTGGTTAGACTGTAAACTCTCCTTCCAGACTCACATTAAGAATCTCCAATCCAAAGTTAAATCTAGAATCGGCTTCCTATTTCGCAACAAAGCCTCCTTCACTCATGCTGCCAAACATGCCCTCGTAAAACGGACTATCCTACCGATCCTCGACTTCGGCGATGTCATTTACAAAATAGCCTCCAACACTCTACTCAGCAAATTGGATGTAGTCTATCACAGTGCCATCCGTTTAGTCTCCAAAGCCCCATACACTACCGACCACTGTGACCTGTACGCTCTTGTTGGCTGGTCCTCACTACATGTTCGTCTTCAAACCCACTGGCTCCAGGCCATCTATAAATCACTGCTAGGCAAATCCCCGCCTTATCTTAGCTCATTGGTCACCCTAGCAGCACCCACCCGTAGTCTGCGCTCCAGCAGGTATATCTCACTGGTCATCCCCAAAGCCAACACCTCCTTTGGCCGCCATTCCTTCCAGTTCTCTGCTGCCAATGACTGGAACGAATTGCAAAAATCTCTGAAGCTGGAGACTTATCTCCCTCACTAACTTTAAGCATCAGTTGTCAGAGCACCTTACCGATCACTGCACCTGTACACAGCCCATTTGAAATTAGCCCACCCAACTACCTCATCCCTATATTGTTATTTATTTTGCACCCCAGTATCTCTATTTGCACATAATCTCTTGCACATCTAGCATTCCAGTGTTAATACTAATTGTAATTATTTTGCACTATAGCCTATTTATTGCCTTACCTCCATAACTTGCTACATTTGCACACACTGTATATATATTTTCTGTTGTATTTTTGACTTTATGTTTGTTTTACCCCATATGTAACTCTGTGTTGTTGTTTTTAATCGCACTGCTTTGCTTTATCTTGGCCAGGTCGCAGTTGTAAATGAGAACTTGTTCTCAACTGGCTTACCTGGTTAAATAAAGGTGAAATAAATAAAATTAAAAAATATGTGACCGACCGGCTCGATTCGGGATTATGTAGCAAAATTCGAAATTGTGTTTTTTACATTGGATAAAAGTAGAGTGACTCAGAGCTAGAAAATGGTATATCATACACTACAGATGAGGAACATTGAGAAAGTAATTCTGCTTTGAATGTTGATAATCTAGTAACTTCACTTTTGAGAAAATGGCCCTTTAATGTTTTGGTAAACCTACTGGAGACCTCTTCTTTGTCTACACCCGTTCAGCATCGTTCACACCCTCTTAAGCCTTAGCCCCACCCATCTCTTTAAGGATTCACATGTGAGGCAATGTACTAAAACAACCAAAGATTTCAAGACTAAAGGCTGGTTTATACTACGGGTGTGTTCATACATTTGATCTGGAGTGCCAGAGTGCGCTCTGGGCGTTCATAAACTCAGTGCGTTCTCAGATTGTCCGTTTGTAAATTCAGAGCATTTTGCTCTCGGAGTGTTGAGCGCGCCCTGGACACTCTGGCCGAGGAGTAGGGGTTCTGGAACGTTCTGACCTAACAACAGCAGTCAAGCACCCAAGCTAAATGAATAACGTTGGCTAGCTACTTCTAGACACAAATGAGAGAACAGCTCACTCTGACCATTTTACTCGCCCTAGCAGAGCTGGTTAGGCTGTTTTTATGTTATCTAGAGCATTGGGGACTTACTGTGCTGCTGGCAACAATTTAATTACGCTTTTTTGCCAACGTTTACTGACACCGGCCATATTCAACAGGTGTTGAGCGTTTGTAAATTCGTCAGTTATTCCAAGCGAATTTACCAGCTACATCTATCGACAGTTGTCGCAGTGACACCATGAACATTCTATTGAAATGGTTACTTGCATAGTGGAGTCTTTTGTTTAGACATGTAGCTAGCTAGCTAAACGATTAACCATAATCCGAACTCATAACGTTCCTACCCTGCATGAATCTGCAGGTAACTAACCAACCAAGTTCAATGTTAGCTAGCTAGCTAACATTAGGCTATAACTAGCAATGCAAATGGCCCTGAGATACGAATAATATTACTACACAGTCAGATCATACACGTAACGTTAGCTAGTGAGCCAGCCAGCTAACGTTAGCTAGCTAGTTAACATTATGCTTTAACTTGAAATGAAAACGACTTTGACAAAATTAGAAATGTGTAATATCTGAAAATGTAGCTAGCTAGACTATTTTACCCGTATACATGGATGGACACTTCTCCTTCTCTGTCACGGATACCATGGTTGCACTTAGTTTGAAAATGTAATGTTAATCCGGAGACAGATGTTTTATACAACAGCCTTCTGTGTGTTCTCTTTTCGACTCCCTCTGCATATTTGCAATCAAACAGCAGAATTTTCTCCATCTCTTTAGCTATCATACTCTAATTCCACCGGGCATTCCACTGATTTCAAAACTCGGTCCTCCAGAAAGTGGAGAGCAACACTTTTGCAGTTCTACTATGTGATATCTTTCCAAAAAAGCAGCGTTAGAAAGGATTACCTACACATACTGACCAGCTCATGTTATAGACAGAAGCGTGATACATGGCAGACCAATCCGAACTCATCTCTCGGCATGTGCAGCCCACCCATTATTTGTGCCAATCATGACTAGCGGGAAGGTTCCTGTCTTTCTTCCGTGGCTAAACCAACTAGGCTTGTAATTTAACCATTTTATTCGTATTTACAGATGGCATACAAGTTTGTTATTAAGGCACATGAAAGTTGCCATGTCCCAGAAGGCATTTATGCCCAAAAACCTTTTTTAAAACTGTTACTTTTTTTAAACCCATTTTATCATTCATTTTTATATTTATTTTATTTGTTTCCTTATTTAAACTTGTATTTTATTAACAACAAATCAATACAAAAAGTACCTGGGGGAACACAAGTATATATAAAGAATATACAGTGGGGGAAAAAAGTATTTAGTCAGCCACCAATTGTGCAAGTTCTCCCACTTAAAAAGATGAGAGAGGCCTGTAATTTTCATCATAGGTACAGTGGGGGAAAAAAGTATTTAGTCAGCCACCAATTGTGCAAGTTCTCCCACTTAAAAATATGAGAGAGGCCTGTAATTTTCATCATAGGTACACGTCAACTATGACAGACAAAATGAGAAAAAAAATCCAGAAAATCACATTGTAGGATTTTTTATGAATTTATTTGCAAATTATGGTGGAAAATAAGTATTTGGTCAATAACAAAAGTTTCTCAATACTTTGTTATATACCCTTTGTTGGCAATGACACAGGTCAAACGTTTTCTGTAAGTCTTCACAAGGTTTTCACACACTGTTGCTGGTATTTTGGCCCATTCCTCCATGCAGATCTCCTCTAGAGCAGTGATGTTTTGGGGCTGTCGCTGGGCAACACAGACTTTCAACTCCCTCCAAAGATTTTTTGTTGGCAAAGTATATAATTGTCTTAAAATATAGTGAAATTTATTTTTTTAAGGTAAGCAAATGTGGTGTTCTGTTTGTAACTTTACATTTGTGAATATGAAATTTGGCCGAAAGAATAATGAAATTAATTACATAAAATTGTTTCAACTTATTTCTATCGTAAGTAAAGAATCCAAGCAGTACATCTTTCCATAATAGTGTAAAATCTTCATAAATGCGTTCAATTATAAATCTACTGATGTCTTGCCACAGATTCCTTACATGAATACAATGTTTCTGGGTGGTCATTACAAAAGGTACAATTTGAATTTATGTTTTTATTAAACTTCTTCATATAGTGGTTGGCAGGATAATATTTATGAATATTTTTCAAATAAACTTCCTTAAATTGTGTTAATAAGTAGGTCTATGTGTGGCAACATCCAAACTTGTTTCCAACAGATATTATCAATAAAACCATTCCAATAAGGCATGACATAAGGTAGAGAGATACAACATCCTGTTGAAACAAGGCTCGTATTGCTCTATTGTTGTTGAATGGACTAAAAGAAAAACACATCTTTCCTACTGATGAGTCAACAGGGTTAATCGTAGGTGTGTTCTGAGGGTCTTGACACGTTCCTGAATAATAAAGCAACACCTGAGGGAATGGCATCTAAAACAATTGCAAAATCTTTAGGTGTTACAGGGATCTTGTAAAAATGATAATAATTCCTCATAATTAAGTAAAAGACCCTCTGCATTTACAAGTTGTCTCACCAATAGGATATTATTTTGGAAACCAATATTTTAAAAACGAAGTATTTTTGTAAAATATGTCCCGGTTATTCCATATATAATATCTGTGTGGAGAAAAACTATGCTTATAAATTAAGGACCATGAAAAGAAAACCTGCCGATGAAAAGCACAGTTTCACTGGAACTTTGTCAATATTATAATTGCAAACCAAATTGAAGTTAAGGCCACCAAAAGTAGAGAAAAAAGTTTACATTCAAATGGCTCTCCTGTGAAGTAGTGACGTGTGACATAACGCCTAGTTTCCTAAAACGAGTCGAATGAACTGGCTTGCGAAATTATTCACCACCCTTGGCATTTTTCCTATTTTGCTGCCTTACAACCTGGAATTAAAATGGATTTTTGGGGGGTTTGTATCATTTGATTTAAACAACATGCCTACCACTTTGAAGATGCAAAATATTTTTTATTGTGAAACAAACAAGAAATAAGACAGAAAAACAGAAAACCTGAGCTTGCATAACTATTCATTCCCCCCCTCCCACCTCCGTCCCAGTCTCAAATATCTGGAAGACTGAAACAGGTTTCCCTCAAGAATTTCCCTGTATTTAGCGCCATCCATCATGCTTTTCAATTCTATACCCCCCGTGGGAAACGAACCCACAACCCTGGCGTTGCAAACGCCATGCTCTACGAACTGAGCTACATCCCCTGCCGGCCATTCCCTCCCCTACCCTAGACGACGCTGGGCCAATTTTGTGCTGCCCCATGGGTCTCCCGGTCGCGGCCGGCTGCGACAGAGCCTGGATTCGAACCAGGATCTCTAGTGGCACAGCTAGCACTGCGATGCAGTGCCTTAGACCACTGCGCCACTCGGGATGCTGCCACCACCATGCTTTACTGTGGGGATGGTGTTCTCGGGGTGATGAGAGGTGTTGAGTTTGCGCCAGACATAGCGTTTTCCTTGATGGCCATAAAGCTCAATTTTAGTCTCATCTGACCAGAGTACCTTCTTCCATATGTTTGGGGAGTCTCCCACATGACTTTTGGCGAACACCAAATGTGTTTGCTTATTTCTTTTTTTTAAGCAATGGCTTTTTTCTGGCCACTCTTCCGTAAAGCCCAGCTCTGTGGACTGTACGGCTTAAAGTGGTCCCATGGCCCTTAAATTGGTCCTGTGGAGCTTTGCAGCTCCTTCAGGGTTATCTTTGGTCTCTTTGTTGCCTCTCTGATTAATGCCCTCCTTGCCTGGTCCGTGAGTTTTGGTGTGCGGCCCTCTCTTGGCAGGTTTGTTGTGGTGCCACATTCTTTCCATTTTTTAATAATGGATTTAATAGTGCTCCGTGGGATGTTCAAAGTTTCAGATATTTATTTTATAACCAAATCCTAATCTGTACTTCTCCACAACTTTGTCCCTGACCTGTTTGGAGAGCTCCTTGGTCTTCATGGTGCCGCTTGCTTAGTGGTGCCCCTTGCTTAGTGGTGTTGCAGACTCTGGGGCCTTTGAAACCAGTTATTTTTTTCATTTCACTTCACCAATTTGGACTATTTTGTGTATGTCGATTACATGAAATCCAAATAAAAATCAATTTAAATTACAGGATGTAATGGAACAAAATAGGAAAAACGCCAAAGTGGATTAATACTTTTGCAAGGCACTGTATAGGCTTCAAGCTAATAATGGCTGATGTGATATCGAAAGATTTTAAGAAACATTTTACTTCGGGAATTACATTTCATAATGTCAACATTACACAAAACGTTTTTCATGGGTAAATGTTGTGTAAGTCTTTTAATTATGTAATATTTGCAGTTCTTTTTTTTACCCTTGTGTAGTAACAGCTTCATTTCAAACTCTGAAAATGACTATGAACAACTTACCAGAGTTGTATACAGTGTACACACCAGTCCAGTTGCCAGCACTGCTCCCCATAAATTAAAGCCAGTAACTATGGGGAAGCATGAAACAAAATTAAGCAACCTTTACTCCAACATATTGCACAATTCTAAATAACCTACTCAAGGCACAAAACACAGTACCATTTCTGGAGCTGAAATGGTGTAGTCCCAACACATTATTTCCTAGTTTTTTTGTCAAGAGTGTTAGACCCGTAGGGCCAGTTTCCCAGACACACATTAAGCCTAGTAGTCCTGAGCTGTGTTCAAATACCCATACTAACATACTGTATACTACATACGTAATAAGTATATACTACATACTATTAGTTAATTTTAGTATACTGTAAACGAACGGTATCCTTTCAGTTGTGCGTACTAGCGCTATGTCTGTCTACAGGAAGTTGATGCTCTTGCTAGCTTGTTAGCGTAACACAAAATCGATTTCGGTGTGTTGGTAAATTCAATCTGGAGTGCCAGAGTGCTAAGAATGACGTGAATAATCAAGTCAATAAACGTTGGGTAGTTAGTTAGATAGCATATAGTTAATATACTGGCAAGTTCGATGTATTAGTAGCCAACTAACGTTAGGTAGGTAGCTAGCTAACATACCGGTACATACTGCTGTAATGATATGCTATGCGGTTCGTAAGGATAGCGTAGCTAACAAATTGTCAGCCAACATAGCGTGTAACTTATTTGAAAAGTCATTACTTTATTACATTGCTCAATTTTTCTTAACATTTGTCATTATTAGTTAAAGCAATGAATTTGTATCCCCTCTCGTTGGACTTCGGCTGCATATTTTCCGATATTTTCTTCAAATCTGAAAACGTTGTGAAGCCACACACATTTTCAGAAGAATCGCATTATGGGCCCTAAAAGCACCGAAATAGTGTCCACTGCTTGTATACTTCGTATTTTGGCGAATGTAGTACGACATCCGGGAACGATTGGCATACTAACTATATCCATACTATGACCAATAAGCATACCAGGTATGCCTACCAGGTACAACCCTAAATCCGTAAACATGGGTACCCTCATAGATATCATCCTGACTAACTTACCCTCTAAATACACCTCAGCTGTCTTCAACCAGGATCTCAGCAATCACTGCCTTATTGCCTGCGTCCGTAACGGGTCCGCGGTCAAACGACCACCCCTCATCACTGTCAAACGCTCCCAAAAACACTTCAGCGAGCAGGCCTTCCTAATTGACCTGGCCCAGGTATCCTGGATGGATATAGATCTCATTCCGTCAGTAGAGGATGCCTGGTTGTTCTTTAAAAGTAATTTCCTCTCAATCTTAAATAAACATGCCCCATTCAAAAAATACAGAACTAAGAACAGATATAGCCCCTGGTTCTCCTCAGACTTGACTGCCCTTGACCAGCACAAAAACATCCTGTGGCGTACTGCATTAGCATCAAATAGCCCCCGCGATATGCAACTTTTCAGGGAAGTTAGGAACCAATATACACAAGCAGTTAGGAAAGCAAAGGCTAACTTTTTCAAACAGAAATTTGCATCCTGTAGCACGAACTCCAAAAAGTTTTGGGACACTGTAAAGTCCATGGAAAATAAGAGCACTTCCTCCCAGCTGCCCACTGCACTGAGGCTAGGAAACACTATCACCACCGATAAATCTACAATAATCGAGAATTTCAACAAGCATTTTGCTACGGCTGGCCATGCTTTCCACCTGGCTACCACTACCCCGGCCACCAGCTCTGCACCCTCCGCTGCAACTTGCCCATGCCCCCCCCGCTTCTCCTTCACACAAATCCAGACAGCTGATGTTCTGAAAGAGCTGCAAAATCTGGACCCCTACAAATCATCTGGGCTAGACAATCTGGACCCTTTCTTTCTAAAACTAGCCGCCGAAATTGTCGCAACCCCTATTACTAGCCTGTTCAATCTCTCTTTCGTAACGTCTGAGATCCCCAGAGATTGGAAAGCTGCCGCGGTCATCCCCCTCTTCAAAGGGGGTGACACTCTAGATCCAAACTGTTACAGACCCATATCCATCCTGCCCTGCCTTTCAAAAGTTTTTGAAAGCCAAGTCAACAAACAGATCACCGACCATTTCGAATCCCACCGTACCTTCTCCGCTATGCAATCCGGTTTCCGAGCTGGTCATGGGTGCACCTCAGCCACGCTCAAGGTCCTAAACGATATTATAACCGCAATCGATAATAGACAGTACTGTGCAGCCATTTTCATTGACCTGGCCAAGGCTTTCGACTCTGTCAACCACCGCATTCTTATTGGCAGACTAAATAGCCTTGGTTTCTCAAATGACTGCCTCGCCTGGTTCACCAACTACTTCTCAGATAGAGTTCAATGTGTCAAATCGGAGGGCCTGTTGTCTGGACCTATGGCAGTCTCTATGGGGGTGCCACAGGGTTCAATTCTTGGGCCGACTCTTTTCTCTGTGTATATCAATGACGTCGCTCTTGCTGCTGGTGACTCTCAGATCCACCTCTACGCAGACGACACCATTTTGTATACATCTGGCCCTTCATTGGACACTGTGTTAACAAACCTCCAAACGAGCTTCAATGCCATACAACACTCCTTCAGTAGCCTCCAACTGCTCTTAAACACTAGTAAAACTAAATGCATGCTCTTCAACCGAACGCTGCTTGCACCCGCCCACCCGACTAGAATCACTACTCTCGACGGGTCTGACCTAGAGTATGTGGACAACTACAAATATCTAGGTGTCTGGTTAGACTGTAAACTCTCCTTCCAGACTCACATTAAGAATCTCCAATCCAAAGTTAAATCTAGAATCGGTTTCCTATTTCGCAACAAAGTCTCCTTCACTCATGCTGCCAAACATGCCCTCGTAAAGCTGACTATCCTACCGATCCTTGACTTCGGCGATGTCATTTACAAAATAGCCTCCAACACTCTACTCAGCAAATTGGATGTAGTCTATCACAGTGCCATCCGTTTAGTCTCCAAAGCCCCATATACTACCCACCACTGTGACCTGTACGCTCTTGTTGGCTGGTCCTCACTACATATTCGTCGCCAAACCCACTGGCTCCAGGCCATCTATAAATCACTGCTAGGCAAATCCCCGCCTTATCTTAGCTCATTGGTCACCATAGCAACACCCACCCGTAGTCTGCGCTCCAGCAGGTATATCTCACTGGTCATCCCCAAAGCCAACACCTCCTTTGGCCGCCATTCCTTCCAGTTCTCTGCTGCCAATGACTGGAACAAATTGCAAAAATCTCTGAAGCTGGAGACACTTATCTCCCTCACTAACTTTAAGCATCAGTTGTCAGAGCACCTTACCGATCACTGCACCTGTACACAGCCCATTTGAAATTAGCCCGCCCAACTACATCATCCCTATATCGTTATTTATTTTGCTCATTTGTACCCCAGTATCTCTATTTGCACATCATCTCTTGCACATCTATCATTCCAGTGTTAATACTAATTGTAATTATTTTGCACTATAGCCTATTTATTGCCTTACCTCCATAACTTGCTACATTTGCACACACTGTATATATATGTATTTCTGTTGTATTTTTGACTTTGTTTTGTTTTACCCCAAATGTAACTCTGTGTTGTTGTTTTTATCACACTGCTTTGCTTTATCTTGGCCAGGTCGCAGTTGTAAATGAGAACTTGTTCTCAACTGGTTTACCTGGTTAAATAAAGGTAAAATAAATAAAATAAATACAAAATTTACGTCACAAATAGTATGGTTAGTGCGTTTAGTCTGAGTATTCGAACACAGCTCTGGACTAAAAAGCTATTTTAACGGAGAATGTCCATTGAGAATGCTTTTTAGTTCTGTACTTCTTAATCTTTGTCTGGGAAACTGGCCATAAACCGCCCATAAAGTCTTATCACTGTCTGTAAATCCTAAAAGCATAAAAGAGCCTGAGTGACTGACCTGCATTGAGTGCTAGGGCTGGAGTGTACACACAAACAGCCATATAGATGACCTGCAAGAGATAGCAGTAGTCATCAGAGGAAAAACTGATAATCAACAATCTTCTCCTTGTTTTGGTCTTTATATTGCATCTGGTAAGGACCTTACCGTCTGAAAGATGAAGGTAACTGTTCCACAGATACGCACTGGTTTGCTGAACCGCAGTTCCAGATACTGAAAAGAAAAAGACCATCACTAAATGATGTGCACAGCAGTATATTCAGCACTTATTTCTCTGCAAGAAACCAAAACTATGGAAACGACTTAGCAGGGTTTAACAGCTGGGCCTATACATTTCAACTGGTATTACCCTACACATTCTAATTCCAAACATTTCTCTCCTTCCGGAGCTAAGCTTGCAGAGAGAATAGCCTAGAGTACGTACCTGGTAAGCGCTGGTAAGATGCAGCCTGTAGAACACAGGAATGAAAATGTGTGCTGGAATGAATAGCCCCAGGATGTAAGCACAGCCTATGAACCAGTACTGAGTGCCATGGGTATAGATCTCTGCTGGCACACCCACTATAGCCACCGCTGATTGAAATGTAGCGATTAGTGACAGGGACACAGGGAGGCAGCTCATGCTCCGGTCCGCCAGCAGGAACTCCTGAGTGGTGCGCTGCCGACCCCCTGACAGGGCGTAGTACAGCCCTATGCCCATGGATGCCGCCAGCAAGAGGGCAAATATGACATAGTCGATAGTAGTGAAGTGCATTTGTGCCAAAGCATCCATCTTGGTGCCAGGGACCAGGATATGGCTACTATGGCTGAATGGGATGGAGGTGGAGGGACTCATCCGTAAGGAAATCCCAAGAGCTTTGCACAGACTTCAGACACACTAGAATTAAAATATGGGGGGGGGGGGGACGAAGACATGTTGATTAACTCGTAATGAAGCCTTTATTGGTACCTACCTACCTAACTACTCCCTCAAGAAAACGGAACATGGTTTGAGTATGATTAACTAGGTCTACATTGTTTGCCACAATAGATCTATATGACACAGTACACATAGTCAATGCAAGAAGCTTTCACATACCTCTCCTTCAGGCCCAGACATCCTTCAGGAAAAGAAAAGACACTCAATTTGACAAGCAGGCAAAGTTGCCTCCACAAGAGTTCAGAAGTGATTTTCCATTACTGCTATTACCCTTGTCATCTTCATATCTCGGTGCCCATGAGTGAAATTCTGAAACAAAGCGCATGTCATGACTCCCACTGAAAATATGTTTGACCTTCAAGGTTAAAACAAGGGGGCGACAGAGAAAACATTAATCAATGGCCTTTGACAATGTTCTCAAAATGACTTTCAAGTGAACAATGGTGAATCAAAATACAGACAATGCATTCTTCTTCGTAAACCTTTCCTGCAGTCAAATGACCTAGTGGCCTCATTGTCGGAAAAGTATTAATATTTTTCATAATTTCATTATTAATTACCATTTAAAAAAATTAACTGCAGAAAATCGGGTGATTCTATGTCAAACGGTTTTGTTATATTTCAGTCTTCTGTGATGTAAATAAATGTAAATGTAGATGCAAACTCAAAATTCTATACATTTCAACTCTATATCTGAGATGGTACAGGTGTTTTCTTTTTTTAAAGCCCATAATCGTGTGTGAGGTGTATACTTTTGTTTGAGAGTAGATTAGTTTAAGACTACCAAGAAACACTGTGTGGCCCTGATTTAGCCCACTGCAGTAAAAGGATAACCGATAAAGCCTACTGTCGTGAGTCCGATAACATGCTGAGCGCAGAACAACCTCTCTGTCAACTTTACCCTGCATACCAGTTTGGTGAAATCCAAACATATATAGCCCCACAGTCCTTGCCTACGCATACAGTAGAACAACATGCACAATTGTCACTATTCTTACCTAGAAATAAGAAATAGCCACAGTAATTACAAATTCAATACATTTTACTGTCTTTTTGATAAAACAAATTATATTTAAGTTGGTTTTAGTTCAAATTAGACATATACCCACTGACTGTACACCCTTACCTGGATAAGGTGTGGTGTGGAGTAGTTCCACTTCCAACCCAACACTTATATATCTGTCTTTACGTGGATAAGGTGTGGTGCAGAGTAGTCCAACTTCCAACCCAACACTTTTATTTGTCTGTCTTGCATCATCCATGGCGACAGTGGTTGCTTCATTTAGTTATGCGTTCAAAACGTGGTTTGCTTTAGACCAGGCATCATCTCTGAATCTGATGATACTTGCCCCATAGGTGATCAGCGAAAATCAAAAGCCTTTCTCAAGCTTCTGATACTCAAGCTTTGTTTATGAAGTTATAGCTAATAAAGACGATTATCTGAAAGACTACACATGGGGATGACTTCTACTACTTATTCTTCTTCGGAATCCGTGACGTTCACACATTTTGTTTGTGCATGCCGCCACCTACTGTGCGGTAGTGTGTGTTAATAATATAATAATAATAATATGCCATTTATGCCATTTATGCCATTTAGTGTATGGGTGGTCCCGGGGATCGAACCCACTACCTTGGCGTTACAAGCGCCGTGCTCTACCAGCTGAGCTACAGAAAAATAGAAAGGGGGGGGGGGGGATAAGAAAATTGCATCACCATACATTTTACATTTACATTTTAGTCATTTAGCAGACGCTCTTATCACCAACCAACATTACATCTATATACCACCATTTTAAAGATATACTACATCTCAAAACATCTTATATCTCTTCTGCAGTAAAATCTCGTACAACCAGGTACTTCTTTGCAGCCGCCACCTACACTCATTAAAAAGCCCACTACTCCATTCCACTACTTTGACCCTATTTGCTCCTGCACCATGCCAACGGCCTGGGAGGACGGGAAACCACCACTCAACACACCCTGTAACTCTTCTGACGTCAAATCTCGTATACCCAAATACTTATATCTGCAGCTGCCACCATAACATCTATTTTCGATGATTTACATTCCATTTCTGCGATACAGTTGATAACCCTTGCTATGAACGCTAAGAAGCCAACGCTAAGAAGCCAACCTTACCGAAGCAAAAATCACTCATCGGCCTATCCCTCTGTGCCGTCACAGATCTACTACTCACAGGGATCCTCTCAGGAGGATCCCCAGCAAAATGGGCACCCCTACAGTTGACACACACAACTTTATCCGCCAAAACTACAGTCTTCTAGCCCATGCCCTCCTGCACACTTCCCACATCTTGGAATCTCCTTCCTACACACTGCTATGACATGACCATAAACGTTGCACCTGAAACAGCGCAGTGGATTCAGCACAAAAGCTCTAACAGGATAACTGATATATCCTAACATGACTTTGTCTGGTAGAGACTGACTCAAAACTCAAAAGGACTGACAGTCCAGTGTTGCCAACTCCTCAGTAAGGAAAGTAGCTATTGGCTGTCCTAAAAAATCGAATCAAATCAAATCAAATTGGTCTATTGGTCACATGCGCCGAATATAACAGGTGCAGACATCACAGTGAAATGCTTACTTACCAACAGTGCATTTATTTTTAACAAAAAAGTAAAAATAAAACAACAACAAAAAAAGTGTTGAGAAAAAAAAGAGCAGAAGTAAAATAAAATAACAGTAGGGAGGCTATATATACAGGGGGGTACCGTTGCAGAGTCAATGTGCGGGGGCACCGGCTAGTTGAGTTAATATGTACATGTGGGTAGAGTTAAAGTGACTATGCATAAATAATTAACAGAGTAGCAGCAGCGTAAAAAGGATGGGGTGGGGGGGCAGTGCAAATAGTCCGGGTAGCCATGATTAGCTGTTCAGGAGTCTTATGGCTTGGGGGTAGAAGCTGTTGAGAAGTCTTTTGGACCTAGACTTGGCACTCCGGTACCGGTTGTCGTGCGATAGCAGAGAGAACAGTCTATGACTAGGGTGGCTGGAGTCTTTGACAATTTTGAGGGCCTTCCTCTGACACCGCCTGGTATAGAGGTCCTGGATGGCAGGAAGCTTGGCCCCAGTGATGTACTGGGCCGTACGCACTACCCTCTGTAGTGCCTTGCGGTCGGAGGCTAAGCAGTTGCCATACCAGGCGGTGATGCAACCAGTCAGGATGCTCTCGATGGTGCAGCTGTATAATTTTTTGAGGATCTGAGGACCCATGCCAAATCTTGTCAGTCTCCTGAGGGGGAATAGGTTTTGTCGTGCCCTCTTCACGAATGTCTTGGTGTGTTTGGACCATGATAGTTTGTTGGTGATGTGGACACCAATGAACTTGAAGCTCTCAACCTGTTCCACTACAGCCCAGTCGATGAGAATGGGGGCGTGCTTAGTCCTCTTTTTTTTCCTGTAGTCCACAATCATCTCCTTTGTCTTGGTCACGTTGAGGGAGAGGTTATTGTCGCTAGAAGTCACTAAATGACTACATCACCTAACTTTCATAATTGGCCATGTGCATGTAATTGTGATGGACGCTGTAGGAGAGAGGAATAACATCGTGGGAAAGACAAAAAGTGAGTTAAAAACACCCTACATTTACATCCCTCCCTGAATGTAAGCCAGGGCGGGATCAGCCAGCGGCGGCTTCCCGCATGCGCAATTCATTTGCAGTCTGGACGCGGAGGGGTGAACATCTCCTGTTCTGACTGCAGCTGGGAGGGACTGCTGTGCGAGGACTGTGCTTTGGGACGGGGGTGGGACAGGGGTGGTGACCCACGGCAGCACCCACTGCTCGTTGAAAAGAGTAAGAACGATACGTGCCAGTCTCCAAAAGTCTCCAATAAATCAAATCAAATCATTTATTGGCCACATGCGCCGAATACAACAGGTGTAGACATTACAGTGAAATGCTTACTTACAGCCCTTAACCAACAATGCATTAATTTTTTAATTAAAAATGTAAAATAAAACAACAACAAAAAAGTGTTGAGAAAAAAAGAGCAGAAGTAAAATAAAATAACAGTAGGGAGGCTATATATACAGTGGGGTACCGGTGCAGAGTCAATGTGCGGGGGCACCGGCTAGTTGAGGTAGTTGAGGTAATATGTACATGCTACTCTGTTAATAAATAATTAACAGAGTAGCAGCAGTGTAAAAAGATGGGATGGGGTGGGGGTGGGGGGGGGGGGGGCAGTGCAACTAGTTCGGGTAGCCATGATTAGCTGTTCAGGAGTCTTATGGCTTGGGGGTAGAAGCTGTTGAGAAGTCTTTTGGACCTAGACTTGGCACTCCGGTACCGGTTGTCGTGCGATAGCAGAGAGAACAGTCTATGACTAGGGTGGCTGGAGTCTTTGACAATTTTGAGGGCCTTCCTCTCACACCGCCTGGTATAGAGGTCCTGGATGGCACGAAGCTTGGCCCCAGTGAAGTACTGGGCCGTACACACTACCCTCTGTAGTGCCTTGCGGTCGGAGGCTAAGCAGTTGCCATACCAGGCGGTGATGCAACCAGTCAGGATGCTCTCGAAGGTGCAGCTGTATAATCTGAGGACCCATGCCAAATCTTTTCAGTCTCCTGAGGGGGAATAGGTTTTGTCGTGCCCTCTTCACGAATGTCTTGGTGTGTTTGGACCATGATAGTTTGTTGGTGATGTGGACACCAATGAACTTGAAGCTCTCAACCTGTTCCACTACAGCCCCGTCGATGAGAATGGGGGCGTGCTTAGTCCTCTTTTTTTTCCTGTAGTCCACAATCATCTCCTTTGTCTTGGTCACGTTGGGGGAGTGGTTGTTATCCTGGCACCACATGGCCAGGTCTCTGACCTCCACCAAAAACAAATAGCTAGATTTGTCGCTAGTCGCTTTTTTTTGAAAATGTGTCGCTAGAGGGGTCTGAATACTCGCTAAGTTGGCAACACTGTGACAGTCACTCCTCTGTTTCACCACACTCCCCCACTGGGTATGTATCGCACCAAACGGCGGGCGTCACAAACACCAGGAATTTTCAACTTCAATTGCTCCATCTCCACACTTAACGCTACCCCAGAAATCTCTCCTTTCAATGGTGCCCTGTTCCTAAGAGCATAGCAAGAAACAGATCTTGACACAAGTTACGTGACACGGAGCACCTGCTCCCTCTGGTCAGAAGAAACACAAACAAACATCACAAATCCACTACAGGTTACCTTCACTGATTCAACTGCACCCAACTCCTTTCTCACCCACCCTGAAACCACAAATGGATCTGCCAAAAGGCAAGAGTCCACTTGCTCCCAAAAATGTCACTCCTACTGGTTCAGATTCTTTGGAAGTTATAGAAATGCATTTACTATTGTCTACATTTGATTTTGCCATGTTTATTTTATTATAGAAACCTTAATGCATAATATACTAAATTATATTATATGAGCTAAACATACAAATAAAAAATGAAAAAAATATATAAAAACATTTTCCTTACAGTATCGTTTTTAGAAAGTGCTAATCTTACGGTCCCCACTACAACAACACAAATACTTAAAGACGTCATTTTGTCCTTAAAACATTTAAATGAAATACTGTAGAATTCCATTCAGTCCTATGGAGGACTGCTTTTCTGAGGAGTGACGATATGGTGTGGAGCGTAATGAGAAGGCCGATGTGGTGGCTAAGAGTGCTGTGAGGAGAGAGGGGGTAGATATTCAGGTCCCGCTGGGCTGCAGGGAAGTCAAGTCCGGGCAAAAGGGCTCGATCTTTGGCAAAGGGAGTGGGTTGCTAGTAGTAAGGGGAGGCAATTTTATCGCGTGCACTGGTCAGTAAAGGAAGAGGTGGGGAGTATGGGATGTAGGAGAGAGGAAGTTGTGTGGAGTAGACTACAGTGGAGCATTTATTGATATTTTGTGAACTGTATGATGTAGATAGGGAGAGATTGTGTGAAAGGCTTAGAGAGGCTGGTCGGGGTTGAGGTTTGGGTGATGTAGTGGGGGGAGGAAAGAGGTGGAGGAAGTGGTGTCTAGGGCTCTATTTCACGTTTTAAGAGGAACAGGACTAATGAAGAGAATGGAATGTATGTAGGCCGTGACTGGCCTCACACTCCAGTACAGTAGGTGGCGGTGTATAAAGTTTAAAAGTTGGATGCGATCCGCCAACCCAATCCCGAAGAAGAAGAAGAAGAACGAAAGAAAGAAAGAAAACAGACAGTTTGTTTTGATTTTCTTCCGGGTTGGAAATCTAGCCGCCAAATTGAAGTAACCCAATGGGCATGTGTTATTAAGAGTTAAATATATCTAATGTACTTAATAACTTAATGCACGCGTCATTAGTGTTTTATTTTGGCATTCACTTACGCGTATCCAACATTGTTCAGTCTTTGCTGACAACTTTCAAAACGACCCTAGTTAGCTAAAGTTAGCTAGCTCACACGGGAGGGCGCAATGGAAGAGGCGAGAAAAGGTAAGAGTTAGATAACGTTATAACTGTGTTTGCATTATCAAGAGTTTGTACAAATGTGTATAATTTACCTTGCTGGTTGGTTATAATTCATTATCCAAACTTTTTATATCCCCAGATGTTTTGGGGCACTTGAACATGTTGGAAATGGAGGCGAACAACTTGGCATTGAAGCAGCAGAGTAGTCGCGAGGAAGAGTTGAATGCAACACTGCAGGCACTCCTCAATAAAAGAGACCAGTTAAAAGTTGAAATAAAGGCAAATACGGTAAGCTAGCTAGATCGTTTCTGAGATCACTTATACTGATATCATATTACCTGGCAGTAGCTATCATTTATTATCTGAATAAATGGAAGCTTACTAATAGGTGGAGGTGTTGTTATAGAATGTTTAAAAATGTACATAACTGTTTGATACTATTTAAAACCAAGGTTAACACAGGTTGCAGGTGAATATGATAAGTCAATGTCTGGTCGTAGGCTGCTGCTCAGAGCTTACAGTAGTTCAACATGATGCATTGTTTTCTAGTCTCTCCAGAAGATGAGATCTCTACTGGACCAAACAGGTGTTCCACGTGAGAGGGACGAGGATGTTGATGACCTGGAAGATGGCTCAGAGAACTCAGAACTTCTACTGTTGATGGCCAGACACACACAACTGAAGGACCTGCTTCATGCTCACCATCTTATAGGTAGGTACCTATAACCCAAACATGTTCAACAATCTCTGTGTCGCTCTGTGTGTGTTTTATATCAACTCTTTAGATAATATCACTAACCATCCATCCACTCCTTTGTTGCCTTTCTCAGGTGGGTATGATGTCCTCCAGACTCGTAAAGGTAAAGGAGTGTGTGTCTCGTTGGCCACTGCATACGAAGGCGTCTACCTTGAGACATATAACCTGGAGATGGACCTGGGGTCTAACCTGAGGATCTGTCGGCATAACATCCCTCCGTTCATCCCCCTGGAGATGCTGGTGGCGCAGGGCAACATGCAGACAGACATCAGGGCTTTCCTGGACACCCTCAGCCAGTATCTCAATGCCTACGCTGGCCGCAAGCAGCAGCTACTCCTCACCAAGGTACAAGCGGATCAGAGTACCAGGGCACCAGCCATCCACTTTGATATCTGAAATTGAATATTCAGCCATTTTCATATATTATACATGCAGATCTAAAAATACGCTGTTATTGTCTGCTCAAAGTAAAGAGTGGTGTAAGAACATAGTATCAGAAACCTTTGTTGTCATAGCTGTACACAGCATGTTAGATGGCTACATTATGCTTGCTCTGAAGGTTCCTACTATAGACGAAATGTCTAGACCAGTGTTGTGCCCTGTTCTCTGTCTGCTTCCAGGAGATCCATAGCTCTGTTCAGGTGGCGGAGAGTAATGCTCTCTGTACCATACTGGTGCTGATGTTCACTATAGCAGGAGAGAAGGCCGGGGCTGCACTGTGTACACTGCAGTATGCTGACCACACACAATGCCTGCCCACCCGGGTCAACATAGAGTCTGAAGGTAGAACCCATAAACACCAACTGGATACATAATATGAACCTTTGAGTGTACCGGAGCGTCGATAATATTAACCTTTGAGTGTACCGGAGCGTCGATAATATTAACCTTTGAGTGTACCGGAGCGTCGATAATATTAACCTTTTGAGTGTAAAGGAGTGTACCGGAGCGTCGATAATATTAAAGCTGCAATATGTAACTTTTTGGGCGACCCGTCCAAAATCGCATAGAAATGTGAGTTATAGATCTGTCATTCTCATTGAAAGCAAGTCTAAGAAACGGTAGATCTGTTCTATGTGTGTTATTTCGATGCTTCACGTTCTTAAGTTTAGTTTTTGCCTCTTACTTCAGGTTTTGTACACTACCTTCAAACAGCTGAAAATACAATATTTTTGGTTATGGAAAATGTTATTATTTACAGCAGTTTAGATTGTACAATGATTCTCAACACTACACTTGCTTGTTTTGTCACGTAAACTGAAATTAGGCGAACTATTAGAATTTTTGCAACCAGGAAATGGCAGAGCGATTTCCTGGTTGGTAGTGCATCTTTAACCTTTGAGTACCGGAGTGTCGATAATATTAACCTTTGACCGTACCGAGCAATACTTATCTTTTCTAATCTATGGCTCTTGTTAAAGGATGAAAAAATATATATATACACTACCGGTAAAAAGTTTAACACCTACTCATTCAAGGGTTTTTCTTTATTTTTACTATTTTCTACATTGTAGAATAATAGTGAAGACATCAAAACTATGAAATAACACATGGAATCATGTAGTAACCCCAAAAAATATTTGAGATTCTTTCAAGTAGCCACCATTTGCCTTGATGACAGCTTTGCACACGCTTGGCATTCTCTCAACCAGCTTCACCTGGAATGCTTTTCTAACAGTCTTGAAGGAGTTCCCACATATGCTGAGCACTTGTTGGCTGCTTTTCCTTCACTCTGCGGTCCGACTCATCCCAAACCATCTCAATTGGGTTGAGGTCGGGGGATTGTGGAGGCCAGGTCATCTGATGCAGTATTCCATCACTCTCCTTCTTGGTAAAATAGCCCTTACACAGCCTGGAGGTGTGTTGGGTCATTGTCCTGTTGGAAAAAAATATATAGTCCCACTAAGCCCAAACCAGATGGGATGGTATATCGCTGCAGAATGCTGTGGTAGCCATGCTGGTTAAGTGTACCTTGAATTCTAAATAAATCACAGACAGTGTCACCAGCAAAGCACCCCCACACCATAATACCTCCTCCTCCGTGCTTCACGGTGGGAAATACACATGCGGAGATCATCCGTTCACCCACACCACGTCTCACAAAGACACAGCGGTTGGAACCAAAAGTCTCCAATTTGGACTTAAGACCAAAGGACAAATTTCCACCGGTCTAATGTCCATTGCTCGTGTTTCTTGGCCCAAGCAAACCTCTTCTTCCTATTGGTGTCCTTTAGTAGTGGTTTCTTTGCAGCAATTTGACCATGAAGGCCTGATTCACTCAGTCTCCTCTGAACAGTTGATGTTGAGATGTGTTTTGTTACTTGAACTCTGTGAAGCATTTATTTGGGCTGCAATTTCTGAAGCTGGTAACTCTAATGAACGTATCCTCTGCAGCAGAGGTAACTCTGGGTCTTCCATTCCTGTGGCGGTCCTCAAGAGAGCCAGTTTCATCATAGCGTTTGATGTTTTTTGCGACTGCCCTTGAAGAAACTTTCAAAGTTCTTGAAACGTTCCGTATTGACTGACCTTCATGTCTTAAAGTATTGATGGACTGTCGTTTGTCTTTGCTTATTTGAACTGTTCTTGCCGTAATATGGACTTGAAATGCATGAAGCTGGTTGAGAGAATGCCAAGAGTGTGCAAAGCTGTCATCAAGGCAAAGGGTGGCTATTTGAAGAATCTCACATATAAAATATATTTTGATTTGTTTAACACTTTTTTTGGTTACTACATGATTCCATATGTGTTATTTCATAGTTCTGATGTCTTCACTATTATTCTACAATGTAGAAAATAGTAAAAATAAAGAAAAACCCTTGAATGAGGAGGTGTTCTAAATCTTTTGACCGGTAGTGTGTACCGGTAGTGACAGTGCCTTCAGAAAGTATTCATACCCCTTGACTTATTCCACATTTTGTTCTGTTCCAGCCTGAATTCAAAATGAAATAGATTTTTTTTTATCTCACCCATGCACACACAATACCCCACAATGACAAAGTTGCCCATTTATTCTTTTCAAAATTCTTCAAGCTCTATCAAATTGGTTGTTGATCATTGCTTGACAACCTTTTTCAGGTCTTGCCATAGATTTTCAAGGAGATTTAAGTCAAAACTGTAACTCGGCCACTATCTTCTTGGTAAGCAACTCCAGTGTAGATTTGGCCTTGTGTTTTAGGTTATTGTCCTGCTGAAAGGTAAATTCATTTCCCAGTGTCTGGTGGAAAGCAGACTGAACCAGGTTTTTCTCTAGGATTTTGCCTGTGCTTTGCTCCATTCTGTTTATTTTTTATCCTGAAAATCTCACCAGTCCTTAACAATTACAAGCATACCCATAACATTTACATTTACATTTTAGTCATTTAGCAGACGCTCTTATCCAGAGCGACTTACAGGAGCAAGTAGGGTTAAGTGCCTTGCTCAAGGGCACATCGACAGATTTTTCACCTAGTTGGCTCTGGGATTAGAACCAGCGACCTTTCGGTTACTGGCACAACGCTCTTAACCACTAAGCTACCTGCCTCCCCATAACATGATGCAGCCACCACATACTTGAAAATATGGAGAGTTCTACTCTGTAATGAGTTGTATTGGAATTGCGCCAAACATAACATTTGTATTCAGGACAAAAGGTTAATTGCTTTGTCAAATATTTTGCAGTATTACTTTAGTGCCTTGCTGCGAACAGGATGCATGTTTTGGAATGTTTATATTCTGTACAGGCTTCCTTCTTTTCCCTCTGTCAATTAGGTTAGAATTGTCGAGTAAATATGTTGTTGATCCATCCTCAGTTCTCTCCTATCACAGCCATTAAACTCTGTAACAGTTTTAAAGTCACCATTGGCCTCATGGTGAAATCTCTGAGCGGTTTCCTTCCACTCTGGCAACTGAGTTAGGAAGGACGCCTGTATCTTTGTAGTGACTGGGTGTATTGATACACCATCCAAAGTGTAATTTATAACTTCAGCATTCTCAAAGGGATATTCAATATCTGCTTTTTTTATTTATTTTTTATTTTACTCATCTACCAATAGGTGCCCATCTTTTCAAGGCATTGGAAAACCTCCCTGGTCTTTGTGGATAAATCTGTGTTTTGAAATTCACTGCTCGACTGAGGGACCTTACAGATAATTGGGGGTACAGAGATGAGATAGAGCAGGCAACTTATTATGTGACTTTTTAAACACATTTTCCTCCTGAACTTATTTAAGCCATAACAAAGGGGTTGAATACTTATTAACTCAAGACATTTCAGCTTTTCATTTTTAAATAATTTGTAACAATTTCTATAAACATAATTCCACTTTGACATTATGGGGTATTGTGTGTAGGCTAGTAACAAAAATTTAATCCATTTTAAATGCAGGCTGTAACACCAAAATTGAGAAAGTCAAGGGGTGTGAATACTTTCTGAAGGTACTGTCTATACAGTGCATTTGGAAAGTATTCAGACCCCTTGACTTTTTCCAAATTCTGTTATGTTACGGCCTTATTCTGAAATGGATTAAATTGTTTTTTTCCCTCGTCAATCTACACACAATACCCCATAATGACAAAGCAAAAACAGGTTTGTATACATTTTTGCAAATTTATAAAAAAAAATTGAACTGAAATATCACATTTACATAAGTATTCAGACCCTTTACTCATTACTTTGTTGAAGCACCTTTGGCAGCGATTACAGCCTCGTCTTCTTGGGTATGACGCTACAAGCATGGCACACCTGTATTTGGGAAGTTTCTCCCATTCTTCTCTGCAGATCCTCTCAAGCTCTGTCAGGTTGGATTGGGAGCGTCGCTGCACAGCTATTTTCAGTTCTCTCCAGAGATGTTCGATCGGGTTCAAGTCCGGGCTCTGGCTGGGCCGCTCAAGGACATTCAGAGACTTGTCCCAAAGCCACTCCTGCGTTGTCTTGGCTGTGTGCTTAGGGTCGTTGTCCTGTTGGAAGGTGACCCTTCGCCCCACTCTGAGGTACTGAGTGCTCTGGAGCAGGTTTTCATCAAAGATCTCTCTGTACTTTGCTCTGTTAATCTTTCCCTCGATCCTGACTAGCCTCCCAGTCCCTGCAGCTAAAAAACATCCCCACAGCCTGATGCTGCCACCACCATGCTTCACCATAGGGATGGTGCAATGTTTCTTCCAGACGTGACGCTTGGCATTCAGGCCAAAGAGTTCAATCTTGGTTTCATCAGACCAGAGAATCTTGTTTCTCATGGTCTGAGAGTCTTTAGCTGCCTTTGGGCAAACTCCAAGCGGGCTGTCATGTGCCTTTTACTGAAGAGTGGCTTCCGTCTGGCCACTCTACCATAAAGGCCTGATTGGTGGAGTGCTACAGAGATGGTTGTCCTTCTGGAAGGTTGACCCATCTCCACAGATGAACTCTTGAACTCTGTCAGAGTGACCATTGTGTTCTTGGCCCTTCTCCCCCGATTGCTCAGTTTGGCCGGACGGCCAGCTCTAGGAAGATTGTTGGTGGTTCCAAACTTATTCCATTTAAGAATGGAGGCAGCTGTGTTCTTGAGGACCTTCAATGCTGCAGAAATTTTTTTGGTACCCTTCCCCAGATCTGTGCCTCGACACAATCCTGTCTCGGAGCTCTACGGACACTTCCTTTGACCTCATGGCTTGGTGTTTGCTCTGACATTGTCAACTGTGGGACCTTATATAGGCAGGTGTGTGCCTTTCCAAATCATGTCCAATCAATTGTATTTACCACAGGTGGTCTCAATCAAGTTGTAGGAACATCTTAAGAATGATCAATGGAAACCGGATGCACCTGAGCTCAATTTCGAGTCTCATAGCAAAGGGTCTGAATACTTATGTAATTAAGGTATTTGTTTTTTATGTTTTATACATTTGCAAAAAATAAATCTAAAAACCTGTTTTTGCTTTGTCATTATGGGGTATTGTGTGTAGATTGATGAGGACACATTTTTATTTAATCAATTTTAGAATAAGGCTGTAACGTAACAAAATGTGGAAAAAGTCGAGGGGTCTGAATGCTTTCCGGATGCACTGTATATATATATATATATATACACACACACACACACACAGTGAGGGAAACAAGTATTTGATCCCCTGCTGATTTTGTACATATATATATATATAAATATATATATAATGCATGAGGATGTTATTTTTATCCATGCACAAGTCAGTTTCTTCGGTAACATGTGTTTGTGTGTGTATAGACGCTGCGCTGGCCGGTTCTCCACAATGGAAGAAGAACCACGCCCTACTCCTGGAGACTCCATTACACACAGCCTTGGTGACCATGAAGAAGACTGGCAGTATCGCTTAGTCTGAACACAGTATGCTGTAAATACACTCAAGACTGAACAGTTGTTTATGTCAATGTATTACGTTTCTTTTTATACTAATTTCATTGTCAGTCACTATCTATATTTTTGAGTTAATGTACTTGCCATTCCCTTACGCTTATTCAACATTGTTTGCACATGTATATATTTTTGTTAATAAAAAAGAAAAGTACCCATTTTACTCTAGTTTGACAACCCTGTTTGCAATATAATGACAATAATACAGTATGTTGCTAAGCTGAATTGGTATTGTCTTGATTTATTTGACTGCATCAGTTAACTAAAAGCAGTGGTACTATTCCCCTGATGGTCTACATTTACAGTCCTTCAAAAGTGGATAATTACTTCACAAAGGTTACTAGGAAACCAAATAGTCTACATGAAACACGACATGAAGATCAGGTTTCTCAAGAAAATTGTATACCGTCTTTTCATCTGACCTGTGAAAGCAAGACTTCTGTCATAGGGTTGTTTTGGTTTCCATTTGCTCACTACAAGTGTTGTCAAGTGTTTTCAGAAAGGTGTTTATTTTCTGGCTTAGCATATCCCGCTGACATTGTTTGAGTCTCTCCTTCTCTCCTCTAGCATATTGCTGTTGGCTGGCCAGCTCCTTTTCTGAGATGCAGTCGATAGTGGACATTTGCCTCAGCTGCATGAAAGAAAACACCCCAGCCCCTGCCTGTGTCTCTCTGTGCTTGGCAGAGTGCACCACCCCTGCCTGTGTCTCTCTGTGCTTGGCAGAGTGCACCACCCCTGCCTGTGTCTCTCTGTGCTTGGCAGAGTGCACCACCCCTGCCTGTGTCTCTCTGTGCTTGGCAGAGTGCACCACCCCTGCCTGTGTCTCTCTGTGCTTGGCAGAGTGCACCACCCCTGCCTGTGTCTCTCTGTGCTTGGCAGAGTGCACCACTCCTGCCTGTGTCTCTCTGTGCTTGGCAGAGTGCACCACCCCTGCCTGTGTCTCTCTGTGCTTGGCAGAGTGCACCACCCCTGCCTTTGTCTCTCTGTGCTTGGCAGAGTGCACCACCCCTGCCTGTGTCTCTCTGTGCTTGGCAGAGTGTACGGTTTTGGGCTGTGCTGACTGAGATCTCCTCGAGCTCAGCGTTGGTGTTCCTCTAGCCTCAACCCCAGCCATTCTAGGTTTCTCTACAATGAGATTACTGTGTGGTGTCTGCCAACATGAGACTAGTTTTCCTCTGTCGATGGAAAGAGATTTACCGGAGTACAACCTTCTGTTGTCAGAGGCAGAGACGGCATGAGCCATCCTTGCCTTTTTAGTTTCGGATATCTCTATCATGGTTTTGTTGATAGTGGCGCGAGGTTCGCATACTTTGAGAAGTAGTAGTTTCCTGTGTTCCATCATCAGTGAGTTTCTATCCTGACACAGAACTCTGAGGGTGTACCTGTGCCTCATGTCTAACAGGGTCAGTTTGTGTTGAAGAATAATGTCCTCCTGGTGATTCAGAAATCTCACATCCAGAACAGACTTCGGTCTCTTACGGTTGACCACCTCGGTCATATCCAGATCATGCCTTATCATGGTGCTTGGAAATAAAAGGAATACATTAGTTTTGATTTTTCTCTATTTGTTAAATTTTCATCACATTGACTATGCTTACCTAAACATGACCATAACTACATCTATTCTTATTCATTGTATCCATGAAGTTTCACTTGCAAATCAGGGTTTTATCAAATTGTCCTACCTGGTCAATGAACGAGGACCTGTATCACAAGCATGTGCCTACAGTTTTCCCACGGTGTTGCTCTGTTACCTTTCGAGGTGTGGATGCAAGCAGATCGGTAGGCTACTCTGGGTAGGCTGCATGTGGGAGTGTTGGCTGCTATGACATCTAAGCAAGCATTGTTGTAGGGTTATTGTATTTCTCCCAGGGGTGGTAGGTCATTGAATGAGTGTGTTTATTGTTCTTCTCTAATTATAATGTGTTGAGCATTGTCACCGTTTTTTTTCTTCTCCAAAGTGTTGTTTAACAACTCAGTCCTTACATGGTTATTAGTCTGTTGGTTGTCACAATTTAATTAAATTGGCGTATTTCAGAGTGTAGCCTATAATCTTTGGTTTATGTTTTTTCTTGAAACGGTTTTGAGAGGTAATTCTTTAGCTTGCTTGTGTTCCCTCACTACAAATATGAAGTGGGGGACAGGGGGTGGGAGGAATTACAATCAGGCAACTCATAAACCCACTAAAAGTACATGGAATTGTTGAGCCTCTTTTGGTAAGTAGCCTAAAAACAAGCTTTCAAGATTACTATAATGCTTTATTTGCAGCACCTCTTGTTGTGTAATCAAATTTTTTCTTACCTTGCATAACATATTTTCGTAATTCAAGAAGTTCATTGCCCTCTCCTGTTTTGTGGCAGAATGAGCTCGAGAGATGTTCGATAGTTCTGGCAACAATCTGCCCACATTGGCGATGTGATAGGACATTTAAACAATGTAGCCAATACTCGCAAACAAAATATCTGTAATAAAAGCTACATTGGCGATTGTACTAATTTGTCAATGGCTACATTGTTACACTACCTAAATCAACACTGCGTAAACTTTGCGCAACGGCATTTCTTGGATCAACGGGCTACAGATGTTTTGTTTGTAAATCAGTTCTGAACTTATTTTTTCAGTCAAGGTTTTTTAAGACATGTCACAACATCAGAGACCATCAGAAAACAAGGCAAGTATCTTATTAACAAAGTCTTTATTACGCTTTTATTACACAATATTTCCATAAAGGAACATTACGTTTTTGACTATTGTCGACATGCAGAAGTGTGCTAAAATGTGCTTGTCATACAGCACATGCAGAGCAAAGCTTTGTCGTAGAGAACTTAACTTATATTAGGTTATGTATTGGATCATTGAATGATTGATTTTGTTCCTCTGGGAATAAAATTGATTTTAACCTGCACTTGATTTTATGTACTCTTAACCTCATAACCTCTTTGAGTGTCCTGAAAGGCGTCTGCCAAATATAATTATTTATTTATTATTTATTAATGGTTATCAGATGATGATGGCAGTGTGTGTTGACACACCAGGGGGACCAGAGAGTATGCTGTTGAGGAATGTCCCCAGACCTCAACCTGAACATGGAGAAGTCCTCATCAGAGTCCATGCAACCGCTCTCAACAGGGCTGACACATTGCAGGTATACCCCTATAGACCATATGAATATTCATCTATGGCTCTACGATCAACAACAAAGTCTTTGTCACTTCTTTCACCTCATATTGGACAGTTACGGGATCACTGTTGGCCTATGCCTGTATAGCGTCGCCTATAGCAAGCTCATATAGAGGTGAATGTTCAGCAGGCTCAATTGCTAAAGTGAATTGCAAATATGATGTTAACTATTGTTATGCTAAGATAATAAAGTTGTTTCTATTTTTGACAGAGGAAAGGACTGTACCCCGCTCCACCTGGTGAGAGTGAGGTCCTGGGTTTGGAGGCGGCTGGTACGGTGGTCAGCGTTGGCCCAGGGGGTTAGGAAGTGCTGGGGGCCCGGGGACCGGGTCATGACCCTACTCTCTGGAGGGGGGTATGCCGAGTATGTGGCTGTTCCAGAGGAGCTTCTCATGTCTATCCCCCCTCATCTCACTGTCTACCAGGCTGCTGCCATACCTGAGGCCTGGCTCACTGCATTTCAGCTCCTGCACTTCGTAGGTAGGCCCATATAGCCACTTTTCTTTTTCTTTAGCCTTTCTTTAACCAGGAAGTCCCATTGAGGTCAGAATACCTCTTTTCCAAGGGAGACCTGCTTGGCCAAGAAAGGCTACTTCATATTTGCATTGAAGCATTCAATCAAAGCACCGATCAGGAAACCCAGACTTGTAGATGTATGATGTACAGTGGCTTGCGAAAGTATTCACCCCCCTTGGCATTTTTCCTATTTTGTTGCCTTACAACCTGGAATTAAAATGGATTTTTTTGGGGTTTGTATTATTTGATTTACCACTTTGAAGATGCAAAATATTTTTGTGTGTGAAACAAACAAGAAATAAGACAAAAAAACGGAAAACTTAAGCATGTATAACTATTCACAGCTGCAAGTCTCTTGGGGTATGTCTCTATAAGCTTGGCACATCTAGCCACTGGGATTTTTGCCCTTTCTTCAAGGCAAAACTGCTCCAGCTCCTTCAAGTTGGATGGGTTCCGCTGGTGTACAGCAATCTTTAAGTCATACCACAGATTCTCAATTGGATTGAGATCTGGGCTTTGACTAGGCCATTCCAAGACATTTAAATGTTTCCCCTTAAACCACTTGAGTGTTGCTTTAGCAGTATGCTTAGGGTCATTGTCCTGCTGGAAGGTGAACCTCCGTCCCAGTCTCAAATCTGTGGAAGACTGAAACAGGTTTCCCTCAAGAATTTCCCTGTATTTAGCGCCATCCATCATTTCTTCAATTCTGACCAGATTCCCAGTCCCTGCCGATGAAAAACATCCCCACAGCATGATGCTGCCACCACCATGCTTCACTGTGGGGATGGTGTTCTCGGGGGGATGAGAGGTGTTGGGTTTGCGCCAGACATAGCGTTTTCCTTGATGGCCGTAAAGCTCAATTTTAGTCTCATCTGACCAGAGTTTTTTTTTCTTTAAGCAATGGCGTTTTTCTGGCCACTCTTACGTAAAGCCCAGCTCTGTGGAGTGTACGGCTTAAAGTGGTCCTATGGACAGATACTCCAATCTCCGCTGTGGAGCTTTGCAGCTACTTCAGGGTTATCTTTGGTCACTTTGTTGCCTCTCTGATTAATGCCCTCCTTGCCTGGTCTGTGAGAATTGGTGGGCGGCCCTCTCTTGGCATTTTTTTAAATAATGGATTTAATGGTGCTCCGTGGGATGTTCAAAGTTTCTGATATTTTTTTTATAACCCAACCCTGATCTGTACTTCTCCACAACTTTGTCCCTGACTTGTTTGGAGAGTTCCTTGGTCTTCATGGTGCCACTTGCTTGGTGGTGCCCCTTGCTTAGTTGCGTTGCAGACTCTGGGCCCTTTCAGAACAGGTGTATATATACTGAGATCATGTGACAGTTACACCAGATCTTATTTAGGGGCTTCATTTCACTTCATCAATTTGGACTATTTTGTGTATGTCCATTACATGAAATCCAAATAAAAATCCATTTAAATTACAGGTTGTAATGCAACAAAATAGGAAAAACGCCAAGGGGGGTGAATACTTTTGCAAGGCACTGTATCTCTTCTTTCATAGCTCAGGTGAAGGAGGGAGAGATAGTGTTGGTGCACGCTGGGGCCAGTGGGGTTGGGACTGCCGCTGTCCAGCTGGTCCGATTGGCTGGGGCTATTCCCATAGTTACTGCAGGAAGCTCTGAGAAACTACAGATGGCAGAGACACTGGGAGCCGCTGCTGGTTTCAACTACAAACAGGAGGACTTTGCAGAGAAAGTTAATGATTTTACAGCAGGTGAGTTAATAATCAGATCAATGAGAACATAAATGCCACTTCACATAATAATGAATCTAGGGTGGTTGTGAACTGCTTACAACATTGAGTTAGTGCATTTGATAATTGTCTGTATCATATGCATACAAACCATTGTGTGTAAATACAAATCTTAGACATATGGAGAGAGATGTATCCAGTGAAACCATTGGATCAAACTAGACTAAACAGGCAAGCTTTGTGCAGGCAGAGGAGCAAACGTCATCCTGGACTGCATTGGTGGGTCCAACTGGGAGAGGAACGTGGCCTGTCTGGCCACAGATGGACGATGGGTGCTGTATGGCTGCATGGGAGGAAAGGCCGTGGCGGGAGACATACTGGGCAAGCTGCTGTCCAAACGAGGACAGCTCCTCTGTAGTCTCCTCAGGTCACGCAGTCTGCAGGTGAAGTATTGACGATTGATTGATTGATCAATTGATTTATTGTCCTTTGACAGGAAATTCTTTCCACAGTAGAAACTAATAGTATAAGGTAAATACAAAAGGTTAAAATATGATGTCTGTGAAAGGCAGCGCTGACAACACAGATTTTCTGTGTCAATGATGCCCAAAGTTATACTTACAATATGTATGAAAAATGTATGCACTCACTAACTGTAAGTCGCTCTGGATAAGAGCGTCTGCTAAATGACTAAAATGTAAATGTGTTGGACATTGACCTCTAACTCAAACACCATGGAATGAAATACTGAAGCCGTACCCCCAGCCTAGAACACTGTCTCTGTTACCACTTTCTAAATGTGAAGTGTGTGATCCTGTATTTTCTCCTGTTAGTATAAAGCAGATCTGGTGAGAGCCTTCTCAGAAAGGGCCCTACCTCACTTCTCAGACCCCGCCAGCTCCCCCTGCCGCCTGAGGCCTGTGATCGACTGCACGTTCAGTCTGGAACAGGTAGCTGATGCTCACAGACACATGGAAGCCAATAGAAACATGGGAAAGATTGTCATTAATGTCATGAACCCGCAATGATGGGACCACCGGTGACTTGTCATCACTCCGTCTACTTCCAAACTCAACATTTGGTTGAGCAACTTGGTTGATGACCATTCACCTCTATAACGTATATCAAAATAAAATAAGATGTTATTTGTCACATGTGCCGAATACAACAGGTGTAGACTTTACCATGAAATGCTTATTTACGAGCCCTTTCCCAACAATGCAGAGTTAGAAAGTAAAAAAAAATTAATAATAAGAAGAAAAAAAGGGAAATAGTACCACAATAAAATAACAATAAGGAGGATATATACAAGGAGTACTGGTACCGACTCAATGTGCAGGGGTACGAGGTAGTAATGAGGCTATATACAAGGAGTACCGGTACCGAGTCAATGTGTGAGGTAGTTGAATGCATATGTCCTGAATGTTATGTGATTCTTATTATGTTTGATTTGTATTTGTGGGAGTAGTTACATGTCCCCCTCTGTAGGAGGGTGCAAGGAGACCGAGTTGATAAATACTGTGTTAAAAGCTAGATATAAAGATTTCATGTTTCCTACTAACTGTGGTGTCAGTGTCTCCTCACTCTCCTCAACTTAACAGTATTTGTATCACCTTCTGTTTATTGTTCAATCAAATTATGCATATAATTTTTTACTTAGTCTGAAACAAAAACTGTTACTGGTAATAGTAAAATTTGTTTGGCCCATCTGTGATTTCATTATAGACAAGAATAAACAACATTGTTTGTAATCATTTATTTGCTGTTCATAACTAATCATTACCACACATTAAATCAGTATAGTAGACATGTTTTATAGCCTATGTAATACTATGTGTTGATTTTCTATATTCAGTCGGGCCACAAAGATTGTCTCTGGTAGAAACGTATGGCAAATATTCTATGTACATGACCACAGGTACCCCGAGAGCGCGTGGGTGGTTTTATGCGCACACCCACCACAAGCTAACCCGTGACTAGAACCCGGAATTGGCAGGCTAAAATGGAATGACTTCCTGAACTCACCGTCAAGTTTTGTTTTGGGAGGGAGATAATTTTATGTGAGCCTACACTTTGTTTGTTTTTATACTGGCAAATGCGTAAAAATAAGTGTGCCGTCGTGGACAAAGATTCTAGGGACACCAAAAAAAAGACAACGTCGTCCCCCGTCGAAACGAAGTGGGTAGAATGTGGCGGTGTGATCTTTCGCCTTATGCACTTTACCTTCTTTTCATGCTTAGTTTATCTAAGGGTAACTTTGACGGTGCCTTAACCAATCATCTGTTTCAGGCTAAGTCTTTTTAAAGGCGAATTATTTCTGTACTTTTCTTCTCATTTAATGTTTTTATTGCCGCAAATTAATAAACTACAGAGGTTCATTCAAGGTCCGGAGCATGTATGATTGAGTGTGAATGGTTTTGTGGGGTATGCAGTGGTCGAAAAAGAAGCCAATTGCCATACTTGAGTAAAAGTAAAGATACCTTAACAGAAAATTACTCAAGTAAAAGTCTAAAAGTATTTGGTTTTAAATATACGTATCAAAAGTAAATGTACTTGCTAAAATACTGTATACTTAAGTATAAAAGGTTAAAGTATAAATCATTTCACATTCCTTATATTAAGCAAACCAGACGGTACTATTTTCTTGTCTTTCTTTTTCTTTACGGATATCCAGGGGCACACAACACAGACATAATTTACAAACGAAACAGTTGTGTTTAGTGAGTCTGCCAGATCAGAGGCAGTAGGGATGAGCAAGGATGTTCTCTTGATAAGTGCTTGAATTGGACCATTTTCCTGTCCTGCTAGTAGTACTTTTGGGAGTCAGGGAAAATATATGGAGTAAAAGGTACATTATTTTCTTTAGGAATGTAGTGGAGTATAAGTTGTCAAAAATATAAATAGTAAAGTACAGATACCCCAAAAAAACTAGGATGGATACATACAGTAACATAATGTAGCAACATTTTAGCATCCTTGTCTCATAAGCTAAAACTCAAAATACTAACAAAATATTTCACAATGTCCTCATAGCATACCTGTCATAACTGTTGTATTTATCACTGTTGCAGATCTAAAACATGGCGGAACCAAACCAAAGGCCTCAACGTAAGATGTCCACCGCAGGAGACAGTCTATACAAGGTACTAGGACTGGAGAAAGGGGCGTCCGCAGAAGAAATAAAGAAGGCATACAGGTATAAAGCTCTCAACCACAGACAGAAGCTTAGCGAAAGACTACAGAACAGTTCAAAACCTGTCAGCTTTCTTCATAAAAGCACCGTGAACTAAAACTAGTATAGGCTGACCTGACGTTGCTGTTCTTTCCTATTTAAAAAAAAAAGAAAAAAAGATTTATAGTAAATCTCTACGTATTTGCCTTCTTCTCACAGGAAACTAGCACTGAGGCATCACCCTGACAAGAACCCAGACAACCCCGAGGCAGCTGAGAAGTTTAAGGAGATCAACAATGCCAACTCCATCCTCAACGACGAGACAAAGCGGAAGGTCTATGACGAGTACGGTTCCATGGGTCTTTATGTCGCAGAGCAGTTTGGAGAGGAGAGCGTTAAATATTACTTCCTCATGCACAAGTGCTGGTTCAAGGTAAGAAGTCTTTAAGATCTATACACATTTTCATACGTATACACTTTTCAGACGCCTACACCCAAAAGAGACTTATTGTACCAGTGTACCACTTAATGAGTGCATACTGTACATTTTTTTGGTGAACATTTGATTCCTGTTGGAAATGAACTCACGACCTTGGCGTTGCTAAATTGTACTGTATGTTAATCATTAGAGTCATTATTAGGGTTAAAAGAAAACAAAACTCTGTATTATAGTTTTTGTAACACTTTTAGAAGTGTATGCATGAAAACCTATGCCCTGTGTGACAAAAATCCCCTGTGTATTTCTCAGACCCTGATGGTGTGCTGTGGGATCTTCACATGCTGCTGCTGCTGCTGTTTCTGCTGCTTCTGCTGTGGGAAGTGCAAGCCACCGGGGGAAGAGGAGCACGGATACGTAGACCCAGATGACCTTGAGGCCCAGATCAGAGCTGAGCAGGACAGGGGTGAGTAGGGCAAGGTTTGTGGGGGAAGGGGCAGCAGGCAGTGGTGTAGTGGAGGGTGTACGCAGGTATTGCGTATACTCACTTCTTAATCCCCACTGATGTGTACCGAAGTAGTGTAGTGGAGGTATACGCCGTTTTAAATTAATGAGGCTGATGGAACAGATTAGAATGTTTAGCTTAAAATGTTGTTAAACCAGTTATTTCTTCACAGGCGCAGCGATGTACTGATGGCGGTAGGCCTTTGCATGAATGTTCCAAAATGCAATTTGTGGGAATGCAGTTCTAAAATGTGCACTGCACATGCGAGCGGTTTCATGGACAGAGATGGAAACATCCATTAGAAATGTAGAAAGGGGGGATTTAAATATACAAAAAATGTAATGGGTTGCTAATATGACTAGGATAATGCCTTTGGTTGCTAGACAATTAAAGAAAGTTTAAAGAAAATCAATAGAACAGGAGAAAGCATATGAGTAAGTCCCGTGTAGCTCAGTTGGTAGAGCATGGCGCTTGCAACGCCAGGGTTGTGGTTTCGATTCCCACGGGGGGCCAGTATTATTTATTTGTATTTTTTATGAATAAATAAATGTATGCACTCACTAACTGTAAGTCGCTCTGGATAAGAGCGTCTGCTAAAATAAAAAATTGTAAAGTCGCTCTGGATAAGTCGCTCTGGATAAGAGCGTCTGCTAAATGACTAAATTGTAAATGTAAGTCTATATAAAAATAATTGCCTCCACGTTTCTATGGTGGGATTTTGGCTACAGGCTACTTTCAAGTAAGGTAAGACATGCCTCATAATATGAAGTAAAACGTCCAGTTTTCAAACAATTAACGAATCGAAAAAATATGGCGCCGCTAATGCTAGGCCTAACCATCTTCTGGAAGATGGAAAGGCTTTCCCAAAAACCTTCTCCATTAAATGTTAACTACAGTAGCTACAAAGTAGTCTACCTGTCAGAATTATATCAGGATTATTTGCATCAATCCAGTAGCCGTATTCTTTTGCAAACTCCAACTCGTGCTACGGAAACACTGCTAACCAAACAACAGTGCTAGGTGCCTGCACACTTGAATGAAAGGGTAACTACACTAGACCTAAAAAATTGTCTCCTAATGTGGTTTAAGCATTGTTATGGACTTCGGAAAGTGTTCAGACCCTTTCACTTCTTCCACATTTTGTTACGTTACAGCCTTATTCTAAAATGGATTAAATAAAATACAAATCCTCATCAATCTACACACAATACCCCATAATGACAAAGCGAAAACAGGTTTTTAGAAATATTTGCAAATGTATAAAACATAAAAAAGATACCTTATTTACACAACTATTCAGACCCTTTGCTATGAGACTTTTCATTTCACAACCAGTGGTGAGACTATAATAATTATGTCTCAGCCAGGCCCAAGTTCAGCCTCTGGCAACTCAGGTGAAACTCCAAACTGGGTCGGCTTGAACTCATTTTGTTCATGTGCTTACAGCTAATGATTTGTGCTGCTGTGGGCTATGTACTGTAGCAGCTTAGTGACCCATATGCTTTTGGTTTGTCCTCTTTTAGCAATTGGCAATTTAGCTCTGAATGTGCTAGCTTAGCAAATGCCATCACTTTCCCCCAATTCAAGCCTGCTTGTTTGATTGTGATGATAATGACATGATTAAGGCAATGCTTTCGTTTTGTTACTGCCTGTTAATCTACATATAAAACATGGTTTGAATTGTGGATGATGATGACGATCAATACTAATAGGAGGGGTTGGGTAAACAATAGCAGAGCACAAACTTCCATCTCATATGGACTAATGTACAGTACCAGTCAAAAGTTTGGACACACCTCCTCATTCAAGGGTTTTTCTTTATTTTTACTATTTTCTACATTGTAGAATAATAGTGAAGACATCAAAACTATGAATTGACACGTATGGAATCATGTAGTAAACAAATCAAAATATATTTTGACTTTTAGTAGCCACCCTTTGCCTTGATGACAGCGTTGCACACTCTTGGCATTCTCTCAGTCAGCTTCATGAAATAGTCACCCAGAGTGCTTTTCCAACAGTGATTGTGGAGGCCAGGTCATCTGATGCAGCACTCCATCACTCTCCTTCTTGGTCAAATAGCTCTTACACAGCCTGGAGGTGTGTTTTGGGTCATTGTTCTGTTGAAAAACAAATGATAGTCCCACTAAGTGCAAACCAGTTGGGATGGCATATCGCTGCAGAATGCTGTGGGAGCCATGCTGGTTAAGTGTGCCTTGAATTCTAAATAATTCACTGACATTGTCACCAGCAAAGCACCATCACACCACCTCCTCCATGCTTCACGGTGGGAACCACACATGCGGAGATCATCCGTTCACCTACAAAAAACTCAAATTTAGACTCATCATACCAAAGGACAGATTTCCACCGGTCTAATGTCCATTGCTCGTGTTTCTTGGCCCAAGCAAGTCTCTTCTTCTTATTCGTGTCCTTTAGTAGTGGTGTCTTTGCAGCAATTTGACCATAAAGGCCTGATTCACGCAGTCTCCTCTGAACAGTTGATGTTGAGATGTGTCTGTTACTTGAACTCTGTGAAGCATTTATTTGGGCTGCAATCTGAGGTGCAGTTAATTGGCAATTTCTGAGGCTGGTAACTCTAATGAACTTATCCTCTGCAGAAGAGGTAACTCTGGGTCTTCCTTTCCTGTGGCGGTCCTCATGAGAGCCAGTTACATCAAAGCACTTGATGGTTTTTGCGACTGCACTTGAATAAACTTTTTAAAAGTTATTGAAATGTTCTGTATTGACTGACCTTCATGTCTTAAAGTAATGATGGACTGTTGTTTCTCTTTGCTTATTTGAGCTGTTCTTGCCATAATATGGACTTGGTCTTTTACCAAATACGGCTATCTTCTGTATACCAACCCTACCTTGTCACAACACAACTGATTGGCTCAAACGCGTTAAGAAGGAAAGAAATTCCACAAATTAACTTTGAACAAGGCACACCTGTTAATTGAATTGCATTTCAGGTGACTACCTCATGAAGCTGGTTGAGAGAATGCCAAGAGTGTGCAAAGCTGTCATCAAGGCAAAGGGTGGCTACTTTGAAGAATCTCACATTTGTTTAACACATTTTGGTTACTACATAATTCCATGTGTTATTTCATAGTTTTGATGCCTTCATTATTATTCTACAATGTAGAAAATAGTCAAAATAAAGAAAAACCCTTGAATGAGTAGGTGTGTCCAAACTTTTGACTGGTACTTTAAGTGCTGCCTGCTCAAGAGAAGAGCTCAGTGAATTAACAGTACATCTCTGTTCTCATTGCAGGTGAACAGCAACCCATTGTGGTCCAACCTCATACTGCAGCTGATGAGAAGGCAGAGTCCGACCACGACCAGTCTGCATCCAACCACTCAAACCCTATATTCACCCCAATGGACCAGTAAGAACCTGTCTTCCCATAGCCTGGTCCCAGATCTGTTAGTGCTGTCTTGCCAACTCCTGTGGTCATAAGGACTTGGCAAGACCGAACAGACAGACATGGGACCAGTCTAGTCTTCCCAGTCTGCTACTGACAACCAAGATGGTCCACTCCACTGACAATACTGTGATCAGTTTCTGGGGTTCAGTGGCAGGTGCTTAAATGCTACAGTCGACCCTCCGTACTATGGCCAAAGCCATATACAGTGCCTTCAGAAAGTATTTATACCCCTTTACTTATTGTGCATTTTGTTGTGTTACAGCCCGAATTCAAAATGGCTTAAATATATTTTTTTTATTTCCGATCTACATACAATACCCCATAATGACAATGTGAAAACCTGTTTTTTAGAAATGTTTGCAGATTTATTGAAAATTAAATACAGAAATATTTTATTTACATAAGTATTGACACCCCGGAGTCAATACTTGTTCGAATCACCTTTGGCAGCGATTACAGCTGATAGTCGTTTTGGGTGAGTCTCTAAGAGCGTTGAACACATGGATTGTACAATATTTTCACATTATTATCTTTAAAATCTTCAAGCTCTGTCAAGTTGGTTGTTGATCATTGCTAGACAGCCATTTTCAAGTATTGCCGTAGATTTCCAAGCCGATTTAAGTCAAAACTGTAACTAGGCCACCCAGGAACATTCAATGTCTTCTTGGTAAGCCACTCCATTGTATATTTGGCCTTGTGTTTTAGGTTATTGTCCTGCTGAAAGGTGAATTAATCTCCCAGTGTCTGTTGGAAAGCAGACTGAACCAGGTTTTCCTCCAGGATTTTGCCTGTGCTTATAGCTGTATTCCATTTCTTTTCATCAACAACAAAAACACTCTGTAGTCCTTGACGATGACAAGCATACCCAGGACATAAAGTTCATTTCTTTGCCACATTTTTTTGCAGTTTTACTTTAGTGGCTTAATGCAAACAGGATGCATGATTTGGAATATTCTGTACAGACTTCCTTCTTTTCACTTTGTCATTTAGGTTAGTATCGTTGAGTAACTACAATGTTGTTGATCCATCCTCAGTTTTCTCCCATCACAGCTATTAAACTCTGTAACTGTTTTAAAATTACCATTGGCCTCATGGTGAAATCCCTGAGCAGTTTCCTTCCTCTTCAGCAACTAAGTTAGGAAGGGTGCCTGCATCTTTGTAGTGACTGGGTGTATTGATACACCATCCAAAGTGTAATTAATAACTTCACCATGCTCAATGTCTGCTTTTATTAATTATTTTTTGTATCTACCAATAGGTGCCCATTCACTCCCCCTTGTGCCCAGTCCATGCAACTTATGTGACTTGTTAAGCAAATTGTTACTCCTGAACTTATTTAGGCTTGCCATAACAAAGGGGTTGAATACTTATTGACTCAAGACATTTCAGCTTTTCATTTTTAATTAATTAGTAAAAATGTCTAAAAACATAATTCCACTTTGACATTATGGGGTATTGTGTGTAGGCCAGTGACACAAAATCTCAATGTAATCGATTTAAAATTCAGGCTGTAACACAACAAAATGTGGAAAAAGTCAGGTAGTGTGAATACTTTCTGAAGGCGCTGTATGTGGATGTATATTTCTATATCTTCATATAAGACTGTATATGTCTCATTTTAATTGCCAGTTGTGGTCCATGTTTACAAGAATCTTACATTCTTATGATTGTGTGAACTGCCAAGTTTACCTTAATGCTGAGGGGTTCTTTTGTAGATTTTCAAAATGAGAATTTTTAAATAGTACGAAACCGTATGTACAGGGTAACGGCTTCTATGTATGCTTAATGGACCGTGTAGAGCGGGTGATTGAATAGAAACTGATGTGCCTCCCAAATGGCTCCTAATCTAGTGCTACTACTTTTGACCTCAGCTACGTAGTGCACTACTTTTCACCAGGGCCCATAAGTGTCTGGTCAAAAGTAGTGCACTATATAGGGAATAGGGTGCCATTTGAGACGTAGCCTGAGTCTGAAGTTGGAAATATATGTGCACTTTAAGCGCCTTCTAAGCATAATGAACCGCTGTCATAGGAAGGGCTGCTGTGGACTGACATTCCCCCTGTTGTGGGAGCCAATAACTGCAACTTTAACCTGTGAACAAATGTGAAGAAATGCCTAAAGTTTAAATGTGTTGTTTATATGTTTGTTTGTAGGCTACAGAGCAATATTTGTTCAGGCTTTATTTTCAGTTTTCCAAAGCTTATCATTCCAATTGTCGGATTCTGTACTCCAACCCCAGTCCTGTACTCACATATGCTCACTCGTCATTCATGTCTCTCAGTTTTCTCTCTGTGTGTAATAATATTGGAGATCTTGTCATTTAAAACTCTGTATTCCTGACCCATATTATTTTCTATTTCTTCTGATGATGTCATCTTGTGTGATCTAGATTCATTGTCAAATTCCCTTTCTGTACAGTATATATATTTTTTTATATTGAGCGCATCTTACGCACGCCTGCTAGACTTCTTGGACACCAAGTAATGCCAGTTGTTGAAAGCCATTGTCTCACACACCAGCAATCCTCAGATTTTAAAGTGCCTTTCTGTTGTAGTTCACCTGTTTCAATACTGCCGAAATTCCAATGCAGGTAAAACATATTTCTGTAATTGTTCACCCAACCTAATATGGATAGAACAAAGGCCTTCCTTTAATAAGAACAGTGATATTTGTTTTTTGTTTGTTTTTATATACTGTTTATACTGTAAAATATATTTATATGTGTGTATATGATCAAATAAATTGGGGATTATATGATAAATTCTTTGCCTATTGATGTCTTCTGCATAACTTATTTTTCATGACGATACCATACTTCTACAGGAAATAAATGTGAGTAAAGGTGCTTGTAGTACAGAAAAACACGAGACTTGATACCTAATTTATTTACAGTCAATGCTTGATACACAATGGGTAGCATTAGCCACAATAGACAACTGACTTGGAGTGAGTTGGCCTGTTATGATAGGTTGATTGTGTAATCATGGCCCCCAGTCAGTTAGCTCCCAGTGTCCATACAAACACCACACCTGATTAACAGGTGTCAGGTTTTCAGCAGACGCAGGCATGAACCAGATCAATGTTGAGAGGCTGACGGAGTTAAATTGGAGAGGCAGCGATGTCATAAGGACAGTGGCGTTTCCTTTTGGTTTCATAGCCACTGTTTAAGCCTATGTTTGATTCTTACTAAACTTTCAGGAGCTGTTTTGAAGGAGATTATGGATTCTGAGAAACACCATCTCATCGAGGATGATACTACAACACACTCAATGTCATTACTAGGGTATGTAGCCTATTTTATTTGCAACCTTTAAGGCCTATGTTAGGAAATGTTACTGTTTAATGTTGCATTATCTTTCTTAATCTCAGTTAACAGCTGTTCAGTCCAAATTGCAGTAATCGATAAATGGACAGCTCCATTATCAGTTTATAGTTGATAGAATTATGTGTGGTTCTGTGTGAAAGAAATACAGCCTAGGCATGACATGTATACAAAGTGCTTAGTTATCATTAAATGTACCCAAGTTGCTGATTGTCATACATATTTGTATGTTTTGTCCCGAACTTTCTTGCTGTTTTTAATGCAAGAGAGTAAGATTTCCATTGTATTTATTATTACATGACCTACTGTATATGACAAATCAACTTGATCTTGGGACGTTTTCTCTCAGGCCATTCCCTGGGTCTGAGGAAGACAAATGTCCCAGTTCAACAGCAGAGACTGGAGACAGACCTGCTGCAGCTGACGGGTGGCAACCTGTTACTGCTACTGGTCACTGCCATGAGAACAACAGGGTTTCGTGGACAGAGAGTCGTGAGAAGCAGCTGGCCAAGAGGAAACTCATCATCGCCTCTGTTGTCAGCCTGGTCTTCATGGTTGGAGAGGTAGTCGGTAAGATTATGATAAATAATGACACACGGAGAAGATAATGGAGCCATATAACAGAAAGAGACTAATAGATTTTGTAGCTTTTCCTATTTACTGAAGTTGTAAAGTATTACATCTGGTGGATAAATTATATTTAGCCTCAGAACACTTTTGTGAAACGTGTGTGCGTGTGTATTTCATTTTCTCTATCCCAACAGGTGGCTACGCGGCACACAGTCTGGCTATCATGACCGACGCAGCTCATCTCCTCACAGACTTCGGTAGCATCATGGTCAGCCTCTTCTCTCTATGGGTCTCCTCCAGACCTCCCACCAAAGCGATGAACTTTGGCTGGCATCGCTCAGGTTGGTTTGACTTTATAAGAACTCAGACTGGCACCATTTGTCAATATGCCTTGTGTTAATCAGGTGAACTTTCCTGAGCATGTTTCAGTGAGCTTCAGTACATTCAGAAGATACACACTCTGTGTGTATTTGGATAGGGAAGCAAATAAATTATCCTTTGTATTTGAACAGCAGCCTATTTATTCAGTGTGAGAGAGTTTACTCATGTAGATTTTGATGCGGTTTTTGTACAGGGGGTGTGAATAGTGAGTAAATTAATTGACACCTTAAGTAAACGTTTCTCTAATTTCCTGGGAACATCAATGTGTCAACATTGATATGACCAGATATCATTCTCAATAAGTCCTTCATGGTCACGTGTGTTCTGAAAGTGGTCATTGTGATTAAAAGACACTATGGAAGTTAAGTTGCTAATTGTGTACTTCCAATGTGGCTTGAATGTTGGCTGTATCACGTATAAATGATATAATATCAATCCACTTCTTATTGTCCCTATAATGTTCTGCAGAAATCCTGGGTGCCTGTCTGTCAGTGCTGTCCATCTGGGCTGTGGCAGGAGTGCTGGTGTTCATCGCTATCCAGAGGATCCTTAACGATGACTATGAGATCCACAGCCAGATCATGCTCATTACCTCTGGCTGTGCTGTGGGGGTCAATGTCTTGTGAGTAAAGCTTTATTTGTCAATTGTTTTATTTTTTGGCATTCGTGATTGGTTGTGAAGGTGTGAGAGACATAGACTAGTCCCAGATCTGTTTGTGCTCTCTTGCCCACTACTATGGTAATTGCCAAACTATAGGACTTGTCAATACAGCATGAACAGATCTGGATGAGACCTGGTCAGTTGTAGGTAATTGGCTGCTCTTCTAACAATAGGCTTTGTTTGTTTGTTTGTTTGTGAAGAATGGCCCTAATCCTCCATCAGTCCAGTCACGGCCCCTCCTACCACCGACCCCATGACGATACAGTCAACCTATCACACGGCCACTCTCACGGACTCCCTGGTGGCCATGGCAACACCAGCGTGAGAGCAGCTTTTATCCATGTAGTAGGGGACCTGTTGCAGAGTCTGGGGGTACTGCTGGCTGCTACCATTATACACTTCTGGGTCAGTGATGCTGTCAACTTGACTTGCCTTATTCCTTTTAGCTCATAGTGGAGCAAAATGCCTTAGCGGTTATTCTTCAGCAAACCCTGCCATCCACAGACAAACGGTAGGATGAGATATTCATGCCGCAGAATACGATAACCATACTTACTGTAGGCTATACCTGCAACTCTGGCTAAGATTTAGAGGAAAACAACAGCCAATTTGAATGTGTCATCTCTTTTATACCCAACAGCCTGAGTATAAAATAGCAGATCCCATTTGTACCTTCATGTTCTCTGTGTTTGTGCTGGGAACAACTGTCACTATCCTGAAGGACATCTTCAGGATACTCATGGAAGGTGAGTACACAGGTTATCATCCAAACCTTGAAGTAAATACTGTTGCCTATGTATCTATCATTCTGGCTATGGACCTTGAAAATGTGTAACGAAGTTAAACAAAATAAATCCTTAAAGGCTACATCATAAAAGGTTATTGCATGTAATAGTTTCACTGTATAGAATGTTATCATATGCCTCCTTAGTGTTTTTTTTCTGTGTGACTTTATACAGGGGTTCCTAAAGGTATCGACTTCAACACTGTGAGAGAAATGCTGCTGTCGCTGAGAGGAGTCAAGGCCACACACAACCTCCACATGTGGGCCCTCACCTTGAGCCAGTCACAGCTCTCTGTACATGTGGCTATAGGTACGCACATGCCTACACGGACTAACACTACAATACTGTGTCTGTACAACATTCGGACAAGCACGCACACACACACACACCCATCTGAATATTCTGTCAGTTGTCAATCAGGAACACGTCAGTATTGGTGGTTTGTCTTTTGCATTGATGTGACTAAATATCTCACCAAAAATAATAGAATCCTATTTTGTTCTGAAGAGGAAGATGCCAGTCCCCAGCTGGTACTCATGGAGGCCACCAAGCTGCTGCAGTCAGAGTTTGGTTTCTCCAGCATCACCATCCAGGTAGAGCAGTATTCAGTAGAGATGGTCTACTGCATGCAGTGCCAGGACCCCACGGACTGACACCACTACCACCATGGGGGTTGAGACTGAACTATAGGGACCACTATGGGAGATTGACTGACTGAATCCATGATGGGGTTATTTGAGAACCCTGTACTAAATCTAGCATGTGCTGGCTAGCTACTCAATTGAGATTTATGTTAAGTTTGTCATGACAGACCACTATGGGGCCAAAGACTCTGCGGACGAGAGGGCCTTCTCTATCCTATGAGAGTGAAGAGTTCTTCAAAGCCAATGTCTGTACTGTATGCCTGTTACAGTATGCTGTGCGAGGTCACACAACTTTATTTCAACAGGGTGTACTGTACATTATACACCAGGAACATGAGGTGCTATCACTTCATGTTCCTCATATAGCACTTCTGTGGGAAAGCTCCTGTTTCGATCAATATTGGTTTTTCTAGTAAGATAACAGACAGATAGACAAGGTCAACAGAAAGTATCGTTGTCACAAATAATTAACATGTAACACAAGGAATGTTTTATGTAAAAGATCTGATCATATTAAATAATTACATGTATCATATTTATTTAGTTTATGTTATATAACAGGTGTTGAATATTAACATAAATACTGAAACATTTCAATCTCAAACGTTGTTTTTTTAAGCTCAACTCAGAGGCTTACGCTGAGAGCCGAAAGCAGCTCTAAGTTGAAAGTTTTCCTAAATGCTCTTCAGTTTGTAGACCTTTCAATTTGTAGACCTTTCAGTTTGTAGACCTTTCAGTTGGTAGACCTTTCAGTTGGTAGACCTTTCAGTTGGTAGACCTTTCAGTTTGTAGACCTTTCAGTTTGTAGACCTTTCAGTTTGTAGACCTTTCAGTTGGTAGACCTTTCAGTTGGTAGACCGTTCAGTTGCCTTATTTCCCTCTACATTCTTTCTGATTTACTACCAAGGTGAGACCGTGGTGATTTTGTGGGACATCACCGAGAGGGTGAGATTCAATCCAAGGCATTTAAAAGACCAGCACACTGGAAAGCCGACAATTCGGCTTTGAAAGGAAATTTCCGTGACGTCCGCGGAGATCACATAGTCACTGTAGACATTGCGCATGTAGACATCAAGCATGAATTACCTTTAAAAGTCAAGAGCCATGCGCTGCTCTATAACGTTCCTTGAATCCAGGACTTGGCTGTTCAGGCTCTGAGTAATGTGTTAAGCCTGGGGAACAGGCGCAGGGTGTTCTGTGTTCTCACCTCCATCACCGTCTCCAAGGGAACCCCTTTTATCCTACTGATGCACTCAGCACAGACACAGATGTTCTTCCACTCATTTCTCACCTACAGTATGTTTAAGACACAAATCAGAGAGAAGAGTAGTGTTAGTAATACCATCTCTATAAAATATTCGTAGATGTATAAATCACTTTCCAAAATTATTTGATCTACGACCACTTTCAAACCAGGATAAAGTCAATTGTTTATGGATTTCAATCTATGCTGTTGCTTTGTTTTTCTCTGACGGTGTGTTGGACTTTGTTTTTCTCTGACGGTGTGTTGGACTTTGTTTTTATTGTGTGTCAATAAATAAATGAACACGTAAACACCCCTACCTGTTTCTCTGGCCCCAAGGCAGGTAAAGCAGTTTCTAGACACATGCTCTCCAACGGCAGCTGTTTCACTAGCTTCTGCTTCTTGTGGGAAAACCCATTCACAAAAGAAAGAGAGATATAGGCCTAAGTTATAATCAGCACATCAAGTGACGGACAGTACAAGCCTCACTAAAATATACACTTCATCTGTTCAGATCAAATGCATCAAACAGTTATTATTTTTTAAACAATAAGTGAACAAGTGCTGTAGTGTTAGAACTACTTGGTGTGAGAAAACAAATCAAATCACAATTTATTTAAAGTGTACTTAACAGAAGCCTCGATACAGGAAATCATAACAATTAATCATTTTTGAAAAAGAAAACAGTGTGCATTATGCTCGGAATACATTGCTGGTGTAAAGTACAATACTAGTTCCCTTTTGAAGGGAACAATAGTGTTCTCTATCAGTCATTCAACAAGGCATTGTTATTTACCTGCTTCTCACTATAGATGGAGGAATGGAGAAGTACTCAGCTCTCACGCCCTCCATGGCAACCGTCAATGACACTCCGAGCAATTTCAGTGTCATTTACTAGAATACAATATGTAAACATTATTGAAGTGACTAGTGTTCCATTATTAAAGTGACCAGTGATTCCATGTCTATGTACATAGGGCAGCAGCATCTAAGGTGCAGGGTTGAGTAACCGGGTGGTAGCCAGCTAGTGACCGTGACTATGTTCAGGGCAGGGTACTGGGTGGAGGCCGGCTAGTGATGGCTATTTAACAGTTGATGGACTTGAGATAGAAGCCGTGGCTCGGGTTATTGATGTCCTTGATGACCTTCCTGTGAGATCGGGTGCTGTAGGTGTCCTGGAGGGCAGACAGTGCCCCCGGTGATGCGTTGGGCAGACCGCACCACCCTCTGGAGAGCCCTGCAGTTGCGGGTGGTGCAGTTGCCGTACCAGGCGGTGATACAGCCCGACAGGATGCTCTCAATTGTACATTTGTAAAAGTTTGTGAGGGTCTTAATGGCCAAGCCGAATTCTTCAGCATCTGGAGGTTGAAGAGATGCTGTCTGTGTGGGTGGACCATTTCAGATTGTCAATGATGTGTACACCGAGGAACCTGAAGCTTTTCACCTTCTCCAATGTCGTCCCGTCAATGTGGATGGGGGCATGCTCCCTCTGCTGTCTCCTGAAGTCCATGATCAGCTCCTTCGTTTTGTTGACGTTCAGGGAGAGGTTATTTTTCTGGCACCACTCCGCAAGGGCCCTCACCTCCTCCCTGTAGGCTCTCGTCATTGTTGGTAATCGGGCCTACTACTGTTGTGTCGTCTGCAAAGCTGATGATTGAGTTAATCCCATGCAGTTGTGGGTGAACAGGGAGTACAGGAGGGGGCTGAGCATGCACCCTTGTGGGGCCCCTGTGTTGAGGATCAGCGTAGTGGAGGTGTTGTTTCCTACTTTCACCACCTGGGGGCGGCCCGTCAGGATGTCCAGGACCCAGTTGCACAGGGTGGGGTTCAGACCCAGGGCGCCGAGCTTAATGATGAGCTTGGAGGGTACTATAGTGTTGAAGGCTGGGCTGTAGTCAATAAACAGCATTCTTACATAGGTATTCCTCTTGTCCACCTGTGATAACCGCTACCAGCCCGGACACCTGCTCAAACACAAATGGGAGAATTGCATGACGATAGACAAAGGTTCCTGGGGCTACAGGAGAAACGCCCAGCTCAAAGACTACTTCACCATCAAGCAGCTTGTGGTGGTCAGTTTCAAATGGTTCTGATAGCACTTTGTTTTACGGTAACCAGGAGATACCGAAACAGTTACTAACACCACAAAACTTCATCCACGACCATAACAAAAAGTAGCTGAATCAGTCCTAATCATGTGTGTAACAGCATCATTTTCCGGTAAAGTGCAGTCAAAGTCTAAAGTATTTTCACCTGGTTTTGAAATCACTGCTGGTCCCGTGTGTTTCTTATATAGCACTTTAAAACTGTGTTCTTTCTTCTCTCCTAGACTGAATAAATCAGTCCTCATGAATCTACACACAATACCCCATAATGACAAAGCGAAAACTGGTGTTTAGAAATGTTTGCAAATTTATATATACCTTTATTTACATAAGTATTCAGACCCTTTGCTATGAGACTCGAAATTGAGTTCATGTGCATCCTGTTTCCACTGATCCTCCTTGAGATGTTTCTACAACTTTATTGGAATCCACCTGTGGTAAATTCAATTGATTGGACATGATTTGGAAAGGCACACGCCTGTCTATAAAAGGTCCCACAGTTGACAGTGCATGTCAGAGCAAATACCCAGCCATGAGGTCGAAGGAATTGTCCGTAGAGCTCTGAGACAGGATTGTGTTGAGGCACAGTTCTGGGGAAGGGTACCAAAACATTTCTCCAGCATTGAAGGTCCCCAAGAACACAGTGGCCTCCATCATTCTTAAATGGAAAAAGTTTGGAACCACCAAGACTCTTCCTAGAGCTGGCCGCCCTGCCAAACTGAGCAATCGGGGGAGAAGGGCCTTGGTCAGGGAGGTGACCAAGAACCTGATGGTCACTCTGACAGAGCTCCAGGGTTCCTCTGGGGAGATGGGATAACCTTCCAGAAGGACAACCATCTCTGCAGCACTCCACCAATCAGGCCTTTATGGTAGAGTGGCAAGACGGAAGCCACTCCTCAGTTAAAGGCACATGACAGGCTGCTTGGAGTTTGCCAAAAGGCACCTAAAGACTCTCAGACCATGAGAAACAAGATTCTCTGGTCTGATGAAACCAAGATTGAACTCTTTGGCCTGAATGCCAAGCGTCACGTCTGGAGGAAAACTGGCACCATCCCTAAGGTGAAGCATGGTGGTGGCAGCATCATGCTGTGGGGATGTTTTTCAGCGGCAGGGACTGGGAGACTAGTCGGGTTCGAAAAGATGAACGGAGCAAAGTACAGAGAGATCCTTGATGAAAACCTGCTCCAGAGCATTCAGGACCTCAGACTGGGGCGAAGGTTCACTTTCCAACAGGACAACAACCCTAAACACAGCTAGGACAACGCAGGAGTGGCTTCGGGACAAGTCTCTGAATGTTCTTGAGTGGCCCACCCAGAGCCCAGACTTGAACCCGATCTAACATCTCTGGAGAGACCTGGAAATAGCTGTGCAGCGACGCTCCCCATCCAAACTGATAGAGCTTGAGAGGATCTGCATAGAAGAATGGGAGAAACTCCCCAAATACAGGTGTTCCAAGCTTGTAGCATCATACCCAAGAATACTAGAGGCTGTAATCGCTGCCAAAGGTGCTTCAACAAAGTACTGAGTAAAGGGTCTGAAAACGTATGTAAATGTGATATTTCAGTGGTTTGTTTTTAATAAATTAGCAAAAATGTATTCTGATTGGCTGGGTCTGGCTCCCAAGTGGGTGGCCCTATTCCCTCCCTGGTCCACCAATGGCTGAGCCCCTGCCCAGTCATGTGAAATCTATAGATTAGGGCCTAATGAATTTATTTCAATAGACTGATTTCCCTATATGAACTGTAACTCAGTAAAATCGTTGAAATTGTTGCATGTTGCGTTTATATTTTTGTTCAGTATATTTACAACCTACTGTTTACAAAAAATGTGATAGGCCAGAGCTCCAGAACGTTAGAGATATGAGGAAATGAAGGTTAAATTACAAGCGAGGTAGATTCCCACCGCAGTATCTGCTAGGCTACCTTCCATGCGGTAGCCAGCAGGGTTTGTGGAGCTTGTGATGATGATGCTTATAGCCACACTTAATTTGACAATACCCCGAGCCACCAACAAAAACGTTAAAGGGAGAAAAAAAATCATGAAACTCCTGTTAATTTGGTGAAAGCCTATGTTCTATCAGTGGGTAAAATAAAATGTTTCCCCATGATTTAACTTGGTCCGTTTGTGAAATCAGGAAATCGTGTAGGAATGAGTCATAGCTGGGGATGGCACACTATCACATTTAATAACGATTTTAAAACAATTACCTACACTCAGAGCTCTACAATTTGGTTGCATATGCGATGAAATATTTTGCTGTGCGGACAGGAATTTTATTTTGGAAGCTGTGTGTGACAACAACAAAAAAAATCTCCCACATTATAATTGTTGTAATGAAAAGGCTTCACTGTATCGTTGTTTCCATGTGCCCTAGAGAAACAAACAAGTGAGTGCAGATT